TCATTTGTATGGGAAAACAAAAAAAATCGACTCACGCCCATACACGACCCATACACAGACGCTTACACCGAAAGCCAAGCTGAACGCTAGCAGTATTCCCTGCCATCATGATACCAAGAAAGAACTAGGAGCCATGCAAGTCGTACGCAATGCCACATCCGTCGTCGCCGAATCTTCTTCCCCCCGGGGGACCCGTTCTATAAATGGTAAAGAGAAAAGGAAAGAAGAAACAGGTCCTACAAACCATTGCTCTTACAACTAAACACACCACCCACCTCGCCGGCGTCAAACGAGTCAATGATCCCCTGGACACAAGCATACGTCCCCACAGTCAGGAAGAAGAAGCCCGTCACGATGATGATGGCATTGAGGCCCATGGAGAGACAGTCGCCGATGGGGTTGCGCTTCCGCCCGACGGTCTTGTCGGCACTGCGCATGCGGAAGTAGGCCACGCCCCAGAAGATGAAGCCGAACCAGCTGTCAAAGAGGGAGCTCATCACGGAGAGGACTAAGTGCCCGAGTCAGCACTGGAGTTTGCACCTTTGTTTCCGGGGTTCGGCGGGACTCACGAGATGAAAAGAAGGGAATGACCTGGGAAATGATGAAGGCAAATATCCATGTGGTGAGCAGGATGGCCGCCCAGGAGCCCCAGCCAATGACGGTGTGGTCGCTCAGGTGTTTAGAGTTTCTGAAGAGGCGGAAGAAGACGAACCGCGCCGTGACAGAAGCGTACAAACATCCCAAGAAGATGATTGTCGGAATCATGAACGAAAAGGAGACCTTCTTGTACAGTTCGTCGAGAGATCCGAACGCTGGCGCCTTGACGTACTGGTTGCCGCTGTAGGCATAGATGACAGCGCCGACGACGCTAAAGACGATGACTTCGGCGACTGTACACGCCCAGAGGGACTTGGGGAACTCACTAAGAGATGCTCAGGTTAGCCGACGCTGCTCTTGCTTGGATTGGAATTCCACGTGTGCAGAAGAAGGCCCCCCGAGCGACGATGACGACGACGACGACGACGACAGAAGAAAAACACATACCGGGGATCTCGCATCTCGGCAATGAAGCTCGGCAGAGTAATCTGTCCGATGAAAGTATAGCTGATGTTCAGAAACGCCGCCATGCCTTGCACAAAGGTGGTGCTCGCCACAGGCACGGCCGTGACAATGGGCTCACCCTTGTCGGGCGAGTAGCCGGCCGGCTTGGTCTGGACGCCTGCAAATGCCGTGGCCAGCACGACACTGATCAAGGTGAAGAAAGCAGAGGCAGTGCCGAGCTTGGACATCATGCTAAACGTCCGCGGGAGCGACGCGAGCCAGCAAACGACGATGATGACGACGGAAAACTCGACGGTGCGACAACCACCTATGGCCGTCTTGTCCGTCATGGTGTTGAGGTATTCTGCCCCGACCAGGACATGCAATGCCTGGATAAACGTGTTGTTGAGGACGAACATGACTGCGGTTCCCCACCAAGCCCATTCCTTGCCCCAGAACAGCGTCTGGCCGAGATCACAAACATCGCGAACTTCGGGGTGGCGCAGGCAGAATTCCCACAGCACAAGACTCGTGTACAGGACGATTGCGGCGACGACAACTGTCAGGATCAAGCCCGGCACAAGGCCGAGATAGCTGTAGGACCAAGGGAAGCTCATGATGGCCAGGCAAATGTACTCGCTGAAGAGGAGGGCGGCCGTCTTTTGCCACGAGCATGTGCGGTACTGGATGGCGGCGCCGTCTTCCGAGGCAAGCTGGCGGTTGAGGATGGCCTCGCTGGACTCGCCCTCGCTCTCGGACACCTCATCCTTAAGGTAATCGGGAATGCCGCAGATGCGAGGGCCGACCGTGACGCCTGAGCCGCCGAAGATGGAGGCGAACCTGGCGGAGCGACCCTTACCGAATTCCACGTCGCGCGGGCCCGAGACGGAGCCCGAGACGGAGCCAGAGTGAGAACCTGAGGGGACCTTATCTGTCATGGTGAATGAGGCTCTAGTAGAGGAGGCAAGACGACGTCGAGAGCGAAACTTGGTCGTTCTCGTAGAAGCGACGGTGACTTATCGCGACGACGCTCTCATTCGGCTAGGCGGGACTGATCAACTACTACCAAGGTTTGAGGGTCCAACGACGGCGCATAGAGCCGGGTGATGGGAAAGAGGGTACACAACAAATATAAAAGAACTCTGTTGGATGCCAAGTCGACAAGATAAGTGAATGGCGGCGTGGGCGCAAGCGTGTCTCTCAACCTAGTATTCGTGCTGACGGGCAAAAAAGCAACCGCATTCGGACATGGCAACAACCACGCTTGTGCGCCATGCCAATTGATTCTGGTGGTGGATTTGGCCCTCCCCCCCGGCCGCAATTGCGTTAGTTGCTAGCTCCAGGTATTTCGCATCGAATGCTCCTCACTCCTTGCATCCGTGTTACGACATGGTTATCAGCCCGCTATCTCCAAGACGCAACGCGCCTGGTCGTCGCTGCCCCCCTCAACCCACGCAACATGGAATCCACAGGCTTGTCCACATAGCGGATGTGCGCGCGGAGATGGCGCGAGAGTAGCGGGCGCCCTGGACCACAGCATCAAATGGGATAAGACCCAAGCATGGTACTCCGAGAGAACAGGGCCCAGTGCCAGCCAGTAGGGAAGTCATGTCGTAAGAGGACATCCGGACCAGGTCCGGGGTTGGGTTGGTCATGACGTTTGGGCCCGACGCCACACAGATTCGAACTCTCGTCTCGTGGCGTCCAACGTCGACGTGGACTGTGCTGCGCTGTGCTGCGCTGGCACAGTCAACAGGAGCTTCACCTTGATAGTAGTGAACAGGAGCTTTGTAGACGGTTGAGCGGCACTTGGGCACGTCGGCATCGGTTTGCGAACTGTAGGATTCAATGTTGGCATCGGCGCAACCGGGCTAGGCGTCCAAATAATACCGAATACTGATCACGCCAGCGAAACAGGCTCAACTATTTGAGACACCGTCGCCCAACAAGCGCCATCTCAGATCTGCGGTTTGGCTTCAGCCGCGCCGCCCGGCCACCCAAGGCCAAAGTTACGCCGCCTCTCCCATGTCAACACACAATTTTGCAATGCGGCACAACAATGCCAAGTTGAAATGTCTGATCGGGAGCGGACCCCATCAGGTGCTACTGCCTACGGGTCATGGCGTAGCACGGGGTCAGGGTGTGCCTCGTCGATGGCTGCGCGTGCATCCCATCGTACTCCGTGCTCCGTAGACAGGAGGGTATTGAATACAATCCATACAGTCCTGAGCTGATTGATGGTGCCATCCTCCGCCCATAGGTCCACCTGCTGAATCAATCTGAGACCTGTTAAGCTTATTTGTCGTGCTCGATGCAACAGAATACTGTGAAACGGGAAGGATCGCGCACGGCGGCCGTGGACTCGATATCACAGTCGCAAGCGTGGGCAATGCGCCCGATGTAAATGGCAATACCCGAATGTTGCCGTGACCTGGGACAAAACTACCAGAAACTTGACGTGAGAGTCGCAACCCTTGATGACCGGAGCACCCATAAATGATAAGTCGGATTTGAGTACATGTTGAATGACAGGCACAGAGTCTGCGTTTGTTCATCTCGAGTGTTCGGGGTGTGGCGAGTTTTGATACGACAACCAAGCTGAGGGCGCCCGCCAAGAGAAAGGAAGTCCTGCTGATATCATTGTAGAACAAAGCCATTTGGCTTGCTCGGGTCGTTGATGGCAAGAAACATTCAAGGTTCAAGATTGTGAGACCAGGGCAGCGTCCGCCGCTCGGCCTTGCATGCAGCCTTGGAGCGTCGACGGCAGGAGCGGTCTGCAAGCAGGGCAATCTGGAAGTAGCGACATGGCGAGAGCACGCGGTCCTGCCTTGCCATCAACTCCGTACTCGGTTCAATGCATGGACAATGCCGTTCCAGCTCTACCAGACCTGAGGCTTCTCTCTCCGCATCTCACGATACAGAGCATACGTACAGCACGAGTTCGGCGATATTCTCATCCTGCCCTTGTGCTACAAGCCTCTTTCGACAACCGCTGCTGCCCCGCCAAGCGCACGCCGCCGCTGCTGCTGGTGGGACGTCCAGGCTCCTGTCTCCTGGCACAACATTGAAGCCTCGGAGCTTCAGAGCTAGCTGAATACCTCAAGGGATGGATATTCGGCTTCGAGTATCGAGTCCGCATCAATGAAAGCTCTTTGCCAGGCGGCTCAACATTCTTCTTGCCAGGGTGCGTTCCAGCAACGTATGAACGATTGATGACGGCCAGCAAAGCCCGCGCCCACACATCACACAAGCCGCACTTGACGGGCTTTCACGTGCTGATAACGCGACGATAAGCTAAGCTTCCATTCCGTCCGGTCATTGTGGACACCTTACACCTTGCGCGGGAGTCGACACTTGGTGAAAATAAGCCCGCCAGGCCTCCTTGATCACCTTAGATTACTCCGTACGGACCCTGGTTGTCCAACCACAATCGCGTCGTGGCTAGTATCAACACACTATTATTTTATTTTTTTTCATAAGAAAAAGCCACGCGCTTGCGCTCGACCAGGAGGCTACTCGGCCACCTGGCGACTCGTCTTTTGGTGTGCTGCAAAGAACAGGTGACGTCGATCAGCATCTGTTCCGCAGGCGGTTCCTGCTCAGAACATCGCCCGAGTGTACATTTCAACGGTAGCTTTTGGCCAAACAAACGACACGTTGAGCTGCATTTGTACATAAGCCTGTGAAGCTCCTGCGACCCCTGCGACCCTGACGTGCCCCGAGGGCTCGACTCGAGACTGGACCGTCGAGACGAGGAACCCCGAATTCGTCCGACTTGAACCGCCCACGGCCCCGAACGGCCAATCTTTTCCTTCTCCCGTCGACCGGCACGGCTTGAGTCAGCCGCCCTGCCGTTCCGATGTGGTGGCTATTCAGCATATTTTTCAGCTCCATCTTCCTCTTCAGCATCGTTCTGTCAATACCCGTCGCCTTCGATGTTGGTGGCCGTGACAGTGGGCTGGCGTATAGCCTGTCTCTCTTCATCTACTACCTCGTCTATTCAGCAGTCCGCATTATGACGCTAAGCAAGTCACGTCTCGGCCCGACCATCTCCAACCTCCTCCGACTTTCACAGTGGGTAGTCATCCCGTCGCTGCTTATTTGGGCCTTGAGCCAGTTTGCCGTCGATGCGGGAAGCACAAATTGGGTTGAGAGGACCTTGGGCGGCATCTTCCAGTCCAAAAGTGCAAGTTGGACCGAGTGGGTGTTTGGCAAAAATGGTGTGTTGGAGACGGTGATGTTGGGTAGCTGGGACAACATTCTTCGATATTCTGGACCTGCGTTCCAGCTCCTTGAGGGCTTTTGCACCCTTCTTGTGATTCAGGCGGCGGGTCAAATTACTCGTTGGCTTGTGAACAGAGGCAGAAGTGACACCTGGGTGGTAAGCGACACATTTCTGGCATGGCGTCTACGTGAATGGTGTACTGATTGGTGTAGATCATCCTGTTGGCCTTCTCCGGCACCATCATCGCAAGTGCCGTGTATTTCCTTTGGCGAGTTGCGCAGTTTCCGCAAATCAGCAACTTGGATGCAACTCTTATCGGCGTAACTATGACGACGGCTGTGTTTCTCTGTGCCTACGGCATCGGAAGTGGCCGGGGCAACCCCATTGAGAGCTCACTACTGTTTGCTTACGTGGTACTCTGCGTTTATCAAATTTTTACAGACTACCTGCCGTCTGAAGAAGTTGAGGACCAGGCTTCTTCACAGCCTGAGATTCCGCCTTTGCCACCGGTCATCATGGCATCGTATTCAACCCTCGTACACATGATGGGTGCACTTCCGTCGGCTATTCACTCCTCCCTGGCCCTTTTGTACGCAGCTTTCCAGACAATTACGCCCTCGGTCATCATTTCCCTGGCATATCGACTTTTCGTCTTTTATTCAGCGACGAGAATCATACCCTCGGTGCGGGATCTCGGGGCACGTGCACTGATGCAGGACCCCGATTTCGAGGACTCAGAAACGGCCAACAAGGTGCTTGGGTTCCTGAGCTGGTTCTCACCGTCCATACTGGTGTCGGTGTACACGAGCTTGCTATTGCAACACTTTTCAACCAGCGACGGTCCCGATGGTTGGACGCTGAGGGGTGGTGACGTTGGTGGCAGCACATGGAGATGGATCAATGTCGGCTTGACCATGGTGCTATATGGCGTGGAGCTGTACCTGGGTACAGGAGAGCCTGACCATTGGAAAGTTGATTGAAATAAAGCCACCATCACGGTGAAGATGGAGGAGATTGTGTAGATTAATGACAAGGGAAGTGGTGCGAGGGGAGTGGATTTAACAGATACCATTCAACACCGCGCCCTTAACAGCTCACCAACCGGGCCTGACTTGAACGAAATTTCGAGGAATAGCTCACTGGTCATCAACGGGTACGAAGCAAATCCGGCACATGGCACATGGTCCGTTGTGTGAACGACCTGGAACGGGCAAGAAGAGGGGAAAACAAGGGCTTAAAATGCTGTCGGCAAGGCAGTACGATGCGGAAACGGGAAGATCTGGGCCCAGCAGGTCGTTAGGACATTGGCGGGGATAACCGCAGGCGTTACGGTAGTCAGGTGATTCTTGTCTGGAGCATGGCGATATTGATACGATTCATTCCTTTTGTCAGGTTGGTGCATTGTGAGCGGTGTAACGTTTGGGCCGGGTCTCGGGAGCCCGCTTGCAAAGGCTGTGGTTGCGAAACGGCGGCGTTTATGGGGCGGCCGGCGGGCAGGATCAAATAAATAATTGACGGGGATTCTTGCACTTGCATTCTCGAACCTTGACCGGCCATCGGGAGCTGCCTACGGAGTACGCTGCGCGGAAGTTGGTTCGCCACGGGCAACAATTAATTGCCCGGGCTCCCTCCCATCGCCTCGAGTTCTTTTGCGACGTGCCGCCAGATTGGTCACCGTCGTCCAACTTTTACCCAACACCAGCCCTCACGTTCACGACTCGCAGGCTCACAGTCGAGTCGAGCTCGCACAACCAATGGACGAATACTCGACCAAGGGCCTCGACCCCGCTCCCCCCGTCTCCATGACCACCATCCCGATGGCCGGCATCCTCGTCGACGTCTACGGGCAGGACGAGCTCGCCAGCGCCGACATGCCGCTGACCTGTCTGTGGCTCCTGCACCCGCGCACGCGGACAAGAGCCCGGATGCGGGACATTGCTTGCCGCACCGTCGATGCATGGCACCGCTCGGCCTCGTCCCCGGCGTCGTCCCAGGGCGCCCGCGGCCTCGTGGCGCTCGCGTTCGACATGCCCAACCACGGCACGAGGCTCGTCAGCGAACTCGCCAACCGCACCTGGGACGAGGGCAACGAAAGGCACGCGCTCGACATGGCGGGCATCGTCAAGGGCTGCGTGGGCGACCTGAGCGCGCTGATGGACCTCGTGGCCGGCTATCTGGGCAGACGGGTCGACGCCCACGTCTGTCTGGGCTGGAGCCTTGGCGGCCACGCGGCCTGGTGGTCGTGGTTTGTCGAGGACCGCATCGACGCGGCGGTTGCCGTCGTCGGGTGTCCCGACTATCTGAGTACGTGTGCTGTGTGCTGCCCTTTTCCCGCTCTCCCTCTCCAGCGCGCTGAAAAGTCGGCCAGATTTGATGGGCCGTCGGGCCAGGGGTTCGGGTCTGGATGCGGGAGACGCCTCGCTGCTTGGGAGTCGGTACTTCCCGCGGGACCTGCTGGCGGCGTGTCGCACGCGCGATCCCAAGTCCATTCTGTTCGGGGCGGATGGCGAGCCGGTGCCGTCGCCGCCGCTGCCGGAGGGCGAGCGGCCGCGGCTGCGGGAGGTCCTGGATGCCCGCGTCAAGGGGAAGAAGCTGCTGGCCTGTTCGGGGGGCGAGGACGTGCTGGTGCCGTATGCGTCTTCGAGCCCGTTCTTGGGCGTGTTGAAGGATGCGGCTGAGGGGTGGTACCGGGACGGCGAGGTCGTTGTCGAGGACCGGGTTTATGCCGGCGTTGGGCACCGGTTCAGCGCGGACATGGTGAGGGATGCGGTTGGCTTCTTGGTGCGTGTGGTTGCGGACGGGCCGAGGAGGCGGGCCTCCGGATCACGTCTAGCCGAGTGACGACGTTGATGGTGGATGGGATTTACGGGGGACGTGACGGATCCGCACGGGGGAAACACCCTGTCCAATGGAGATGAATATTCGCGCTCAGGGCTATGCAGGGCTCGCGATGGCCCCTTTGCTTTTGAACTCGAACCTCGCTCTGGCGAGCTGCGCAGCTAGAATCTGGATGAGGACGTACACGTCACACCGTGGCATGCCGGGCGTCGTCAGGCCACAGGGTCACCACGGCCGCGCCCCTTGGACCAACACCTCACTGCCACCACCGCCGTCGCCGACGGTCCTCAAACCTCCCTTGTCGCCATCCTCTGTGCCCTCCTCGAAAACACCCTGCCAGACCCCCCAGACGTTCCTCCTCGCCCTCTTGGCCGCCAACCCGGGCCCTCTGCCGTGCGCGTCACGCCGCCATTCCTCCTCGGCCTCTGCCACCCCTATCATGGCGCCGGGCTTGGCTCCCAAGCACGGCGGATCTATACCGACAAACGACACCCTCTCGAGCGGGAAGCCAATAGCGACACAGTGGCCCCCCAGGATCCTGGGCTTCTTGAACGCGTGGCTCACAATCGCGAGGTGCCGAGGCCAGCATCGAAACCGCCGATAAAACAGCGACAAACCAAACAGCACATTGTGGTACGAGTCAAGCGCGCGCTCCTCGAGGATGATATCCGCATCCGTGACGGGCGGGCCGAGGAGGCCAAAGTAGGCGTTTTGGACGGCGATGTTGGCGTAGGACCGGGCTTCTGAGAGGGCCGTTTCTTTTCGGGTCGGGGCGCTGTACAGCTAATTAGCTACGTGGACGGGTCTTTTGTTGTGGTTGTCATTGTCGTGGTTGTAGTTTCTATTTCTATTTCTGCCGTGGATGTGCCAGGGGGAGGGGGGAGGACCCTGAGAATGCGAGGACGGAGCGGCTCCTGTCGTCTGCGAGGCATCGGAGGCCGGCCTTGATGTGGGCGATGAAGGTGGGGGTTTCGCCGTGCTGGAAGTCGGCGAGGAGCCATTCGGCTTCGTCGCGGCCTTTGGAGGGCCCGCCGAGCCATGTGCCGTGGCAGCATACGATGACGAGCCTGGTCGGGTGCGACATGGCTTGCGTTGCGTGGTGATGTGTGGGCTGGCGGTGTGGCCGCGGGAAGAGCTGGCGAGCTGAAGTTGACGATGCTCCAACGATGTACGGAGTAGTTAGATGGTGGTGGATGACAATCCCGGACGCCGTGCTGTGAACTTGTGTGCTGCCGCCACATGAAAGGCGGGTTCGTCTCGAATTCAATTCGGTCGAAAAGGCTCCAAGACCAATCGACGCCTCGTCGTCATCCCTACCAAGAGCTTCATTCAACGCTACATTGTCAAAGTACCGCTGCCGACGGCTGCCGCGCGTTTCCTACGGGTGGAAATACGTCCAAGCCCCACCCGACTCTGTTCAACGGTTTCCTCGTCCAGGGACCAGGAACAACACTCTTCCATTCGCCAGTCGACCGCCTCCTCCACCTCCCCTTGTCCTTGTCCGAAACCACACCACCTCACGCACCTGCTTCTCCTCAGCCGAGTCTTCTTCCTCTTTTCAACCTCTAGCTCCCGTCTACAAGTACATATCCCCTCCTTCGACCTAGATCAATGCTGCACCCGAGACCTGAACCGATTGCCTTCCTCCTCGATCCCGCCGTGCTCCCCTACGGATGCAACAAGCACGCATCATACACAGCCTCTCTCAGCATAGCTACTCCTTTATAGCTGCGAAACAGCCCAGTAGAACCGCTCGTTCACGTAGCCACCACGCAGATATCAAGTATCCACGATGCCAGCCAACGGCTCCGCCACAGCCACGAGGATGCCCGAGAGCAAATCCGCCCCCGCGGCCAGTCAAGATACCACCAACCCCAAGCATGACTTCTTCTGGACCTACACCGAAGAGCCGCACCGCACTCGTCGACTGGCCATCATCAAGGCCCATCCGGAGGTTTGCGCGACCTCCCTCCCTGCCCGCACAACGAGACGAACAACTGCTAAGACGCCAAATCTCCCAGGTCACAAAGCTGTGCGGCCCCGAACCTCTGACCAAGTACGTCGTGCTCGGCGTCGTCAGCCTCCAAATCGTCCTCGCCTACCTTCTCCGGTCGACGTCATTTTGGTCTTGGAGGTTCTGGGCAGTAGCCTACGTGTTTGGCGCAACCGCGAACCAAAACCTATTCCTGGCCATCCACGAGATCTCGCACAACCTGGCCTTCAAGAGCCCAATGGCCAATCGACTATTCGCTATCGTCGCCAACCTGCCCATCGGAGTCCCCTACAGCGCCGCATTCCGCGTTCGTTTTCCGCCCGTGCTCTGTTCGTGACAAGATGACACGGCACATCGCTGACCCTGCTCACACAGCCTTACCACTTGACGCACCACAAATCCCTCGGCGTCGACGGCCTCGATACCGACCTCCCCACCGCCCTCGAGGCCTTCTTCCTCGACTCCATCCTCGGAAAGGCCTTCTTCTGCACCTTCCAGATCTTCTTCTACGCCCTGCGGCCCATGGCCGTCTACCGCATCCCCTTCACGTGGGTCCACTGCCTCAACCTCGCGGTCCAGCTCGGCCTCGACGCCCTCGTGGTGCACCGCGCGTCGTGCAACGCCCTGCTGTATCTCCTCCTGTCCTCCTTCCTCGCCGGCAGCCTCCACCCCCTGGCCGGCCACTTCATCGCCGAGCACTACGTCTACGAAACCGTCACCCCCACGCAGAGGGACCCCGTCAACATGGTGCCCGTGCCCGAGACCTTCTCCTACTACGGGCCCCTCAACTGGTTCACCTACAACGTCGGCCTGCACAACGAGCACCACGACTTCCCCGCCATCCCCTGGACCAGGCTCCCCGCCGTCCACGACATGGCCAGGGAATTCTACGAGCCGCTGCCCCGCCACGAGAGCTGGGTCTACGCCATTTGGAGGTTCATCTGGGACGAAAACGTCGGCTTGAACTGCCGCGTCAAGCGCAGGGACGGCGGCCGGCTGGTCGGCGGCGCCATCAACTGGAAGGAGAATGAGATCCAGGCCTGATCTGCACTGATACCCGTCGCGGACATCATGTAACTTGGCGTTGGGGTCATTGGTTCTTTTTTCTTTTTATTTAAAAAAAAACCGCAAATTCCACATAGCTTGCGTGGCGCGAGAGTCGAATGCATTGGAGAACACTCCACCTTTGAAGCACCCGCGTTGTCAAGTAAAAGCGAGCATTCGAGCCCGACTCGGGACGTTGCAAGGCCATGCCCCGGCGTAATATCACCAGGTTCTTGCAGGTGTCGTGTGTGCGCACGTGTATCAGCCCGTGACTGCGTTGCTTGGTGGCGCAAGCAGGCCCATGCTCGTCACTGCACGCCAAACGCTTTGCACCGCAAGGCGACAAACAAAAGAGAATCCATTACACGCGTCGTAGAGCAGTAGCCGGTACAACTACAGTACAATGCCAAAGGCGCTGCTCAACGTCAAAATGTGGTGTTGCGCGATCCCGCCACCCGCTGCCATAACCGCCCCTCGCCGGTCTCCAGCTGCCATTCTCCCCGGATCCGCTTCGCAGCACACCCGCCTCTGCGTGCTGCTTGGATTGTGCACTTCGCTGCCGTCTTATGTTTGGGCCAGTCATGATGTAGCCCTGTCTGGAATTCGTTGGAAGAAGACGACAAAAAAAAAATTCAAAAAAACAGAAAATCCGTGGTTTTTTCCATCTCCAAGACGAGACATCTATTGCAGAATCAGGCGTGCTGTCGTTGTTGTTGTGGCCACGCCCATGTCTTCCCCGACACGCAAAACTAAAAGAAAAGATAGGCGAGCAGGAAACTCAGCAGACACAAGAGGGCAACAACCGGCACGGGAACGCCGCCAGGTTGCTGCCTCACCAACTGCGCAGTGATGGCGGCAGGCCTCTTCTCGTCGCTGGAAGCGTTCTTTACGTTTCGCTGGCGCAGACCGCTATCCTTGAGATTCAGTAGCTGCGCCTCTGCCGGGGCAAGCTTGCTCTTGAGCTCCTCGTACGTCGCTTGCGCCGTCTCGGAGACAGAGGTGGCGGCGTGCGACACGGCAGACTTGGGGCGCTCCAGCTTGTCGTCGGTCTCCTCGGCGGCGGCATCGTCGGGGGTGTACGGGGGCGGGGCAGCAATGGTCGTCGAGTGGGCGTCGTCGCCGGGAGAAGAGAATGTTCGAGGAGCATCGGGGGTTTCGGTCGCCTGAGAAGGCCATGGTCAGTTAACCAGCGTTGGTAGACACGAGATGCGGACTGGGGGTGAGTAGACGTACGCCGTTCACGGCCGAAGGCTTGCTGGGAGTCGAGAGGGCGGAGGCAGCAGGTCCCTGAGCATCTTCGCCATTGGCAGCCAGCCAATTGACACGGATCTTGCGTTCGACAAGTGTGGCCCTGTCTGCAGACTCTAGAACGGAGGCAATGCTGGAGAAGTCCTTGTCGGAGGTGATTGGCGCGCATTGGACGAGGAACTTGTCGCGACATTTGGCATCCAGGGGAGGGTCCTGCTTCATGGCCTGGAGGAGCACTTGTTGTTTGCGCAGTGTCAGTTGGACTGGCGGGCGGGTTGAAGATTGAGCTCGCTCGCATCAACCGTGACAAGGGTTGCGCCGTACCTGTAACGTCGAAAGCACTCCCGGGCTCGATACGGCCGGCATTGGGTCGAACGCAATACTGTTTGGGGGCGGTGGTTTTGACCTGGGTTCGGGGTCAATCGATGTCGTCACGACCTGCCAGGATGGCACGACGCGATGCGCAGCACTGGAAACACACCTTGAAGGCCAGAGGCGAGCTGCTTGTATTCCGTATGGTGAGAGTTCGCGAGACTTCAATGGTAAAAGGGCCTGAGACCAAAGGGGGGCCGAGTCAGTAACAGGGAAGGCAAGCGTGAATGAGAGGCCGGGGAGGAGGCGGAGTGCTTCGCGTACGAGTGAAGTTCAGCTCGAGGGGGAGAATATCGACCGTCATGATGGGCAGTATTCTCGCAAGGCGCCAGCCAGTGTCAAATGGCGATACAAGGGGAGTCGCAGGTCTAGGTTTGCGTCGATATCGGGGGTCAAGTCTGGCGGGGAGAAGTGAGCTGCGATGCACAGAGTAGCGGGAGTTGAGGACACGGTCCAGATTGGATTGGGACTAGTTAATAAGATTGGAGGTGTGGGGAAGGGAAGCTTGTGACATGGATGGACCCGGGGCCTCGGGCAAAACACGGAAAGAAAAGCCGGGCCACCTGGGACGTACCAAAGTACGGACCTGCTTGACGGCAGGCAGGTGTCTGGTATGAGGGTGTACAAAGGTGCAAAGGTGTAAAGCAAAGGTCAAAGGTGCAAAGGCTGGTGATGCAAGAAGCCGCAAGGATAAATATGCAAGGATAGAAACGTCGACGACGAAAGCAGCAGCCGCCGTGGAGCCTTGTTGCTTGTGAGCCTCGGGAGAGTCCACGGAGCAACCAAGTACTTGAGTACTTGGGTACTTGGGCACCCGGTAGGCGGCACCCGAGTACGTACCTTGGAGAGCGTCCGTGCGACCTTGGACACTCGTCATCGGGCGGCGTCCCGAGAGTGACCTCGGGGCACCGGCAAATAGGGCAAGTAGGACACAGCTGAAAGCCCAATATCATACTTAAGTACTCAAGTACGGAGTACTAAGAACTAAGTACTTAAGGTACTTAACTTAAGTGCTCGTCGCGGCACGCCGACAAGCCAGTGTAAGCAGTCCACGTTGGCCGTGGCCCGTGGCCCATCCCATATTCGTCATGCTGGGGTCGAGCGCATTCAGGCTTGCATCGGGTCGCCTCTGCGTCAGTCAACCTGCAGTGACCAATCCACGTTGCTGCGGCAGTGGTACCAGTTTTGAATGCTGAATTTCTTGAATGTCGAATTTCTCCCCATTTACGCCTCCGCGAAGGGCAAAAATAAATAAATCAATAAATAAAAATTATTAAAAACTAAAAATTCACCAACATTAATGCAACATGCCCGGGAAAGGAGCTTTAAAAGTGGCGGCACTGCCGAGGCGACTTCCTGCACCGCCCGGGCATGTGGCTGGAGCCAATGACTTGCTTGCTCGAGGCAGCCGTTGAATCGTGCCTTGCAAACGCCCACTCCTCGGGCACTTTGCTCGCAAACCACAGCAGCTACCGTTTCTGTCATGGAGTGAATATAAATACAAAAAAAACAGCCCAACTCTTTGGCTGAGCGTCTCTTCTTCTCCGCCATTGGAAACGCAACATGGATGGATGTTCCTGCTCTGCTGCTCTAAACCCGCTGCCCGGACCCCACCAGGCTCCGAACCGAACTTCGAACTTACAGACTCACGTCACTCACGACAGCTTTTCACCCCTCCAACTTCACCTGCTGGTTGTATAGCACCGCCGGCTCCAGGCAACAAAACACATCCATCTCGGAAAACATGCCGTCAGATCTGGAGGCTCTCACGGAGATGGGCTTTGACAAGGCCCGGGCCGAAATTGCAGTCAAAAAGAGCGGTGGCCGTATGTCTAACCTCCTCCCACAGTCCATCTGACACAGAGCCTGCCTGACCCATCTTGAGCAGTCCAGGGAGCGCTGCAATGGCTAGAGGACAACCAGGACAAGTCCCTGGACGAAATCAGAGCCGAGGAGGCCGGCAAAGCGGGCGAGGACGGCGAGGACGGCGAGGACGATGCCGAGACCAAGGCCGAGATTGCAGAGCTTGAGACGGGCCAAGCTCGCTCGCTCATTTGCAACGAGTGTGGCAAGAAGTTCCGCAACCACGACCTTGCCACGTTCCACGCTACCAAGACGTATACTGGGCCCACCTGATCTCACGTTTTCTTCGTTCGGAACCGACGGTTGCTGACTTGACATGCCTTGATGGATAGAGAGCACACGGATTTTTCAGAGTCAACCGAGGAGCTCGCCCCTTTGACAGAGGAGGAGAAAAAGGCCAAGCTCGAGCAACTCCGTGAACGTCTCAAGGCTAAACGTGCCGCTCAGTCCGTCCAGGACAAGGAAGATGCCAAGCGCAATGAGGTTTGTCGCTTCGTCGTGCTCGCCAGCCATACCTGCGTGCGTTCGTTTGCTCACAGGCAGCCAGAGAATCCGGCAAAAGTCTACCAAGGAGAGCCAGGATCTGAAAGAAGAGCTCGCGCGCAAGGAGCAGATCAAAGAGGCGGCCCGCAAGCGCCAGGAGAAGCAAGACGACATCGAGGCCAAGAAGCGCATCAAGGCCAGGATTGAAGCCGACAAGGCCGAGCGACAGCGCAAGGCTGAAGAAGCCAGGGCCGCAAGAGAAGGAAGGGCTCCCGACGCCGCTGCCAGTGCTCCCGCCGCAGCGCCGCCAAAGCCAAAGCCCGACCACAACACGGCCAGACTGAGATTGCAGACGCCCAGTGGCAACCTGATGAAGACGCTGCCGGCGGAGACGACTCTCTTCGAGTTGGCCCAGATGGTGCAGGGCGAGACGGGGCTGGCCGTGACGAGCTTCTCTACCACCTTTCCGAGGCACACGTTTACCGGAGATTTGGACATGTCCAAAACGTTGAAGGAGGCCGGCTTTGTGCCGTCCTCAGTCCTGATTGTGCAGTGAATGGTCGCATGACCTGCGGTTGAACAGCTGATGTATGACGAGGCTGTCTTCAGGGCGTCCTGGCGTGGTTGGGGTTCGACGCGCATTCGGCCTACATGCATGTACTTGGCCTTTGTTCTGGAGCAGAGATGACAAATAATGCGTGACCAGCCGAGTCACAGTTTCGTGTGCAAATTGCATCATCCACAGTAGGTATTTGCCAGTCAAATCACTACTTAAAAAGATGGAAAAAAAAAGAAGCCTTGCGCACAAACCTCTACTTGTCCATAATCCGCCCTACCGTCACAAAACGCCCAAATCTTCTTTGTACGAGGGACATTCAATCATATTAATTTCCGTTATATGAACGAAGCTACCTCACCCCCCCGGTGCCAACGCAAAAAAAAAGGGGAGAAAAGGTGGAGGAGAAGCACGAAATCCATCATTGTTTCCCGGTATCCCACTTTTTCGTTTTTGTGATGCGCACCTTTTCTCCATCCTGTATGATCGATGTGATTTGTGAAGACCCCGAAGCCATGCAGTTGAAGTACAAAGAAGCAAGAAAACAGTCGTGAGAATTGGTGCGTTTAGTCGAAGAGACCGAAACCCATGTCCTCGTCGGACTCTTCCTTCTCTGTAGGGCAAAAGATTAGCATCATGTCTTGGAGAATCCATGTACACGAGGCGAAACAATTGGGAGAAGGGGGGGGTTCTTTTTAAAGATCCCAGCTCATGGGGCTCTCTCTGTACGCACCCTCGACCTTCTCCTCGGCGGGAGCAGCGGCGTCACCGCCCGCGGCGGCAGCACCACCGGCAGCGGGGGCGGCAGCGCCGCCTCCAGCGCCTACATTGACGAGCTGGTCCTTGATGTCTATGCCCTCCAGGGCCTGTATTTACGCCTCGTTAGCGGAATGGAAAAACCCGAGACCTGCGTCGAAACCATGCGAGTACCGGGGGTATTTCGCTCGCTCGCGGCTTCTCGTCTTTCGTACCTTGGCAGAGATCGTGGCCCAGATGGGATCGATCTCGAGCTGAGCAGCCTTGGCCAGGGCCATGAGCTTGTCTTCCTACAGGGCGTTTGGGGTCAGCACTGGCTTGTTACTCGGCTATCAAAATGCACCGATCGAGGGAAAAATGTCTGGTGCGCTCTTCTTTCGCCGGTGGATGAAGGATTCGACCATGCCGTCATTTTTTTTTTCTCTTTTCACTCTGCTGCCTTCTCCCCGTTCAATTTTTTCCCCTTGTTCAAATCGTGGACATGCGCCGGACAATTTCGCACGCTGATGATTCTCTTCTGGTGGCGGCGCGGTGCGGCGCGGCGCGCAGAGCGGGAAACTTACGGTGATCGGCAGGCCCTGGTCGGCCAGGATCAGGGCCGCGTAGGACATGGCGAGCTCAAAGTTAGACATTGTGTATGTGGTGTGTCGTGTTGGGGGGATGAACGACAAGTCTGCGGCGAGGTTCGTGGTTTGGATGTAGTGTAGTGCAATTATCACCAGAGCGGGCTGAGGCACAGAAAATTGACCGGGTTCGAAAATTCGCCAGGAGGGCTTCAAGACCTAAAGCTGTGGGGCTTTGAGGTGGTGCGTTTGCGTATGTATTGGACAGCGACGATTGGTTGGTCTTGGTGGCCAATCATCCCCGTCCTCCCCTCCCCTCTTTTCTTTACTTTCTCAGGCGGACGACGTCAAGCACCTGCGAGGCTGACAATGCCATGGCCGCGTTCAAGGCTGGATTGTACAATTGTCAATGATTAACTCGGCCAGTTACTAGCAGATTTGGAGCATGCCAGTCAAACAGGCGCCTGTGGCAGATGTTTCATTTCATTGGCGGTCTCATTATACTGGCCGCTTTGCAACGGTGGCTTCGCATGGGATTCGGTTGCAAGGTCGCGCGGCGGTGCGGCACGACGAATCCATGACGACGCAAGTTGGTCAGGGTCAGCGATGCAAAAGGATTCTGACACCTACATCCTACATCCAAAGCTCCCCTTTCCTAGGGTATATCCTCCCGATTCCACATGTTTGATACGGCCCCTTTGGGACTTTGAACGTGAATAAACTGGTGCGTGTCGCATGTCATCTTTGTTTGCCGAGACCGACCTCGATTGAGCCCGAATGCAGCGGGAGGCACACCCCACCAAGGGGCGCTGCTGCAGTTGCTGATTCGTCACATGTAACCGACTGTTAGTCACTACGTACCTAGGAACTTGGTAAGTGCTGTGCTTGAAGTGGATGGATGGATCATTGATGCTGTCACTGGCACCGCCAAACCACCTGAGCAGGTACATACATGTCGATGCAACTTAAATTACTACCCTGTCTTGTGCCTGTAATTCTCGCTTCAGGTACTCCGTACACGGATGTCCTTTTCTCATCCTCGTCTGCTTTGAGCCAATTCTACCCATCATTAGTTGTCTCATTCCAAACACCTGAGCCAGGCGGTGGCTTTTCATCTTCCCGTCGTCTTCCCTCCATGCAATAAGCTCCGATGTCCCCGCGCGGTGCCACTCAACTCACCCCAGCCAAGCAGCCACTGGTCGGCTCCGGAACACTGGGAACTCGAATCACGCATCCCACGCTTCGCATCTTGAGCTAGGTCCGAATACCTAGTGCAGTAGCTTTCCCTTGTCGGTTGATTTCCTCCCGTTGCCTCGCCAGACCTACATCGCGATCGGAACATCCGTGCGACAATTACGTACGGCATTCGTACACAAGGATGGACACGCCAGCCGTACCAGCGCCACGGGATTCCCGCGAACAGGCTATCCTCGCTCGTCTCTCCGTCATTCGAGACCAGCTATTACTTCTGAAGCAGGATCGAACTACATATATTCGCAGTCAAGATGTAATTCCGCTGTATGACCAGACCGTCGAGCAGGTCAAGGAGCTCAACGACGTTCGTGCCGAGATTGGCAACCACGAAGAAAACAGACGTAGGCGCCCGCAATCCCTGCGCCTCCCATGGGCCAGCAAAGGTCGCTAACTTGTCGTCGCGAGCAGTTGACAAGATCCTCGAGAGCTGCTTCCAACTGCTCTCCCTATTCTATCTCACCATCGGCCGAAACAACGAGGCCCCCGCGGCATACTCTCTCACGTCTACCATCAAGCGACTTCTCGACCATCTCACCGAGGCCGCTTTTTACTCGGCCAAGGATTTGGAGAGCATCAGGTCCACCCTAGAAGAGACGGCATCCGCCATCAGCCTGGCTCAAAGGACGGAGGAATCCAAAGCAAAGCACTCGCCATACCTGTTAACCCTGCTGTCAAAGAGAGTATCGCTGTGCCAGACCATGCTAGGCAATCTACGGAAGCGCTTGGAAAGCATTGGCGGCCCACTTCTTGCAACGCACGAGAAATTGATTTCTATTCTGCGGCAAATTTCATTGGCAAATACAAAGTCAAAGGTTAGTGCGCAAATTCGTGGGTACAATGGACTGAGCAGTCCAAGTCTAACTAACTCGTCGCCAGTTTTCGACTAGCGAAGTGCAAAAGCTCCGGAACCAGCTCCTGGAGGTCGGCAACAAGCGGAAAAACGGCAAGTTCGTGGCAGAGGACGGCGCCGTACCCCCAGGAGAGGCAGAAATAAGCGGACTATACGAGCGATGTGTCAAGTGGTCGGACCTCGTTCTTGAGAGGTAGATATGAAACGCCAAACACAGTCCTCGTGAATGCCGTGTTGAGGCTAACGGCTTTACAGAAGAGGAAACGTACATGAAGCATGGCGCCCGACATACGACACCCTGGTTGGAATCCGAAACGACCTGGAAAAGCTTTCCTTGACGCAGGCTTGGTCACTCAGAGAAACCGACTTGTACGACTTCCAGCGACAGCTCGACAAGATTGACGAGAGCAGGCAGAACGGCAACTTTTACGATGACAAGGGCAGGCCCGCGGATCTTTGGACCCAGCGAACAATGCTGTACTTGATTCGACGAAGCTATGCTTACATCTACTCCTTCATGCTCGCCTCTGAGCCGGTATCGGAGGCCTTGCTCCCCATCTACAACCAACTTCAGACGCTTAAACGATGCCTGGTCGAAGTCAAGAAGAACGGCGGCGTCACGTCAGTACGAGAGCTCTATCCGTACAGCATGAAGGTAACATGGTGTCGTGCCGATCGCGTCATATTCGCCGCAAGAAGTTGATGCTAACAGATGTGCAGCTCAACTCACTCGACGACATGCGGGTAGAGGGCAAGTTTGTCGTTAACGGAGACATTCCCGAAGGCCAAGGCAGCGTGTGTGAACTCCTCGCAGAATGCTTCGACCTGACTTATGAGATGCGGGTGGCAGCCGAGGAGAGCACCAATAGCGACGAGTAAAACGCTGATTGGCGCACCGCGGCTTGACTGAACGAGATGCGTCGAGTGGCTCGACTGTTATTGATACAAATGTAACAAAAAAAAGAAGAAAGTCAGGGATACACGCTTTGGGGGAAGTCATCAAGGAATGGTTTTGCGTAAGTACGAGTGGGCGGACCCGTCTGTTTATTTTGTTTATTTTCAGCTCCTGCGACTTTTGTTTTGTCGGCTTTTTAGAGCCCTAGGATGGGTACTGTCTGTCTGGAGTCCTTTTTTTTGCCCTGTTTTCCTCCTGTCCGTAGGTCAAGATTCCCGGCTTTTTCTCATTTCCCACAACGGGGCGGTTGCCAGCTGTGCTGGTGCCGCCGAAAGGCGAGAAGAGGCGGATAACATTGTTCTGTTAGCAAAGGTGGTAGGCGGTCTGGGTGCTTCACGAATTGATACCAGCGGGGTTTGATTCTTTAAGATTTCTACGTGTCTACACGACTATGGGTTTCTGAATGCACAGATGAAGGGGTAAATTTGGATCTGCAAGAGGTCGTTGGGTCAGTCGCGGTGTGAATCGGGGCACAGAGGATCAATTTCTCTCCCTTTACCTTTTCGACATCCCACACCCCTGACGTGGCGTAGATGTCCTTCTTCAACAGCTCGAGGACGGCCTCTTTGCTCTCCCCCTTGCACACGACGGTGCTCCCGAAGAAGTCAAAGTTGGCAGGGTTATCATCCGCCGGGACGTCGTTCAAGAGGGCACCTACCGCGCATGAGTACGAGTACTTGGCTGGGCACGTAGTTGGCTCGGGATTCCTCCCAGCAAAGGGCAGTGACGTACCGCCCATTTTCCAGTCCCCGGACTCGAGGTGAGGCGTCATGTTTTTGAAGTGTGTTCTGGCGGAGTAGGTATTATTACCGTTTTTTCAACCCTGTTGCTGGATCGGGGTGCGGGGGGAAGACGTACGGTCTGACTTGGAGGCGCTTCTCCCTGACGCCGGGCTTGTCGGGCAGGATGACGAGGAATTCGCGGACTTTGGGGGTGGACGAGGACATTGTGCGGACAGGCGATGGGAACTGGGGTCGGAGAAGGGTTCCTAGGGGACGCGAGAGGCGAGAGACCATTGCTGGGATGGGGGTTTTGCCGGAGGGGGACCAGGAGGAACAGGAGGAGTAGTCATATTCTGCAGGGACCGGAAACTGGTCACCGGTGCCAAGTAGTGGTGGCGGTCGGTTGCCGTCGCGAGGGTTTCCTACCAAGTAACCTAGCCAATGAATGATGAATGTGTCTGATGGCAGCGGGTGGCGGCGGCATAAGCAGTGTAACGTGTAGGCAGCACTTGCGTACCTCCAAGTGCCAGTTGGCCTCTTTTCGACAGAGTTCCGGATGGTAAAGGAAGAGATAGATTATTCGCCGCGTTTGCTTGAGAACCTGGCAGCTACAAGGCTTTGTTCAGCAGCTCGTAACACATTTGTTCTCGGCATATACAATCCCGAATGTGAATGTCTGGTACTTGGCTGGCGGGGACGCCATCAGGTCATGGCATGGGGTGAACTGTTTTTGTAATTTATTCATGGATTTGATTTTCTAAATTTAAAAAAAAATAAAATACATGGATGGACGCCATATTTTCCCCTTGTGCCTGCTGAGCAAGACGCTCGTTTCAAACAAGCTTCAGCTCATGTCACCTGTCAATCGAATCGAACAAAGGAGAGCTGTGTGTCGTGTCGTGTCGTGTCGGCGACGACGCCACGCGTCACGCTCCACGCCTGTACCTGATCGAGTACCCCACGCCTTGCTGCGCCTCGTGTGCCAGCCAGCCAAACGTCGGTACGTACTCCGCACTCGGAAGTCACTGGCCGAGCATCCGTAATAACTGGCTATTCGCAAAAGTACGGCCTCGTGCGTGCGCATCCATCCCACGCACCTCCACCAAATATCCCCTATCGACTCATCCTCCTGCTGGGCACACGCGACGGCCTCTAACCGCCCCCGAATGGATAGATTGCTTCGTCAGTGTATGATTGCAGCCGTCGTTCTTCCGTCATGGCCGAGGTGGAGGGTCTGCCCACCTTCGGGCCCGAGCTGAAGGCGAGTCCCCTCCTTGCACGTTGCGTCTTTGCATATTGGCTGACGGCCGACACCATCGCCAGCGTCGCGATGCCCCCCGCATATACTTGGACCAAGTTCGCATGCTAACCGTTTCCCAGGATGGCTTCAAGCCAGCAAGCGCCTGGGTTGGCCACGGCATTGCCTGGCTGGAAGATATCCAGCAGTTTTACCGCGACCGGTCTCTCATCGAGAAGGAATACGCCGCCAAGCTGAGTGCCCTTGCCAGGAAGTATTTTGAAAAGAAGAATAAGAAGTCGTCGCAGCTGAGTGTTGGTGACACGCCTACCATGACTCCTGGCTCGCTTGAGAGGTATGACGCCGCTGCGCGAGATGCTCCATCTTGCACCCTTTCGAATGGACTGCCCAAAGAAAAAGCAAAAAAAAAAAAAAAAAAAAAAGAAACTGCTGGGCCTGCTACCAAACATCATAAACGATATTAACACCCGCCCAGTGCTTCGCTCACCACGTGGTCTACTCAACTCAAAACCCTCGAGTCCAGAGCTGCCGAGCACGACAAATATGGCAGCCTCCTCGTCTCACAAGTCGCCGAGCCCCTCAAGTACTACGCCGCCCGCTTCGAAGAGCTGCGCAAGCGACACGTGGAATACGCCGACAAACTGGCGGCCGAGCGTGACGCATCCTACGGCGACCTGCGCAAGGTCAAGGCCAACTATGACTCCGTCTGTCACGAAGTTGAGACTCGCCGCAAGAAATCCGAGTCGCACCAGGACAAGGCCAAGGCCCAGAGTGCCTACCAACAGCAAATCTACGAAATGAACAATGCGAAAAACAGCTACATCATTGCCATCAACGTCACCAACAAGCACAAGGAAAAGTACTACCACGAATATGTCCCCGAGGCCATGGACAGTATACAGCATCTGCACGAGTTGCGGACCCTCAAGCTGAATGGGCTGTGGGACGCCGCCACTAAACTGGAGGGCACAATGCTGCGAGACAGCTTGGGCATGATGGATCACTTGGCACACGAGGTTGGCCGGAACCTGCCGCACCTGGACTCGCTGATGTACATGCGACACAACATGGGGTCTTTCCAGGAGCCCGCCGACAAGGAATTCGAGCCCAGTCCCGTATGGCACGACGATGCCATCATGGTGGTGGACGAGACGGCAAAGGTCTACCTGCGGAATGTGCTCAGCAAATCCAAATCACAGCTGGGCGAACTTCGGCGAGAGGTGGACAAGAAGCGGCGCGAGGTCGAAGCCGCAAAGAAGCTCAAGCAGCGGGTACGGGACGGGACCGAGAACAAGGACGAGGTGGAGGTGGTGCGGTCCCTGTTAGCCATGCAGGAAGAGCTTCACTCGTTGGACCGGCAGCGCCTGACGGCCGAGGTCGAAACCGGCACCATTACCGCCGTCGTGGGAGACGTGACGCTCGGAGCAAAGAGTCACAACTTCAAGTCGCAGACGTACAGAGTTCCGACCAACTGCGATCTCTGCGGCGAGCGCATCTGGGGGCTGAGCGCCAAGGGCTTCGACTGCCGAGACTGCGGCTACACCTGCCACAGCAAATGCCAGATGAAGGTTCCCGCAGACTGCCCCGGCGAGCAGAGCAAGGAGGAGCGCAAAAAGCTCAAGGCCGAGCGCCAGGAGGCCGCCAATCGTCTTGTGGTGCGGGATCCCGCGGCGCCCCTGCACGTCGCCGACGTCCCCGGCCTGACCAGGTCGAACACGATGAACTCGCTGAGCTCGCATTCCGCCAGGAGGTCGGTCTCGGGCTCAGTCGCAAAGACCGAAGTAGATGCCGGCGAGCCGCCTCTCGCACCGCGCCCGAGTCTCTCGCCCAACCTGCAGGGCAGCACCGCCAGCCCCTCCGCCGCCGCCGCAGGCACGCGTAAGAGGATGGCCGCTCCACCTCCGTCTTCGTACATCGGCGAAGCACCAGCAGGCGGGGTCAATGGCAACGGGAACAAGGAGGAGAAGAAGGGCAAGATGCTGTACGCGTTTGACGCCAGCGGTGACGGGGAGCTGTCGGTGGCGGAAGGCAGGGACGTGACTCTTCTCGAACCAGACGGTAAGTCTTGACCAAGGACTTGATTTATCTTACTTGTGAGCACAAACATGTGTCCTTTCCCCCACCCTTCTTCCTTTTTTTTTTCTTTCTCTACCCTCCAGTCTGTTAACAACCCACGCAGACGGGTCCGGCTGGGTAAAAGTGCGCGCCGGCTACAAAGAGGGCATGGTGCCGGCGTCATATGTCGACTTCACGGCGGCGCCGGCGGTCCCGACGGCCACACGGCCCGAGTCGACGTACTCGACGTCGACGACGTCGTCGGCGGCGCCGTCAACAGGACCGGGCGGCAAGAAGAAGGGCCCCGCGGTGGCCCCGCGCCGGGGAGCCAAGAAGCTCAAGTACGTGGAGGCGCTGTACGAGTACGCGGCGCAGAGCGCGGACGAGCACTCCATGGTTGGGGGGGAGCGGTTTGTACTCGTCAAGGAGGACCCCGGGGACGGCTGGGTCGAAGTCGAGAAGGCTGGTGTCACGGGAAGCGTGCCCGCGAGCTATGTCCAGGTGGTGTAGGCGGTTGGGAGACTTTTGGCCGGGAGCGCAGCGTGCATCTCAGTCTCAGATGGCTTGCGCTGGCTTTGTGTCGAAGTGCGCGGGATGGGGCGGAGAGCAGCATCCCCCGGCCGTCGAGGTTGAAAAAAAATGTACATTTACACTCTTTGCCTGTGGGCGTCTGCCTGTGCTGTGCTGTGCTGTGTGCGTGTGCGTGTGCGTGTGGGTGAGCGAGTGTCTGCGGCGACAATGGCTGACGGAGGAGGCACGCTCCAAGTCATCGGACTCGGACTCGGGCTCGGACTCGGCTGCCATGGTGGCGCCGGCCCTCCGCACAGACTGCACGGCTGCACGTACACGACTACACGGTGCCAGATGCCGTTCCGGGCGGGCCGCGGAGCCGCAATCGGCGTCTCTCCCCGACGGCGACGCGGCCTATGCGAGGGCACACCTGGACGAGGCACGGATTGAAGGAGGAACCAAACGAGGAAGAGGGTAGTCGGGAGAATAAGAAGAAGGGGAGAGAGTACCAAGCCCTACTCTCCTCAGAGGGGTTTATACACGCTTACGTGCAGCAGCAAGCGAGGCCAGTTGCTTGACACTGCGACAAGGAAAGCAACAGCCTTTTTTTTATTTAGCCTGTTGACCAGCTGTCTCGACCATCGACCCGCAATTTCTTCACCCCTGTTGCGTGTCCCTTCCATTTTGCAACTTCAAGGATAGAAACTTGCTGCTGTGACGGACATGGCGCTTACCCGCCGACACTTTGGGTTGAGCTTGCGTGTCCGGGACGGGAACGCTTTGGGTCGGTGCAGCATACATTTTGCGTGTGCACGTGGGAGCCATGAATCCTCTCCACCATCTACGATTGACGCGCTGTATCTTGCCAATAGACGCGACGAAGTCCCACGTGGCACGCGATACGCTACCTCGACGGCGGCCAAGCGTCCGAGCCCTGGATCCAACTGGCCGGCCCCAATGTCGGCGACCGCGGGGCGCGTGGCCCCAAAACAAACCATTTCTTCGTTTCTTCGTATACTGGCAGGCACTGCGTTTGGAATTTCAAACGACCCCGGGCTCTAGGACGTTGCGAAGGAGCGCATGAATTTGGCAAGCTTCTCTGCACCATCCAGGGAAACCGAATTGTAGTTGCTTGCTCGGATTCCTGCGCGACACTCAAAGGTTAGCACCACTCGGCCAGAACGAGATGAGACCGAGACAAGAGCAGGCAGAGGATTTGTCAAAAGCTCCGGGGGTTGCATACCGCCTAGCGAACGATGTCCCTTCAGCCCGGTCAAGCCCTGGGCAGCACTCTCTTCCAGAAAGGCCCTCTCAGCGGCGTCGACATCGCCACCTCTTGTGACCCTGAAGCAGATATTGACGCGTGACCGTACTGTCTTGTGAGGGATGACCTTGTAAATCTCGGGAAAGGCTTCGATGGCGTCATAAATAAGCTGGGCCTTTTTTTCCGTGACAGCCTGTTGTGCGTCAACCCTGTTGGGGTGGTACGTCCGCAAAAGCTTTTTCAGGACCTGGCCAATGACGTATACACTATTCATAAAAATCAATGTGAATTTCATATCAATAAATCATGTGAGTGATTACTTACTCAAAGATACTCAACGTATTGTAAAGGCTATTGTTCTTGGCAATAGTCTCATACTGGAATATAATAGGCGGCACGGGTAAAGCAAGGTGTCTCATCAAAGCCGGAGAAGGCTGAGATAATGTGGGTGGCAGGAAGCTCTTCCTGATGACCACGACGGTAACACCCGCCAATCCCAGGTTCTTCTGCGCGCCAAAGAAGATGGCTGAGAAGTTTTTCACTGGGATCTTTCTCGTGAGAATGTTCGAACTCATATCTGCGACAACAATCGGGCCCTTCCCGTCAGGTCCCGGCTCAAGGGACTTGGGAAATTGAGGAAATTCAACCCCGTCAACGGTCTCGTTGGAGCAGAAATAGACGAAAGCGGCGTCTTTGGATAGCTTCCAGTCACTCTCATCCGGGATTGTTCCAAACTTGCCGCCATTCGTCTTCCTGGCATCTGCCGCACTGGTGAGTGACAAAAGTCAGCGTACCAATCCGCCTTCTCTTTTCTTCTTTCGAATCATTTGTCAAACGCGCCACTTGTGCAAGGGTGATGCGAGGGACAAAATAAAAAAAACGCAAGGCAATTTGTGCTCTAACTCACATGTTTATGTGCGTTGGGCCCAAGAGCCGCTCGCCTTCAGCTGACGCTTTCTGCGACCCTAGTGAGAAAACGAGTTAGCCTGCCATTTTCTGAATCAAATCCTGCTTTACGGTTAAGAGTAAAGCGAAGCAGAGAGCTTGGCTATCATACAGCTGCCGGTAACAAGGTAATCGATCTTGAGGTCATTGTCCACGGCTTGCTTGAGCCGCTGAATCAACTCGGGATGGTCGGCGGGATCGCCTTGAATATCCCCAAAGATTTCTTTGTGCTTGCGGGCAACCCAGGCGCCTGCAAAGTTGTACGCTACCGCAGAGAATTGTCCCTAACAGCTTTAGGTCAAAACTGCTCATCTGGGATAGACGAAATCACGTACTGTGCCGCCGCCCTGCATGAAAAGGATCTCGTAGTCATCTGGAATATCAAGACAGGCGGCTAGATCAGCTTTGGCTTGATTTATAATATCACTTGCCAGAGGCGAACGGTGAGAATGCTCAGCGACTACACGAAGGAGACGAAAGATCAGTATCACTCATTCGAGATATCTGACGAAAGCCACCATTTCAGAATGCCTCTTGGGAGCACACTGAAAGGGAGAATGAGGGCCGCTTGGGAGCTCCATACCGCCTAGGCCGGTGGCATTGTAATCAAGAAGGGCCTTGGCAGCATCTTCGAGGACGTCAGTAGGTAAAGATGCTGGGCCGGCACCGAAGTGTGTAATATCTGATCTGGATGGCATGGCGCCTGATCTAGAGTCGAAGCTGTCGTTCAGACTTGTCGTAAAGGGCTTGCAATTTTTGCTACTTTTTGATGACGCCTGATCTAGACTCGAAGCTGTCGTTCAGAACGGGCGTAAAGTCTTGCAATTTATCGCTGCTTTTTGATTTTGGACTCGAGAAAGCCGATCTCGGAGGCGATCCGCACCAAGTGTGTGCGCGGGAAACAACGGCGCGATGCAAGCTTGCAGAAATGGCGGATGAGGCGACCTGCGAGGCGAATGGAGGCACCAGCCGAGAGCAGAGCGCAAGACCGAGACGTTGGAGAGGCGAGTCGTACGTTGAGGCGCCGCCTCCTTGGGACGGGACGTGCTGGAATAATCCGTACTTGTGTTGTCTCGGGGAAAACCCCATCTAACTCATCTGGCTGGCTGGCGCCTATTTGTGGAGTCCATCGACATGCCTCTTCACGTGATAACTCCACTGCTTCTTCATACTGAACGACTGAACGGGAGGTGATTGAACGGGCCGCCTCCAGATGGCCATCAAGGTCTTGGGCAATTCGGTGCAAGTCAAGGAAGTCAATCGGCATCTGAGTGGTATGCAGCCGTACTAACGTACTATTGAGTGCGAGCTTCCTGAGCGGGTGCACACTTTCGCGGGCCGGAGACGTAGCTCACGGGGTTAGGGTTAGGGTTATCGTGTCAGAGGCCCCCAAGTCTTTGCAAATGATATGTTCTTTGCCTTGTTGACTATGCATCGACTCTTGCTGGCGATGAAAGAGACTTGCAAAAAGGCACGACGAGGAGGAGAATAATTTAGTTGGGTGCTAACTTATATAGTAATGATGGTCTGTTGCATAAGCACGTCTGGGCTTGCCGCCGTGTTATGGCTGCATTTCATGGACGGAGGGTAATTTGCTTTAACAAGAAGTCGAGAATATGACAGGGCTCCAGGCTCCAGGCGATTTACATGAGCCATTCATGTAGTTGCTCATGTCATGCAAAGAGTGCCATTGTTTGTATGCGATATACACATCCTGATACGCATTCTCGCTCCCCAATTTCCACATCTCCTTCTACTAACAACATCTATTTCTCCACTCATGCAAATGAGCCCAAAAAGGCAAGAGAAATGCCCACGAGGTCCTTGACGATAGCGCTCCAGCATTGTCGTCAGTTCTAACCTCGGTCCAAACACGCCGTCCCAGCGATGGCGTAGAAGCACTGTCGCCGTCGAGGAATGGAACATCATGCTCGTCTGACAGCGGGTATAAACGCTGATGGGTATCATGATAGGAACAGTGTAGAGTAACAAGGTGGAACTTAAAGTGTGCCATGTAAAAAAAAGAAAAGAAAAAACAGAATCAAATGCCGGGATCATGGTACCAGTGTGGGCTGAGGGGCGTCATCATTAGCATCTCCAGTCCACAGGGCGTATCTCGAGAAAGGCAATGTTGGGTTACAGGGTTGAGCTCTGTTGCTGTTGAGAGAGGCTCTCGAAGAAGCCATTCATTTTTGCCCCGTGAGGGTCAACTTGGGTGAACCCACTTCGTCAATTTACCAAATCCACGTTGGTGTGCTTCTCGTCTGGCAGCTCCATCTTCGACTTCGTTGGATACGTCGTTGCGAAGCTTTGGACTCGACGAGCCTCCAAAAATTCGCACCAACACCGCCATGACTAATGCGCTCGCGATACTGAGGCCCAAGATTCCAATCATGGTCAGGTTGCTCTTCCGGAACTGGCGAGGGCCTTTGACCGCATCTTCTGGCCAACCTGCGTAGAGGGCATAGGTTGTTGTGATGCTACCCAAATTTCCTAAACCCGAAACTAGTGCCGTGGCTGCGGCTACTCCAACCTCACCGTGCCGACGCTGGAAGATCTCCGAGCTCCATGCCATGCAAATCGGCACCGTAGGGCCGAGACCGAAGCCTACCATGAGCAGGCCGCCATATCGAGCCCATCTGTTTCTGGCGAATGTGGTGACGAGTAGACCGGCAATCTGGATGCAGGCTGCACCAGAAAAGAAGAAGGCTCGCAGGCGGTGGAACCGATCCGACAGAGGCGTGACAATCACGATTGCGATGAGATCCATCTGTGCAGATTAGCATGTTGTTTCAAGGAAGGTGGTCAAGGGGCGGACTGACGACCCAAATAGGTGCAAACAGCAAGCTCACTGTGATTGCACTTGCCGTTGGCTGGGTCGCCGCGATGATGACTGAACCGTATAGTTGAGTGCCAATACCCACGCCAACAACGCCAAAGTACATGAGCGTGAGAGGCCACAGTCGCCAGTCCGAGAGAACGAGAGCAAGATGCTTCATAGTCCACGGTCTAGGGTGATAGACTCGGCGCAGGTCTTGATAATGAACCTCTGCATCATGTCCGGTGAGAGCCTCGGGAGACTGTGGAAACCAGCGGAGCCATTTCGTCGGTTGTCGCACTTGTCCGGGGGCCAGGGGACGATCAGGCAGCCACCAAAGCAGCGTGTAGCTCAACATAATACCGACTAACCCATATATTAAGAACATCCAGCGAAAGCCAACGAGGCCGGAAAGACCATCCATAAGCTGGAAGCCGGCGGATACAAGACCGACGACGGCAGCAGAGACCTGTGAGGCAGTAAAGTACATGCCGATTCTTTTGCCCGTCCGCGAGGGGGGATAGAACAGTGTCAAATAATAGGCCATGCCAGGCCACATACCGGCAATGACCATGCCCAGCAAGAAACGCAGCAGCTTTAGGCTCCATGCATTCTGAACCGCTGCAAAGCACGTCCCAACAAGACTAGTGGCAAAGACGATTCGGGCCATCCATACTCGCGGATTCAGTCTACTCATGACGAGGTTGGATGGAAGGTCGAAAATGACATAGGATACATAGAACAGCGCCAGAGCGGTTGACGTGTCTTTGGCTGTCAAGTGCAGGACCGACATTAGATCGTGCCCGACGCTGATGTTCATGGTCTGCGCAATGCCAATGTTGGAGCGGATTGCCGAGCACAGAAAGTAGAGTACCCAGAATGCTACATCCTGGTCAGCGGTAGTTTGATGAGTTGGATACGACGACCTACGTGGGATGATCCTCCAGTCGAGTTTCCTGGTCCAATTGTCACGGTCAGTATGCGGCATCCCCGCTTTCGAGATGGAGTATTACGGCGTAGTTTGGACTGGAGACTCCGTCGGCTGACCTGTACACTCGTTCGACTGTCTCGACATCATAACCGAGTTGATGCAAGTCGCCTCGCTCCTGGCGGAGTCCATCCGGCGAGCAGTCGTCAACAGCTTCACTGTCCGCTTCAGCTGCGTCGGCACGGTGGGCAGGCGACTCCGCCAGCAATGGAGCCATTGCGGCTGAGACCAAGCCAATTGATGCGGTAGCAGCCGTGCATCAAGATGCCGGGCGAGTAAGGCCGATTCTGGGTGGAGTAAAGCGCCAGATAATATTTGTAAAGGCGGCCAAATTGCAGCAAAAAAGTCTGTCTAGTCCGAACGATGGTGTGTAAGAGTGCTTGAGCTGAGAGAGAGAGCTGAGAGCTTCTCTGAGGTTTCTAATTGAGGGTCGAAATGGGTGGTGGGCAGGTGGGGCCCTGCTTTAAGCCGGGCTTGCCGACCTTGCTCGAGGAGTAGAATATCCAGTCGTGTACCAGAGTTTCAACACAAGATAAATATTCACCATGGTAAGTGCCTCTCTATCCACCCCAAAAGCACTCAAAATCCGTCGATTCGATTTCTTGGGCCTCTCTCGCTGGGTAAGGCTGATTCGCTCTAGACCGCGCGACATCAATGGCCGACACCGGAGCAATAAGCGGATTGGCGAGCGCCAACAGAAACCCGAACCGCCCCGATTTGACAAACAGTCCTACGGAGTAGCAAGCTTCAGAATCTCCGCCGCACTTTTGTCCGGCTTCTCCATATGGACCCAACGCCCAGCGCCGGGTACGAGCGTCGCGCCGCGCCAACACGCCGGCTCAACACTTAGGCCTTGCTGCATCGCCTCGAGCCGCCCGGGGACTTGATACGTGCCCCAGTCTGCCGTTGAGCCCAGAAACGTGCGTCGTGGGCATCTTGAGCTTCAGGCCAGCGAGACACGATAGATCCCGGGAGGTACGGGCATATTCTTGCTCGTAACCCTCAACATCTGCATCGGCGAGCCACGGCATGGCCTCGACTGAACTGCGAGGCTCTTCCAACACGCCCTGGGCGACACCTTCCCGCATCGTCTGGTCGGCACGCATGACATAGTAGTGCCGGCAGCACGGCCAGCTCGGCTGCTGTCCAAGACGCCAGTGGCCGGGGCGGAATCTCCCACTTGTAATGTTTGCGCGGCGGGTCAAGCCGAGCCAAGCGTGTATGCACATTGTCGTCTCTGTTCTGTGCCCAGCGGCGTTCTCTTTCAGCCGGCAGAGTTCCAACGGGCGTAGCTGGAATGCCTTTCCATGTGTGCGCCATCAAGAGCAGCGACCTGCACCACTGTCCTGTCTCATCAGGGCCGTGATCGAGGCCATGAACGCGCCGAGATCATGACCTACAAGCGTGTGAATCTTGGTGTAGCCCAGGGCGTGGACCGGCGACGACATCGCAAAAGGCAGCCAATGGCCGAATTGCCTCGCCGCTCATGACACTTGAGTCTGCAGTGTCAGCGCCAGTCGTACGAGAGGCTTGGAAAGTCAAGGAGCAGCAAGATCAGTGGCGGAAGACATCGGTTGCTAGGGCCGACATTTTGAGCAGGAAGCGATGCAAGAACATGGAATCTCCGTCCAACCGGCGATGCGTCAACGAATCGAGAGGTAACGCCATTTGACAGATCCCAGGGCGGAAGGGTAGCGGGATCCAGAACGAAGATGTAGATTCCGAGATAATGTACATTGGATCTGGAAACATTTAGAAGCTGCAAAAGGGAGACGAAGCCATGATTAGTCAAGACTCAATACATGTGAATCAACTCTTAGCATCAACCGCGGCAAGCTATGAAGTTCATAGCGCGGAGAACAACTTCCAGCTTACAACTCGATACCTATACAACCGGTCCGCGAACTCTTCACTCTTCTTCCTGCTTTTGAGATGGTACACTCGTGAAGCGATCAATAAATCGCTCTCGGCTCACGTAATGCTGGCTTCACTGAACGTTGTCATCCTCACCGTCCCTCAATGGAATTGCCGAGACAGCACACTACATACTAACGGTACGTCGCACTTCTTTCCCTCCTCGCCTCCGAGTGAAAGTCATTTAAAGTCCCAAAAAAGTCCAAAAGACATCATCGTGACGGTTTCCCAGCCGACCAAGACCTCAAACCTCGTCTGCAGTGCTCCCACCAACCCGACTTCAGCCGGCGGGCATGAGAGGGCGTCATGTTCTACTGGACGAGAACCTTGCCACGATCACGGTGTCTCGAGAGACGAACTGGCGTGTTCCATGACCCAAGGTGCTACAAAGGACGATGGTTGTGAACTAGGAGCGTAGCGCGGCCAAGGCCCAACCTGCAGGAATGCCCATCCCGGCAGCCACTGACCCAGACAGCAACAGAATTGTGCGACTTGACGACCAGCCGAATTTGATGCCATAACGTGCATCTCGCTCCGAGGTGCGCATGTTCCTGAACTTGAAAGCTGGGAGGTGGTCACCTCACTTTCGAGACCGTACTGAAAGAGGCTGGCATATGTGCGATGTGCAAGGCGGGAGGATGGATGGGGTGGGAAGAGTAAAGACTTGAGACACGAGTGCACTGGCATCCGCAGAAGAAAACCAGCGTGCTACGAGTAAGAAGTCCCCAGGAGACAAGTCTCTGCCCCCTCAACATCATAGGGAGAATGCAGCATCATGTGGTGTAGAGCCACAAGCCACGCTCACTGGCTCTGCAGAAACGTTGGTGCCTGGACGGCTGGCTTGCTTCACCACCAGCAGATATTTGTTAATACCCTTACACTGGGCCGGAACCAAGTGAATAGACTGGTCCAGGCCGGAAGAACATCTCAACGGGACGAAATCGAGTCGGCAGTGTTGCGTATCACTCAGGCCGATCGCGAGCATCTGCGCAGGTCCAACATAAACGCACAGAAGCGCCGGCCTCTCTCTTTACCGCTCAGACTACCCTACCCTTGATGTGAATACTGCCAAACAAGTATCCTTGGGTTGCCATGCCACCGGGAGGGCCGATATTTGGCTGGCGATTCATACGTGTCCTGTAGCAGCCATCTGTCTGTTGAGACCATCAACCGTAGCCAACTGGCGCGTCATCGAAGTGAAGCCTTCTCTATGCCTGATGGATCAAAAACGGCTAAAGGCGTTGAGTCATATGTTTTGAAACTGGTGGGCGAGACGGCTTCTCGGCCACTTAACCTCCACACTCGCTCATTGTAGTGCTCCAAGGCCATGCCATCTGCTGCTTGTCGCGACGTGGTAAGGAACGGGATGCTCCAGAAATGTGGTTGAAACACCACCACATCAATGCAGTGGCTAACTACATCATCTCTAATAATAGGGCGACGACAGTTCCAGGGCCAACGGATGTTCGTGTCCAATGGTACTCTTGCCAGCCACTTGGATGCGAAACTTGCGAACAATGCGGAGGACTGTCAGGCCGCATCAGGCAGGAACAAGTAAAAAACCGCATCTTTGTCCAGGTCGCGGGACATATTTCATTGGCATTTTAAGGACCTTGCTGCCTTGGACTCCCGCTACACCATTCTAGCTGGTACCGGATACCTTGGAGGCACTAGAAACTGGATTTGGGGCTCTCCGAGGGTGTCATTGCATCATGAGTATAGGAGCCATTATTCAATGGACATCTTTAGTACCTCATCTCACTAGGGAAGACAGAGGTGGTGCTTCTTGGTATCACCGCCAAGGGATTTCGTGCCAGTCAAGGTGTCGATAGGACGCAGCCAACGTCTCGTCCAGAACCAGTGCCGAAATATCGCGGGGTGATTCGAATTTGTAGAACTCACCTATTTCAAGTCGTCAGTAAGCCAAGCAGGCAGCGCCCCCAGCCCGGATGATGTTGCCGAGGAATGGTGCCTTCAGCCATGGTCTCAACAACCACTTTCACAACTTGTCACACCACCATCAGACGCCAACGCGGTCACATGGACCAAACGCATCAACGCACGCCATAAACGATGAACTGTACCATATAACGTGGCCCAGTAAGAGCTTATTGTTGACCCATATGAGAAGCCTCACGATGCAAGAAGTTGGCATTAGTTACAAGTCCTCTTTGCCTGAGCCTGCTCACCGCGATGACCCGGGCGGTGCGCGTGCCAAGAGTGACAGGCTCTGGCCCGTGAGGCCTTCCGAGCATTCCGCCTCGGCCCAACGGTTGGTACCTAGGTATTTGGCGGACTAGCCACGACGGGTTCCGTCAGTCACGGCTCGTGCCTGGCTGCTCGTCGCCACTGCAAGCTGCTGAGACGAGAAAGTGGCTCGATGGCTCGCTGCCAGGCGAACGAGTGGACTCAACAAAACCGACCACGGAACATGTATGGATAAGAAGGACCGAGTCGAAAGACGAGTGGCAATCGAGCAGGGCCGCGCAGGCTTGCCACCCCGAGGACTTCAGCCTTGGCCAGGGGTTAGATGTCAGTGAGTCAGATCAGGACGCACGGAAAGCGTGAAAGCCATACGTTGGTGTTGGTGGAGTCATATTCTGGGAGGTTGCCTGACCATGTCGAGAGCAGACTGGGAATAAATCATGGTTGCTCGCCTCTCTCGGGGGCTCGAGGGAGTCGAGTGAGAAGTTCAAGATGAGCCATCGCCATCACATGATCGCGAGACCACAAGTCGATGATATTTATAAAACCAGATCGCAATTTCCTGCGGTTGGACGCCACTCGAACTTGACTGCGACTGCGACTGCGACCGCGGCCGACTTGACAGTGCAAGGTCGAAAGACCCACTTTCAAGGATCACGTGACAGAACCTGACCATTTCAAGCTGGCTGGATTCTGGATTTCTGCCGAGGCGGATGCCGACGGGTTGACGCCTTCGTACCATATTTTTCAGGCCAGCAAAGCTCCCCAAACGGACGCTACTCCGTATTCGCTCCGTCGAGAACTGCATGATTTCTTGTCGTCAGGTGCCGGGAACTTGTACCAGAGGCAGGCGACGACTCCCGCGGGACCAACACCCCGTATCTGTCCTGATCGGTACGCTTCGCGACATCTCGCGCGACCGGCGCCGTCCCTTCTCAGCCCGCGCGGTCGGCCCGGTCCACGCGGTCGTATACTCCCGCCTCCCTTTCCGCACAAGGTGTTGTCGCGACACCCTCGGGCGACTTCACCTTCGACATATCGAGGAACGGCAGTCATGAGTGTCGCGTACGAGCCCAGGTCCTTCATTCATGAGGGAGCCTACCCCCCGATAGGGGACGAACACGACCATGGATCCGGCCAACGGTTTACAGACTCCGACGTCGCTGAACATCTCAGTCACTACACCTCTGATGCTGCGCTCTTGGGAGATGATCGAAGCATCATCGATGATGATGGCACTGGTGTGCAGGACGCTTCACGTCTGGATCTTGGCGCAACCGGATTCCCGTCGCCAATGCCAGCTCCGCTGCACGCCACATCAATACCTGAGCCCATGTCGGAGAGCAAAGATGCTTCACCAGGCATCGGATCACCGCCTTCGTCGCGAACAAAGTCAATCTCTAAACCCGACAGAGATGTAGCGAAGCAGCCCGACGGCAAGTTTCACTGCCCCTTGGATGAATGCAAGGAAGAGGTCCGCGCATTTTCACGCAAGTGCGAATGGAAGTAAGTTTTTTTATACGTCATGTCACCATGCCAGCGCCGCTAACGATGCGCAGCAAACACATGGACAAGCACGAACGGCCTTACCGATGTCCCGCACCTGGCTGCGAGAACCTCCCTGGCTTCACATATTCCGGAGGTTTGCTGAGACATGAGCGCGAGGTCCACGGCAAACACGGTGGTCCCAAGAATACCGTAAACTGCCCCCATCCAAATTGCAAGCGGCACACTGGCAAAGGTTTCTCAAGACAGGAGAACCTCAACGAGCACTTGCGACGGGTTCACACGAGTGGCGAGGTTTCGACGCCCCCGGCCGATTCAATAGCCTCGCCGGAAGACAACGAAAGCGAAAAATCTGGCATAAAGCGCAAGCGGCGCTCCAGCGGACAGGGGGATGAGCTCACAGAGCTTCGTGACGAGATCAAGCGAGTTCGTGAGGAAAACGAGAAGCTCAAGTCCGAGATGGAGCAACAATCACAACATTCCCTTGCCATGATGGCGCAGATTGCGGAACTACAAGACGCGCTGCGACACGGCTTGTCAACACACGCCTTGGGAGCCCCAACAGCACAGATGATTTAGGAATTGCACGATGAACCTGTTGCGCTTGATCTCACCGGACTCGGAAGGCAGTTTCACGGAACAAGTCCCAAGTTCTACCGTGCAAGTCCACAACAACTTCCCTAAAACAGGGGAGAAAGGGAAGAAGAAACGGCAACAAATGATGAATGCTTACGACAGCTCCAACCCCCCTCAAAACGAACATACGGAGCGTATAGACAGGTCCCACTCTCAACATTTGATATCAATTAGCATCCTCTCCCCTTCTCCGGCTGGCGGGACTACTCACCACCCCTGTCGAGGTCTATTATTTCTTTGTCATTTTTTTTTCCTTTTCCTTTTGCAGCACGGCTCGGCGTTCGGGAGAAAGGGTAGACACACAGATAAACATGGGATATGGTGGCATTTACAAGGAGGCAAATTTGTCGCCAAAGGAGCAAAGGCGCTGCAATAATACTTCTCTCCAACGACACAAGACTGTACGTTGTCAGGGTTCTTTGATCCCCGTTGATCCCCCCCCTCACCCAGTTTTAGTTGCCTGGCTTCTCTCTTTGAAAGCAAGCATCTGAAGCGATGGCAGTGGCTCTTTGCGCCCATCTTTTGGGGGTGTGCAAACCAACGTTGCGCAACGTCGTCGCGATGGTGATGGTGTTCCAAGTTTTTGTTGGAACTGGGATCGGCGAGCATCCGGGAAGCCGCCTGATATGGGGCCTGGGGGGAGGTTTACTTGTACTATTTCAGGGAGAGGGAGTTTGTGCCATGCCACGGCTGGCCGGGTTGACATGGGGCTTTTTGTTTGGACTTCCTGTACGCCATGGACGATTTCACCGCTTTTGAAATGCAGCGGCTTCTGGGCGGCCATGGCCGCTCAGCTCACGCGAACCACGGAAACGTTGCTGCCTCGTCTGTGACTGCAAGTCATGTCTGCGTAACGCCGCCGTGCTTGACGCCCGTTTGAGAAGGCGTGTGCATGAATGTCCGGGCTGGTTTGCCTCGGTCGCGACGGCATCCGTCTCGATTGCGTATTCGTCCATGACTAGTCTCCCGGCTCGCGTTTCCATCAACCGTAACCCGGGTGCCAGGTCACCATCGGCGGTGACAGAAGACGGCCAAACATAGGCGCCAGTACCGACGAATCCTGGCTGCTCGTGGCCGCGAGCTGCTGATGGCCGCCGGCCCGCGACTTCCAGTGGGCAACAGTCACCGTGAGCCTCTGGCCACAGGTGGCTGCTGGCATTCGTGGTCGCTGACAGCCTTGGCCGCGTGGTAAATGGTCAAGATGGAAAAAGACGAGTAGAAAGGAGGGCAGTGAGCGGGCGTCGAAGCCGCGAGTCCCGGCGCGTTGATGCCCCAACCGTCTCATCTCTCATCTGCACGACTTTATTGGCGGGTGAGGTATAGCTCGGCCATCTTGGTGCTTCAATCATGGCCACGCCCAGAGAACATGAACTCGGTTCACACATGATGTCGTACGGCGTCGAGGTCCTTGACTCCTTGGCCTCATGGACCCGACCGACGAGGGCTACATATGAGGAGATGCCTGCGTGTGCGTCCTGACCCAGATGGACGAGGCGTCAAGGGGCTGGTTGACTGATGCTTCGTGCCTTTGTTGTGTCTTTGTGCCTTGATGCCCGGATCCGCGAGTGGTCCACGAGGGCATCGTGACGGCTGCGGCGTCTGCGCACGGCAGCAAGTCACGTGACGGAGGCCTTGTTGTGTTTGAGCGCAAGTTCCACGTGGCACTTCTCGACGGCTGCATCACACAATTGTCATCGCATAGCATGCAAGGTGGAAGGTGGTTCAACACACAGAAAGTGTGGATTTCTAAGATGTCGGTTAGAGTAAACTCTCAGCCGACAATCTCCACACGTCGTGTCAGGACCTGGGGGATCGTCGAAACCACCAACCGATTCTGCAACATGTCGCAGGGCCTTCAGGGATTTGGGAATCTTCCAAGAAAGACCATCCATCCCCCGGAACTGAACAATCCCACTTTTTCGGAGAGGGTGCTTGATCCTTCAGACACGGTGGCCCTGCTGCCTGCCACGCGGGCCACCTCCTTTTGCAGACGATTTCTGCTCCGGCTCCTCCCTGGGCCCAAATCCAGAATCCAGACTCTGACAAGTGCATCTGCATGCTCAAGAGTTCCTCACGCCGCGGCCACCTCTGCAGACGTCCACACTGAGGCGCTGGTCCGGTCGTCTGGTCCCCGAAACCCATGAAATGTGCGCGCGTACGCGGTCTTAACGACTTAGCCTTTACAGGGACCTGGTCGTTGGACATGATGCGGCAACGGCTTCCATGGCTGGTAGGGACCCTCTTGGCATGACAAATGGATAATCTATGCGTTAATGTGGTGCGAGTCATGATAGATCCTCCGGGCGACACGACCAAGAAGTTTATTTTCGTGTACACTCAGCATCTCCATAAGAATCAAGACATGTATAAATGACACAATCAAGCAGGCACGAGTATGCCTCGCAGCAAAGGGGTCTCGAGTCTAGGCAAAGAGGGACTCTCCAGCTTCCAGTCCAAGTCATGGTCCTGATCGGGATCCTCAGCAAGCAGTGGCGTGTCGTCGCCGCCGCCGTCTGCGTGACCATCCTCCTTGTCAGACTGACGGATCCGGTCCGCCACGTCGGCCTGGCGAAACCGCCGCTGGAGGAGGCTCGCCCCGGCGACCCTCTCGTTCCGACGGAGCCCGGCGAGAAGCAAGAGCCGCACGCGTCAAGGCCGTTCGGCATTCCCGGCGCACCCGGCACCATCCCGGGCGTCCCGGGCAAGGTGTGGCACGCAGCCAACGACGACAACTTCACTGGCGAGCAGAGAGACGTCATGGACAGCTGGCTGCGCAAGAACCCCGGCTTCCGGCACGAGCTCCTGACTACCAGGCAGGCCGACAACTACGTCATCGCCAACTACAACCACACGCGGCCCGACATCGTGGCCTTGTTCACGGTTCTGCCCATCGCCATCCTGCGGGCCGACCTGCTTCGGTACCTGATCCTGCTGTCCGAGGGCGGCATCTGGAGCGATCTCGACGTCACGTGCGAGGTTGACGTCGGCCACTGGCTGCCTGCCGACATGCACGCCGCGCGGCCGGAAATCAGCTTGATCGTCGGGCTGGAGTTTGACGCCCCGGCCCCGGCCGCCGAGGAGCGCCCTGTGCATTCCCAGTTTGCCAGTTGGGTCTTGGCTGCTCGCGCGGGCTCGCCGCACCTGCAGCACGTCGTGGACGCCGTCGTCGAGGGGCTGTACGACATTGCCAGGGAGAACGAGGTCGGGCCGAGCGGCATCACGCTCGACATGATCTCCGACGTTATCGACGTCACGGGCCCCAAGAAGATGACGCTCGCAGTCTTGCAAAGCCTGAGCCGGATGCTGGGCCGAACCGTCGACGACCGAGACGTCGCGGGGTTGCGGAGGCCGCGGCTGGTCGGCGACGTCTTGGTCATGCCCGGTGCGGCCTTTGCTGCCCAGCAGAATCATTATCCCACAGATCAGGGGGAGCCGCTCGTGACCCACCACTATGCCGGCTCTTGGAAGGCCGAGGCCGACGCGGCGCGCGAGAGACGGAAGAAGAAGGAAGAGAAGGAGAGGGAGAGAATGGAGGCCAGGGACAGAGGACAGGCAGTGTGAGACGGTCCACCTGATCGAGTCAGGCTCCATCGGCATCCACGGACGAGTCATCGTCACCGTCCCGTCCATGTCGGAGGCATCTCGGGCTGCGCACGCCATGGACATGGCGGACCCGCCTGAAGGTCCAACCGTGATGGAGATGAGACGAACAGCCCAGCGAGAGAGTCCAGGTGCCGGCACGCTGGTACGCCTCAAAGTGCAGCAGCAAAGCCGTTGGCGAGGCCGGCGAGCTGCGGCGGCAGAGGGCGAGAATTCACCAGGGGAATCCGGGTGCGCGTGCAGCGAGTGGCTCCGATGAAAGAGTCTCTGCCGGCAGATTCGGTACGATGGAGCAAGCGTTGACCTGGGTTTTCTATGCCGTGATTTAAAGCCACCTCAAACCTCCCCCTAGCATCCGGTCCCCTCGCCTCTTCCTTGTTCCTCCCTCAGTGTCCAGGACCCTAATGGTCCTTGCTATCAGCGGATAATAAAAAATTTTCTTCGAAAGTCCTTGGATGCCTGAGCAGTGAGCCCCTTGTAAAGGGCTCCCTCTTCGAATACCATGTCTCGACGGATCAGGTACTCGAAGGCTGCATATTTCGCCAGCCCATCACCCCCTATATACAGCAACTGCACGAGTTGATCATTCACCCTATCCACGTAATACAATTTCGCAAAGTTTTCCACTTTTTCTTCAAGTTCTGAGATCAATAGGTCCACATTCGTCCAGTCGTCATGCCCAACTACACGGACAAGGATGTTTTGTTGCTTTTGAAACTGCGACTGCTCCGGTTCCTTTCCCTACACCACGACATGTTAGCATCCGGACAGGCATCACCGCACAACTGTGAGACCGCGCCAATCAGTCCTTCTGCCGTATAGCGGACACTATGCTGCTGCCGCGCTTGTGCCGCTCTTGGCCTGCCATGGGACTAGAGGTACGGTCCCGATCTGAGTGTGCTTGCCTTTTGCGGTGCCATATTTAACGCGTGTCGCGAGTGATGATTTGCTCAATGGGAAAAGTCGCGAGATGTAGTAATGTATGAAGGACTGAAGTGGCTTCTGGCTCGTTGCCTGGCGGGGTGCCTCCCTTGGCGTTAAATACTTTTCCGTCCTGTCAGGATCAAAGGAGCACCCGGGATAAAGGACTTGAGAAAGTCCCGAGACAAATGTTTCAAGCAGACAACAAGTAGACAAAGCCTGTACTGCGTTCGCTGAACAAAGGTTGACAAAGACTTCCTAGAGAAAGAGTCAAGACTGCGAAAGAATCCACCCGGCAATGTTGCAGAGACATGTCAGATAAACCTTCTTCAGACTTGCCGTTTCACGCCTTAGAATCGGCTAACTTGATGGCCTTGATGGACGGCAGCGGCCAGAGACTAACGGGATGATCCGGGCTTGGCCAGGGGGTCGGCTTAGCTTTGAACGTAGGACGGTCTGGGCCTCTGGGCACCCGTCGCCGGTTTGAAGCAGCAGAAGTCACTGTGTGTAGGAGCTGAAAAGCAGCTGCCACGATTCACTTGCATGTGCTGTGCCGCTCTCACGGCATAGTGAGTGTGACGATGGTAGAATTTCTCTCTTCGTACATAGTTGGAGGACGTGTGCCTTGCTTTGAATAAGGCTTTGCTTGATACTTCTCTTTTGCAAGTGTATAACCACTTGACTCCTCGATTGACGGGCCGTCCCAAACACTTTCCAAAGCGGCACCTGGTATTTTTTCCATGACTAGATGCACAAAATTCCTCTGAAGAATAACATTCTATGACCTGGGGCACACGGACGGTTGTTCTCCCTCTAATGAGTTCGAGGGGGAGTTTCTCTGCCTCCAGGTCGGATTTGCCTCTCCTCACAGACTTCCGGATTCGACCGTCTTTTCGGACGGTTATCTGCCGGTCGACGATCGAGCTCAGAGAAAAGGGGTCAAAGATTGTATGAATCATGACCTCATCATTATCATTGAGTGGCTGCCTTTCACTAAAGGTTGACGACAGCGGGCAGCTTTTGGAGGCCTCCCCTCGAATGCGGCAATTAGGTGCGTTGACAAAGTGAAGATGGTCTGGTATTGGGGCATCCAGAAGCTTGTCCATGGTCTCTGAAGTGAAAGAAAGGATTGTACCCTGGAATGCTGCATCGTTTCAAGTTCACAGATTGGCAGGTGTGAAATGGAAAGTTTGTAAGATGAAGTGGCATCTGAATACTCAAGTAATCAACCGTGTTACACGTGACATCCTTGCAACCGCTAACACCTAACAACCGAATCATTCCTTTCCAAAGCCACTGATTTCGATGTGTTGTGATGCTGAACTATCACGTACCTGGCATCAGTAAGCTCGTCGCCAGACTCTTCCTCGACGCGCTGTTGCCATGGAAGAGCAGTCGATTCGTCGTCGGCCTGCACAAGTTCTGCTCTAAAGGGATGGCGTTGAAGCGTCTCTCGGTAAAAGTAGCTCAAGCAACACTATGCCCGAGGTAACAATAATTCCTGCTACTTGAAATCGTGACATTACAGAGGTCTCTGAATTCTAGATATATATATATATATATAAAAGAGACAGTAAGGACCATGTAGAGGAGGAAGCATGAAGTATCTAGACTCTTTAGTATTGGCAAGCTGATAAATATAAAGGCTATATTAGTTTTTGTTAGATTTCCGGCCAGGGGCTACTGCAGCCCAACCCAAGCTGACAGTCGCAAAGTGATGTTTCCGGATTACCCTAGGCACGCTTGGAATATATGACGGCATTTAAGCGGTTGAATGGTCCCTCGATTGACAAACATAGGTAGGGGCATCATTACATCAGGCCTTGGTCGAGAGTGTGACAGGACAATGTGCCGGAGTCTGTCCTCGGCAGTACATTGCAATGACTTTTGAAGAGAACGCCTGGAAGGACAAGCCAGCACGGCACCTCGAATGGCGTCTGACCAGCCATCAACTCTCACTGATGCCATCTCTTTTGTCAGTAGATATGACCAAAACAGAACAATGGCCGTCAACAGGACATGGCAATTGCACGGCCGCCTATGCCATTTGAAAGCTCGCTCTACAGCACTCGTTATCCTCCCCTGCCGTGTGACCTAGTGCCCATTGTTCCGCGTAAACATGTACGCCTCCCATCCAATCCCGTCCTCGGTCTGGATGCCCTCCGGGGCATGGGGCCCTACCCAGTCTCGAAATCCCTGATCGCTTTGTCGCGCCCATTCAGCGTTGCCGCCGCCGTCGATATGCAAAGGGAAGAAAGTGTCTGCGTCAAAGTCGTCCGCGACACGGGTAAGCAGCAGACGATCCACCCACGGCATCCGCAACGCCTCCCGGCACAGGCCGGCGCCACCGATGATGAAGACGCGGCCCAGGACGGGAACACCACTTTCGCCGTCCAACGGGTCAAGTGAGCTTTCTGGCGGGCCCGGACTCGGCCCCCCCGTGTAAGTCTCTGACAAGAGGTTCATGGCGCCCTCGAGACTCGTCGCCACGTGGAGCGGCTCTCTCCTCGAATCACCCTGCAGGCGGGGTGGGATCTTGTCGGGATCTCCCGTGACGACCACGTTGATGCGGCCGGGGTATCTCTTTGTAGGCGTCTTGTCCCACGTCTTGTAGCCCATTATCACGGCGTTCATCGTTTCGGGGGTGACGCGTCTCGTCGTCGTGGACTCGAAGTAGGCCGTTTCGCGCTTCAGTCTGGGCCACGGCATGCGTGTTTTGTAGCTCATCCCCATGGACGGCGTGGCGGCCACCATGATGGTGGCGTTGGTGCATCCGCTTCCGGCCGCCATGCTGGGCACGTTGCGCGGCGCGTGGCAGTTCGACGGCGGCGGCGCTGCGCCGGTGTCGAGGCGCATCACGTCATTTTATAGAAAAAAGGCCATCGTTGGGATGCAATCTCACGTAATCATGTGACGTCTCGGTGTAACGTGTGGACTCGGAGATTATAAAGGCGGAACCTGCACGAAACAGCATGGGTCAGCTGAGCGGCTGAGCTACATTCCAGCTCACTGCTTAGCCCCGAGACGTGATCGGAAACAAAAGACGCGAGCTCAGCGACATCATTACAGAGACATCTTCCGCATGGACGGCTGTGGTGTGCCGCAATTATTCATCATTGTTTGCGGGCAAAAAGAGCATGTAAACCGGTGGAAGGTCGCGATGGTCGGCTGACAAACTATTGCTCACGACGATGCTACCGTGGGAGGTAACAGGCCGCTGTGCTTCCACCACGGCGTGAGAAGAACGGCTCGCTTGTAGTCCCTCGACACGCAGGGCCAACGTTCAACTTGTATTTCGATTTCGAGGCACTGCATGGGCGGGAAGCTTCCTGGGGACAGAGTACCGCCCAGCCATGTGATGTCGCGCGAGCAAGGCTTACAGCCGCGTCAAGCTAACAAATGTTATACTCACAAATCTCGCCTACGCGCGAGCAGAAACAGCAAAGGGTCCATTTTAGCCTGGAGTTGAATACCAAAGAGATATAACGTTATAATGACGTGTCATGCGGCGGAATGTCGAACAATGCTGCTGCCCGTCCCGCCAAGGTCAAAGCGAGGTTGTCAGGATTCACTGACTAGGCAAGGCTGAAACAACGCACTTCCAAAAGCGCCCTCTGTTTTATGACGGCTCAAGTGGTTGTTTTTTTGCCCGTCGGCCCGGAGACGAAAGCGCGCTAGGCTCGGCCCGTCCCGAAGCGGAGCCACCGACTTTTAACCCAACGATCCCAATCAACAGTCGCCAAGATGATGATGAAATGCCAGAAAAAGAAGAGAGCTGGACGCATTCCAGTCGACGTTTTCCCGCCCATATTTGCCTGCTGCCGACGGGTGCAAAGCCTTGCGTGCAGAGCGCCATCAAAACGAAGTGGGGTCGCACGATTGCGAATCAGGACCGAAGAACTGAAGATGTACGTGGTACAGAGCGGAGAGCACAGGGCATGAGATTAAGCTGACAATGCGCAAAGCTTGAGTCGAACACCAAACGTAGCAAGCTGCTGTGGCAAATAACAGAGCTGTCACTGCAATCATGCCACACGTCGTTGGTGCGTCATTTGCTGCCCGATTCAACAAGCTCTCTCCTCCATGCGGGCTTCTCACCCAATCGCACGGAATATCTGACAGACATCCTACGCAATGCAAACGTCGACACTCCCTTCCACGTCCAATTCACGCGTCCACACTCCGTATGGATCTTTGCTTTCCTGGCCGTGCTCAAAAGCATTGTACCGGATGCTGGGGGTGCCTATAAAGCCGCAACATGCCCTCCACAGACAAACAAGTCCGGTGCGCTCACCAACCAACCACACCCTCAACAAGACCGTTCAGTTTCAAACTGGCCACCGTCACGAAATGCAGCTCGTAAATGTCCTCAGAAACTCCTTCCTCGCCGCCAGCATTCCCGTCTCCCACGCAGGAACAGCGTCCACCTCGGCGACAAAGGATTCCACCATCCTCCGCTCCACAGTGAGCTGCCCGAGATGCCCTGAGAACAACTGCTACAAATGCACACTCGGTCGCGAGACGACCCTCCAGGCGAAAACAGGCGGCTTGTCGTACGTCCGCATGCTGATTGGCTTTCAGCTCCCCGTCGAAGCATCCCGGATAACGCGGTGCATCGTGCAGCTCGCCGAGTGCGCCGAGCCCCTTTACTTCCCTGTGAATGTGACAGTGGCGCCGGCCACGTCGTCGGCCTGGGACGAGGTCACGGTCACGGCTGAAAACGCGCCCGACTCAGGCGTACCTTTCACCTCGGTGGCGGTGCAGTCCCACGCCAATGTAGGGCCTATTGACGTTACGCAGGCTTGCAAGCAGGCTGACGGAGGGGGCCGCTTCTCAATCTATGTCGGCACACAATCTGGCCTCATTGAGATTTGGTCTGCGGACGCGGGCCACCCGGCCCTTTTGCAAATCGGCCACACATGACGTTTCTCCTGACGTGCGTCCGGGAACGTCGTAGGTCCGGGAGGCCTCGGGATGAAGAGGGCCCTGGCTAGTCACGGGGAATGTGGGTGCAAAATTGCCGACCAGCGCGGTGTCGTGGTTCTACATGTATAGCTGGCTGATGAGAAGAGGTATCGATTTTGTACAAGTCACTCCTGTCCAGATATCTTGAGAAACTTGAAGTGATTGGAAATCCGTCTGAGCACCCAATATTGCCAATCTAGCTTGGAATATGCTGGAAAAGACCCAATGCGTCCCGGCATGTAGCCAATCCATAACGACGATGGCAGGGTTACCCCTCGATTGTGTTGGAATGAAAGCAAGTTCGTCGTTGCCACGGGATGTGTTTGTTTAGCCTAGTCTGTCAGAGATGCGCTTGGTTCGTATTGTTTTGTAATTCCAACTTGAGATTGCGGACGGCATAGTAGACTAGATGAGGTACCAAATGTCACACAGCTTCAGAACAAGGGACAAGTGAATACTGAGAATAGCTTACGCAATGAGATGAATCACTCAAACGGGAGATAGATTTAGTTTCTTCTCATCAATTAATACTGGGAGAGTCCTGGGACTTGATGCAATTCTTTGTCATCGAGTCTTGTCGATCTAATACTCCCGGATTTCGAGCACGAGGCCACGAAGCAAGGTTTCTCAGCGCGTACAGCTGAGATGGGCACCACCCGCCCCAAGCCTGGAATTCCGATTTCTTGTCGATCTCTCGTCAAGTGGTGCTCTGAATTTTTTTTTTTTTGACATGGCTGCTTCCGGGTTGCGGAGCCTGTTTTGGGGAAATTGTCAAAAGTCGACATGCACTGAGTTTGATGACACTGGACCAGAGTCACTGGATTGTCTGCAGCACGCCTGACTTGAAAGCCCGAGAGAGACAAGAGGCCAACGTCTCCGTCGAGCGTTAGTAGTCACGCTCAGCACGACATACCAGATGGGTCTGTCCGACGTTTGAGCTCGTGTCGGTGCTGCGTCGCGGAAAAACTCAAGCGGGTTTTGATCAGTTCAACAGAACAGCCACATTGCGGCCCATGGATGGAGTCCTTCTGGCGCCGTTGCTGTGGTCCATTCTCGCAATTCGGCTGTCTTTGCCAAACCTGTACGAATACCTCGGCTGTAACGAGAGCTCGTATCACAGACAGTAGTTTAGGACGAGGGCTCGGAGCAGAACAACTCGACGCAGACATTGTCGCATGGTCTCAGCTTTGAGGGTTCCTTGCTTTCTGCACCGCAAGAACCCCACCAAGCCTTGGCCTGGATGACCAAGGCATCAATGGTCTGATGCCCGGGCCCTCGTGTGGCCAGTGAGGGCATCACGATAGCTGCAACCGTTGTGCATTGCAGCAAGTCATCTGGCTGAGGCTTTGACCGCAAGGTCCGTGTAACGCAAAGGTAGTACTCCCGTTGGCTAGGTCTTCTTCTCCTTGTTTTAACGAGGTCACCCCGTCGGCAAAGAAATCCCGAGTTCTTCGTGACCAAAACCACGCGTGCACCTCCACGGCTTTTAACGAAATTTCGATGTCGACTGCAACAAAGGGCAATTGGATTCCCTTGCCGCTCATTTTCTGACCATGTCCTTTCGGATGGTAATTCTAAGCTGACGATGAGATGTCGGCATACCGATATCAGGCACAGTAAATACCATAGGGGAGGAAGCGTTGATACGGGCCAAGTCTAGCTGCACGAGGCCGACACGGGGACCACAGAACGCTCTTCGCTGCGAGACCTGGCGCTTTGGGATTCCCAAAAGTCCCGGCGACGGTTGACAGTTGGGCGATGACCTCGTTTCTCAGCAAAGGGCATGGCGGCAACAGCCGACCATCCGGGTCACGGACTCTTGCTCAGATGGACACCGTCACGCGCTTGCACCCTTGCGCAGCTCAGCATATGCTTATTGCACTTGTATCGATCCCCGGCGTCTCTTAGTATATATCACCTGGAGAGACTAGGGACAACCTAAAAGCTCCCCCCGTTGACCAGCAGTCTCGGTAATTCTCCCCATGACGGACTTGAATACCTTTGTATTGTGGAGCTGTGATTAGCTAGCCTCTGCATACCGTTTACGATACAACTCTCTTCTATCCATTCGTCGTGCCAGCGCCAAACTATAGGTGACCGGAAATCCTGGTCAATTACAAGGCCGTCAGATACCACCACGACTTTGCAAGAATCAGGTTACAAGGAGTCTGTGATCGGATATTGCACAGGCTGCGTGTCCATTCGGCATTCATCGCAACGCCGCTCCTGAGTTCGTCGGTCGCGGCCTGGAAAGCGCGGCAGGGCACCCGAAGCTGGGCCTTGGATCTCGGTGAATTTGGTCTCGAGCAGCTCAGTGATCCTGCCGGCGCCTCTCGCACCCCTGGACCGCCGCCACATGACAGTGCCGATCTTTGTAGATCCCGCCCGGCCCTTCTCCTACACACCACGTCCCCTTTGTGCTGATCATGTGGATTGGCGTTGCGGTGAACAGCGGCCCGAGCAGAAAAAATTGCATGAAAGGGGGCCGCGGCCGCGGTGGCCCGGATTGAGAGCTCTTTCCCCATCACTTGATGTTTTGGTTGTCGATTTGAATCCGGAACATTGCCCAGGGCGGGGCCGCAATGGATGGCGAAGTGTTTTGCTTCTTGAACGTATTTGCCAAGGAAACTTGGCGGGTTGAAGATGGAGCTGCCTCGGCCACGACTTTGTCAAACTCACCTCTTTCCATAGAGGTTAGTTGGAGGGCCGCAATGGCTGTCAGGTACGAGCGTCAGATCTGCAACATGGGGAGACTCTCTTCTCTATGAGTCCCACTAGTCACCACCCAACGCAGCCGTTGCTACTGGTTTAGTCATTTTTTGCTGCGGAGACGAGTAAACTAGGAACGGAGGAAATTGTGAGTTGCCTTCCTTGTCGAGTTGTGTTGCCCTCCATGTCGGGCGGTTTTCTGCAAGTCATCCGATGTCCGAGACAAGACAGCTGCAAATACGCATGCATCAGTTACGGCGTACATTTGATGTTGACGTTGAATAAAAAAAAAAAAGGCCCAGGGCATCGACGTTACGCGGTGAATCATATCTGCCCTGGCAAGCCCTTTCAACATTCGAGTCACGATCAGAATATTGCTCCGTTGACAGCCGTTGTCAAAATCAACATGCGACCGAAACAAGCCGTCTTATAAGGCACATGAGCTCAAGGAGACTTGCACTGGTCATTCACGACGGATAAACTACCTTGGCACGCTGTGGTGGTCTTTTCGGGTTACGCACAACAAATGTCCAGGGTAGTCGCAGGAGAGTACAGAGGGGGCGGCGTGACTCGTGAGTGAGTTCCACGGTGTCGCGATAATAGCAGAATACTGTACTCTGTATGGAACCAGCAAATATTCCCCGCATTGAAGACGGGATGCGTCGACGAAAGGGTCCACGGATTTGTTTAGAGCACGAACAGGCTCGTCAAGATTCGTGTCGGCGCGGAGTACGAGCACACCGGCCTGATGACGGTGAAATGCGACGGCAACACTCGAGAGAACAGGCATCGAAATGGGTCGAGGCCGTGTCGGGACGCACAAGGTTCAATCCGCACGAAATTATACTGCGGTGGAAATACATGCTTGTACGCGGAGTCGGTGCCCAAGGTCTATGACTCTCGTCGACTTGGTGAAGCGATGACGGCGGTTCGAGAACAGTGGCAGACCGCAGCGGGGTTACATGACCCCCCCCATGAGGCCGATGCAACCTCCGAGCCATGATGCGGGGTCGTGATGCTGCGGGAGAGCGGGGAGGAAATCTGGGGAAGGGGATACGTGCACGAATCCTAGCCAGAATTAGTACCGACCGTGTGGTAGCATTTTTTATTTTCATGGATACTCCGTACTTTACGTAACTTTACCTACTGTTCCTGCGGAGTATCTGCAAGGCAACGGGACAGGTCGCAAATCACTTCTCGTTGAGTGCCGGAGCCGGGCAGTCGGAGCGATCGACAAGCAGAGTCCTTGCTTGCCTCACTGGGCGACGCTCAAATGCGTTGATATTATTGAGAAAAAACTACTGCAACAGGCTGTATCGCCTGGTCGAAGCATTGCCCGGTGGACAAGCGAAGCTGCCCTGGGGAGAGGGGAAAAGAGCCTCGGAGGTAGGTAATTTGCGTGCTGGTGGGAGAATTGACACTTGATGCAGGCGGAGGCGGGAGAAGCAGTCACGCGCACACGGTACCACCGACTCACACGCATGGAGGGAGGACACCTAGCGAGCTTCCAAGTACCTTAAGGTACTTACTTAAGGTAGGTAGGTACGTAACCCAAGTACTTTACTTGGGCATCGCGAACTCGAGTACTTGGCACTTGGTTTAGCCGAGCCAAGGCGGCAGAGATAGCCAATGGCGCTGCCGCACGCCTGCCAGCATTTTCCTGCCGCCGCAGTACCCCAGATGGAACACCACGGATAAGTTACTTTACAAATCAGAGTAATCAAACAAGATGAAATTGATGTACTACTAGTACTATCTGGACTCTGGAGAGCCGTAGGAACCCCCACCCCCACCCCCACACCCCACTCCACGCGCCCCACAGCCCCTCGTTCCATCGCCATCGCCAGATGTCGCCTTGCCTGCATTCGTGCATGTTGCATATTCACCAACCCCGAACAAGACTCCTCTACCCATGCGAGTGTCTCGCGCTCTTCGCTCTCGTCGCCTGCCTATGAGTCCATTGTGCATGCTCGCGACCAGAGACATAACAAAGTCGAGCGAACCGCGACGCGCGCACGCAGTCAATACACCTCAGCCAGCCAAGCAAGCTGCGTCCGAGTCTCAAACGCCCGCTTCCGGACAGAGTCTCACCTCAGTCGCCCAACATCTCGACCGCGACTGAAAGGCCTTCTCGGTCCTGGCCGCAAGTTTCTCTTGCAGCGTCACGTAGACGCTCTCTTCCCTCTTGCCCTCGCTCTCGGCACAAGCCTCGCATGGTGCAGTCGGGGCAACCCGGTAGAACCAAGTCGACTCCAGCAGCTTACCCGAGCGTTAGCCTCGAAACCTTCGTCATTTGCGCCAAGTTCAACTGCGCTCCTGGCTGAGTCGTTGGGTGTGGCTGCTTTTGACCGCTTCGCCTCTGCATATGCGAGCCGTGCCACGCGGCCGGCCGCAATCTCGCCCATAACCTGCGTTTTGAATTTGCTGCTTCATATTCCATTTGTCCACGCGCGCATCAAGACAGACTACGCACGCACACGCCTTCACAAACACACCCCCCGCCTTTGTCTGTGGCCAAGCCCGGCTTTTCTGCATCACGTTGGATTATTCCTTCCCAGTTGGAACGTCCCACATCGTCCGGCGGCGCGCCAACATGTTCCTGCCTAGTGCTAGTATAAATACCACGGGGGAGGACCTCATCGAGGTCGTGGTCGACACACCTTGGCTGTCGACAATCTATTCCCCCGGCCTTCAAAACAGCTTGACGCGCATTCCCGGCGTCATGAAGTTCGTCAAGTTTGCTTCGGCGGCCGTGCTTGCTGCCATCGGTGGTCAGGTAGGAGCCGATTCTACCTTCACCCCAGCAAGACCACCAGCTGTTCCTCTGGCCGTCCGTAGTCCCTATCTGAACGTCTGGCTCAACGGGCAAGAAAATGGTCCTCATGGGGTCCTCCCTGGGCAATGGCCCAGGTTTTGGGCGTAAGTCTGGTTCTCAGCCATAGTCTCAGCCTCGCAAACCTAAACATCTCCCCCGTGCCGTGGGCCGTGATGGAGGGAAGAATATGGTGACTAATTCTTCAATCCCTCCCTACCCACAGAACTGGAATCCAAGGATGGCAAGGCTTCATCAAGGTCGACGGTCAAGTATACAACTGGATGGGCGGTGCTCCGGGAGCCCCGAACGTAGACCAGTTGAGCTTGGAGTATACGTCAACACGAAGCATTTTCCACATGTCAGCCGGCGGACTCGTCGACTTGATAGTCGAGTTTCTGTCGCCTGTCTACCCCCAAGATTTGCGGCGCCAATCCATTCCGTTCTCCTACATCAAGGTGGCTGTCAAGTCTCGCGATGGCAAGTCGCACAGCGTCCAAGTTTATTCCGACGTGTCGGGAGGTCAGTCGCCGCTCATTGGTTCTCCTGATATCCGCGCTCGTGAATTGTCGGGCTGACCTCGTCTCAGAATGGGCATCGGGCGACGGCGGAGCAGTGGTTCAGTGGGAGACTTCATCCAACGCTGGCGTGCGTAGCCATAAGTTCTGGAAGCAGAAGCAAACTGTTTTCCAGGAAGATGGAGAAAACGCAGCTTGGGGCAACTGGTACTGGTCCACAGGTGACCAGCCTGGCGTAAGCTACAAGATCGGCGCGGATGTGGATGTGCGTGGTCAGTTTCTCAAGTCTGGGTCTTTGGACAACCAGGTTGACGACGAGTTCCGTGCCGTCGCTGACAGGTGGTGAGTCTGAAATTCTGTCAAACCTCGACACCACCGAGGGACATCGCTGACACGAAACCCGAGGCCTGTTTTCGCGCTTTCCCGTGATCTGGGCAATGTCAGAGGAAGCTGGGCGCGCACTCTCTTCACCATCGGAGTGGCCCAACGGGATAGTATCCAGTGGGTTGGTCAGGCCGCAGATCCCCAGGCCGTGCCGTCTCTATGGACTTCGTACTTTGGTGACGAGAGCGACCTAGTGTCGTTCTTCTACCACGACTACGACGATGCCACGCATGCTGCCAATCGGCTCGATCTTCGTATTCAGAGAGACTCTGTTGCTGCTGCTGGCCAGGACTATGCTACCATTACGACTCTGGCCGTTCGACAAACCTTTGGTGCCCTGGCATACACAGGCACGCGGTCGAATCCTTTGATTTTTCTAAAGGAGATCTCTTCAAACAGCGACATTCAGACCGTCGACGTCATCTTCCCTGCTTTTCCTATCCTCTTGTACATGAACCCAAACCTGCTCAAGTATCTTCTCGAGCCTCTGTTGATCAATGATCGATACCACTATCCGAATAACTGGGCACAGCACGACCTAGGACGTTTTCCCCGGGCACTCGGCTACCCTGCTGGAAACGATGAGCCCATGCCCCTGGAGGAGTGTGGAAACATGATCATCATGATGCTTGCTTATTCTCAATGGAAGCACGACGACAAGTATCTCTCTGACAACTGGGATTTGCTCGCCAAATGGGCCCAGTATATGATTGAAGACGCCAAGATCCCCGCCAGCCAGCTCTCTACCGATGACTTTGCTGGCCATCTCGCGTACGTCCAGCCCAAACGCTAGCCTGACGAGCTGCAAAGCTAACCATGTACGTTTCCAGTAACCAGACCAATCTAGCAATTAAAGGCATCATCGCCCTCCAAGCCATGTCTCAAGTCGCTACCCGGGCAGGCTTCCGGGACCAAAGCAGCAGGTACTCTGCGTTGGCCGAGGACTATCTCCAATTTTGGACTCAGCATGGCGTGAATGCCGACGCCGGGCACACCATGCTGCAGTATGACAACAAGGATTCTTACGGTATGCGCGCAGTTGGTCCGTGGGTGCGAGTGTTGAGGGCTGTTGCGAGCTAACGCGTGGCGCATCAGGTCTCCTCTACAATATTTACCCAGACAAGCTCCTGGATCTCAACTTTATCCCCCAGGAAATATACGACATGCAAAGCGACTTCTACCTCAAGACGCAAAAGCGGTATGGCGTAATCCTCGACACCCGCAACGTCTGGACCAAGGTGGACTGGGAAATGTTTGCTGCAGCCGTAGCCAAGCCGAAGACGCAGCGCATGTTCATCTCCAAGATTGCTACGTGGATCAATGAGACGCCCACTTGGCGTGCCTTTACAGACCTGTACGACGTAAACACCGGTGGATATCCTTCCGGTATCCAATTCACGGCGAGACCCGTAGTGGGAGGCGTATTCTCACTACTTGCGCTAAACAAGTAGTGGGAGTGTGAATAGTGTTAGTCTGCATTTTGTACTTTAGAATCGATACGAGGCAGCCTTTTACATTGCACAAGTAGATCAGTCGCTACTGGCATTGGAGGTTTCTGTATACATGTAAATAACTACAAAGCACAGGCTCAAGACATTCATTGCCGGCAGCTGATGCATATTGGACTCGGCGAGGGCACCTCAACCTGGCATCCGACATGACCCTAATACATCTGCATCTCAAGGATCGCCCGTCACGAAGCACAATTTGGCAAACAAGCTGGACCGTATCACAGTGCTGTGTTTTTCGGTCCAAGCAGGCGCTGACGTGCTGGCTTCCAAGTTCTTGTTGGTGCAATCACCGACGCTGGAGATGGACGTACTACTCTGACACTCGAGGATGTTTGAGGGCCGTGACCGCCCACGACGAGATGCATCATTTGCTAGCATTGCACCGGCCCCCACGCCGGCCCCAATGATTATATGCGTCGAGCTTTTGGGATGCGACAGTTCCACTTGGCACCGGGTGAGGCGAACACAAATATCAAGGGGCACAAGATCCATCATGGGGGCAACACGGCACGGCATACCAAAGCGTCGTAGATTCATGTCATTCTAACCATCTACTCTGAAGCGACTACTTGCTCGTGTTGTGTGTCTCCGCCGCAACGCTCCCATCCCACACGGACTTTGCCCTCGGCCTCGCTCGGCCTCGCTGCCGCTGGTCGGACCGGCATGGCTACCAGGCGTTGTTGACGCAGTGGCCCACGGCGAAGAGGTCCCTGGCCCTGGCGAGCAGTCTCTTGATTTCGTCGGCGTAGGGGGCGGCCACGGCCTTGGCCAGCGCAGACGTCATCTTGCCGATGATGACGTCGACCAGCTTGCCGCCGTCGGCGCTGAGGACGCCCATCTTGGCGCGGGCGACGTCGCACGCCTTGGCCTTCTCGACGGCGCTGACGCGGGCCTTGACGTCGTCGAAGAGGACCTTGGCCGCCCTTTCCAGGTCCTGCACGGAGCCGAGCAGACGGGAGGCGGCGAGGACGTCAATGTCCGGAGCGCCCTTGACCTCCGACTGGCCTTGCCGGCAGGCGGCGGCGACGGCGTCGGCCGCCTGCACGACGGGCTGGATGTTGTTGCCGTCGAAGGCCTTGGTCACGGCGTCTAGGTTCCTCACGGAGACGGTCACCCCTTCGATGGCTTGTCTGACGGGGTCGTCTCTCTGGACGACCATGGCGTGGGCGGCCGTCATGGCGGCCAGGATGGCGACGGCGGCGGCCAGCTTCATGGTGCTTTGGGTTTTGCGAGGTGCGTCCGGCACGGGGTGTTCTGGTCAGCTGCGATTCCGGGGGCTCTCGAGGCGCCGGTGCTTGGTGTCTGGTGCGATTTTGGAACAGCGACAGCAGCCGGGTCGTGTGTCGTCTTTATATACTCGTCGGTTCGTTCAGGCGGCGGCGCCGCGGCGCCGGGGAAGGCCTCGTTCGACGCAAACACGCAACGGTGCTTGGCGAGCCGCCGCTGTCGTTTGCGTTGCATCTGACGACGAGTTCGTTTTGGGAAGCCTGTCGTACTTGGACTGGATCTCGTGTCGAGCGACACGGAGAAGGGGGAAGGCGTATATGCATCCAGGGGCGCAAGGGGACTCGAGAGCGTACGAGGCCATGAGGAAGCTGGCTACAGGGCCAGCGGCCAATTCCGAATGGAGGATTCTGGTCTTTTCGGATGGTCGACAATATCGGTCTGGCGCGGTGAGGCTTCACACTGTCGACATTGACTCGTTACCGTGCTGATGTTCTGGGGGGCAGTTTGTCGAGTCGAGTCGACGCCGCAGAGCGCCGTCTGTCGGGGTTTGTGTCAAGGTGCGAGGATTCGACTCGAGCGAGCTGGAGCTGGTTTGCGGCTGCCATTCTGCGCGGGCCGTATGACTCGGCGGTCGGGTCCAACGTGTCTCCTTGCGGTTGCGGTGACACGAATTGCCATGGTGGTGCGAGGATCACATTGTCCAGAGCTCGGGGAGCGGCGCGGAAACACGCGTCGTCCCTCTGCGGAGACGAGTCGTCTTTGCGGCGTGATCTGCGGCGCCCGCACTCTGAGTCTCCAGGAGGGAGTGCAGGGCAGGCATCTGTTTCCCAATCTGGACGACAATATCCGAATTCCTCCGGCGTCCTTTGCTCAATCGAGGTGCTGTGTCGCGGATTGTTTTGGTCGCCGTTTGTGCCATCTCATGATCTGCGAAGTAGTGCGGTGCTTCGAGGCAGGGCGCGTCCCTGGTTTAGGCTCGAGGTGCTCATGATAACTCGAAAAGCAGCAGGGATGCTACCGGTTCGATTTTCCAGCATCGAGATCGGGATTGACGATATCGAGGGAGTGTATCAGCCACCGGTCGTGCTCGGTGCTGGGGGGGATGTACAAGTAGGTTGTTGTATGATTGTAGCTTTGATTGGGCGGGAAACCAGACGCACTCACATGACACCACACATGACATTTTGGTTTCGCAACTTCACATGGGCATAGAATCCGGCGCCAAGCCAAAGCGCTCTCTGTCTAGTCCTACATATTCATCAGGCGTCAATCCCGTCGCAAAATGCGTCACGCTCATAAAATACACAGTTGATGCCGGCTTCCTTGCCGCCAACGCAACGCCATCATGGCATCGTTCCCCTTCATTTGGCATGGCAGAAACTGCCGTCCCATGGCTTGTCTGGCGCCGCCGGGCACGATTCCCACTGCTCTGCCGTCTCCTTTGACGACGACGAAGCATCTTCGAGGGCCATCTCCATGCTGGCAATTCGGATCTTCTGCCTTCGCACCAGCATGCTATTTCCTCTCGAAGCCCTGGACCTCGCCATGGTCGAGCTGATGGTGCCACCAAATACCTGCGGCCACATGCGGACCAGCATCAGTCGGACCGCTGGCAGGCAAGCACATATGAGGCCGATGTTGATTTCAATCGTCGACCACCACGCTGTCTGCCACAAATCCCACGTTCGGTTTTCCGAGTTGTAAAAGTGAACGAGCGACCTGAGGCGCAGGATTGATACAACCGTTACGCTTCAAACAAGAGAAAGAGAGGGAAAGAAAAGTCAGCGGTTGTCTGCTCCACTGCAGTGTTGGACTCTGCTTCCCAGCCCAAAGCTGAGGTCCGGCATTGGTCAGGGTCATGACTTACAGCGCTCCCGTCAAGAACATGACGGCCACTCCCAACTTCTTCTTCCAGTGTAGCTCCAGCTTTTTGACCTGAAACAGCGGGATGCCAATCATCCACAGGTCAATGGCGACGCTCGAGACTCCGTTCAGCCACCCAAGCAGGTTGATGTTGAGGCATTTCCCAGTGCCCTGCTGCGCATACTGCATCCAGTAGAACTGTATGGGCGCACACTGGAACACAGAAACCAGTATAAAAGACACGCCCGACAGAGCGTTGACGGCAAAGGTGATCCAGAGCAAGAGCCTCGTGATCTTGCCGGGGAATATCGAGAGGTAAAACAGCAGCAGACTCAGCTTGATGCTCGTCATGAGGAAAACATACAGAATCTGCTGTATGAAGAAGTAGCGGGCAAACTCGACAATGGCGGCGGGCTGCAGTGTCCAGACGTCCCTGCCCAGGCCGTAGTAGGAGAGGCCCTTGACGTTGAGGATGGTGCACGGCAGCCCGACGAGGGCCGATACCAGGAGGATGACCAGGTCGTCGGGCTTGAGGGTCCTCTGCCCGCTGAAGAAGAGCTTGAACCCGGTCCGCATGACCACAAGCGTGCCCGTCACGGCACACATGGCGATGCTTGTGGCGTTGTACTTGCCGGACCGGTCCCTACGTCTTCTGTGGCAGGCCGTCTCGGTCGCGTTTTTGGTGACTATCGCCAGAGGCGCGTCTCGTCAGTTCCATTTCGTCTCGGGCACGCGGAGAGCCTGGATGCCCGCCGGGGGGAGCTATGCCTGGCGTGCGGGACACTAACATACCCAACTGTTGGCCGTAACCGCAGGATGATTTGACACACGCCGCTGCGTCGTTGAAGATTGCGTCGTCTGAGCAGAGACATGACGTGTCACGACATTGGGCATTTGATAGAGACGTCGTCACGCAGGGGGTCTGTATGTGCGCGTCGTGTCAGTAAGCCATTTCCCACATGTTACGTGACACACCACGGCCACGAATTGATGACAAGGACACGCTTACAGCGCAAGAAGGTAGTCCATCCAAGTACGAGGCCAGCTCGGCGGCGTATGAGGTCGATCCGGATGATGCCGCCGCCGTGGACGATGCAGTGGACGAGAGCGTCGTCGTCGTCGCGCTGGATTGACCTCTGCAGACTTGAGCGACGTTCGCCACGACGCAAATCAAGGGCGGGATTCGTTGCTTCATATCGGCGGCCCGCAGGGTAGAACGATGTCGCGGGTATCGGAAGCGAGTCAGACGACTGGTCGGAGAGTTATGCTTCAGATGGACGAGTTCTCGATGCTCCCGTCTCTTTCTACCTTGCACAACCGTAACATGTCTCCCGCTTTCACGCGGTCACGTCCGGTCCTGCTTGTTTGCCAGCAGCCGCAAGTCGGCTCAATATTTCTCACAACCGGCAAGGAAACCAATATAACATAGCCAAAGTCCGGCGAGATGTCACTCTCCTGTCGAAAATTCTGTGCATCCCGTGGGACGTGGGATCTTGTCTGGGTTCACGATGCGTTCTTTATACGCTTGGCCAACCAAGCACCCCCTCCCCTTTTCGTCCTGCTTTTAGAATGGGAGCACATGCTGGCATCTACTAGCTCTCCCGGCTACGTGGCACATGGCACACGCTTTGAGTCCCAGAGTATCGTGTCCTCGTCGCCGCGGTCTCTTGCCAGCTAGACGAAGATGATCTTTGATGCCCTTTGGATGCGACACCCCGCAAATTGGCCCAAGGGCCAAGACCAATACGGTAACGTTTGATGGGGGGCAGCATATATGGCGGCCGATCCTTCACGCAGCCACAAACCTTACCCATTCCCTCCTATGCAGCTAGCTCATAGGGGCAGGCAGGGGAGGGAAGCCGTCAAGTCAAGTGGCGTCTTTTTTTGTTGACGCCGGCCGAGGCCCACGTTGGGGCGAGCGTCGCAGTTTTGCCGGCCAACATCAAGTTGCTCGTGTCTCGGTTCCATATGACGGGGTGCTGCTGCCGCTTTCAAAACTCAACAACTGCCATGAAAGCCAAGGGCAAGGATTCTGTCCTCCCCGTCCTGTCGGCCCACAGACAGGCTCAGAGTAACTATAAATGCTCAAGTGCTGGCTTCGTAGTTGTCTCAGACAGGTCATTGCGATGGACTTGGTTGGTATCAGCGTGCTAACCACTCCCAACCAAGCCACTGACTCGATCCAAGACATGGCGACGCCCGGACGATGGATACAATGTGTAGCAGGGCCTAATAACGGCTCGTGACTCTTTGTGATTTCATTCTTCGTCCCCCCTTATTCGCAGCAGCGACCTTGGTCATTGCCAACTGAGACCCATGTATTGACTGACGACGACTTTGCCAGCCACAGGATCTGCGGCGGCTTTCCAGCCGTCAAACGTCTCTTTTCTCACAAGCTACAGCAACCAAACAGACGGCAGTCGAAGGAGCCGATGGCCATCCCAGGAGCCGACTGTGTTTTGTCTCTCTGCCTTTGTCGCGCCAACAGAAAGACCACTACCACCCTGTCGGTGATCGAGTGCACCCGACTTGCCTGGCTCGCTTGGCAACTACGTAGTTGGCTGACGGCAAAAAGTAGGCGCAACGCACACGCATGACGATCGCGCTACTTAGTCTGTCGCCTTGGCGAATAGGGCAACGCGGGCAGCGCGGCAGAGTCCACGTGAAAAAAAGCGGCCGTGGCTGATCGGCAGACGAACAAGAGCGCCCGGATAGACACGGAGGACTCGGGGAGGGGTGCGGTGTGTATTTCTGGGCGTCCCGGCATCTGTGCTCGGGGATGCTAGAACCAAGAAGCGGGCTTGTCTGTTATTCTTTTGCTTTGTGTCAGGAACACGATCGGTGGCCAACGTTTTGGCGCTCGCGCTCGAGAACGCGTGAGAGGTCGTTTAGTTTGATTTGGCGCAAGCGCAAGGCTAACTTGACGCGACCCTCGTCCCCCCCGCAAAAGCTTATTTGGCGTTGTCGCGTCTCGGTTGTCGTTTTCGCCTGTTGGCTGCGCGGGTATAGTATCATTGTGCATGTATACGTGCGGGTGGCAATTGTGTTGTCCGTGACAACGCCATGCTCGCGTCGCTCCATCTATGCCGATTCGGATCTTACGCCGCCATCTCGCGGCCCAGCATGACGATGACTCTTGGATGCGAGCTGGCGGTCTCAGGACAACAGGGCACCAAACCTCTTGTACAGAGGCTTGTTCATTTCGTTCAGTACACGAGACATCTGGGGTAATTGTGGCCCGTAGAACATAAAGACCCCATGGCCACGTATCCAAAAGACCTTCCTCCCCACCCCCCAGATTCCGCTGCCGTGTCCAGAGTATCGCGTGGATAGGTGTTTGCATCAGAGCCTCCGCGAGTCGGTGAACTAGCAGAACTGATGAATGCCCTCGCTCTCCAAGACCAGTGGTGGCGAGACAGTGCGACAACTCGGGACGCGGCATGGATCCTGTGCTTCATTATGTTGGAGGGCGTGTCTCGCCGTGTGTCAGCAGGCATGTAACGTCCTGCCCCACAAGATCGCCAGCCCCCCACTTTCGACAGAGTTTTACACTACAGATACTACTTTTTTAAAAATTAATAATAAAAGAAAATAAATACTAAAAAATATTATTAAATAATAAATATTATTTATATTACTTATATTTATATATTTTAAATTAAATTTATATAAATTAAAGTTATATTTTATAAATTTATATATTTATTATAGTCTGAGCTATGCTCGACCTTAATAGATGCGCAGCAATAGATGCACTGCACTGCAATGCGCGATAGAGGGACAAGCCCGTGCAGGACCTATATAGTGCCAGATTGAGCAAGCTGTGGACAGCTTGTTTAATACGTACCCTTTTGACTCAACAGTTAAGGGGTCCGGCAAACTACTGGGATGACTGCGGCTGGCACCCGCTATTGCCCATAGAGCTAGTCTATTACAATATTTAAAATATAAGTTTTTTTTTATTAGTAAATTTTAATTATAAAATTTTTTAATTTAAAGCTTTTTAATAATATAATTAACTTTATATATATTAATTACTTTAAATAACTATAAAGCTATATAATTAGTATATTTATTTTTTATATTAAACTTAAAAAACTTTTTAATTAATAAAAAAAACTTTATTTACTATTATTTTTACTTTATAAGCTAGCTTTAGCTTTATATTAACTAAAGTAAGCTTTATATAAATATATTAAGTTATTTAAATATAAATATATAAAAAGAATATTTTTAGAAATTTTTTTAATAGCTTAAAATAAATATTTATATTTTTTATTTATATTTTTTTAAAAGCTTTTAATAAAACTTATAATATAGCCTTCTCCCCCCCCCCAAGCCTAACGCCCACGTCGAAAGTAGGGGGCTGACGATGTTGTGGGGCGGCACGTTATATATAGCCATCAGTCGGACGCTGCCTCTCCGATTGTGTGAATACGGCTGCTAATAATCACCACGCCACCATTCGCCGGTGCGACGCATATCCAGCATCATGACTGGCACAATCCTATCGTTTCTGATCCAACTTCTGGTCATCTCACTCGTCCTGGTTGTGCTATGCTTCTTGTCGCTCTTCTGGCCCCTAAAGCACGCCGTTGGAGGACACGGCATTCCATTACTTGCCACCCAACTTCGGTAGTTACAGCTAAGTCTTTAAGAAATACGCCCAGGAGCTCGTGTTCGCCTACGCCGCCGTCAAGATGTGGTTCGGGGCCACTGGAGCGTGCTGGTCCATAGCCCCAAGTACGTCGCAGCACTGTACATCGTTGTCCATGGGCTTTTCCAGAAATACTGCATCCAGAACTGCGGACAGTCTATGAGGACAGCTCTCGAGGTAGGTCGTGGGTTGTTGCGGCCCAGCGCTACGGCACCAAGGAATTAACCCTCAGGGATGAGCTGGTTGACATTGCGAGTCGCGACAAAGGTCCCGCCCAAAGGCACCGGCGAGCCCCATGGTCTGATTGACTCGACCGCCTGCTCGCGGCGAAAACGTCGGGTGTTTTCACGGAGAAGCAGCTTCGGGACAACTCGACAGTGGACACTTGGAGCTGCTCAACGATGGGTCGCTGCCTTCGAGGGCGTGCAAAAAAGCTGTATCGGCTCCGGCGCGGTCGGGCCGAGTTTATTTCTTTCCACGGCGGCAGGCGGGCCTGTCTTGGCGAGAAGTACTCAGTATGCATTGATGCAGATCGAGGCTACTCTTTTTGTCCTGCTCAGAGATTTTCATTGGAGGTTGGATCCTGCACGGCCGGAGCGAAAGTTCCCAGTAGGTGTGAACCCCTTCTCTTCTCTCTTCATTCGCATTGCAGTTTCCAAGGACGAATCAGGACTGCGCGGTGTCACTGAGGGGATCCACACCTAGACGCCCACCATAAAGCTCAATGGACCGAGAAACACAATGCACAGCGATGTCCGGTATGCCCCAGATTTAGCCTCTTCAAAAGGCAGCGCCATTGGATACAGCACCAGACGCTTCACGATGTGTACACTACCCAGGTCCGTTAGTAGCTATGGCTTCCTCGTGTGGCTGAGTCGACTTGCAACCCCGAGCAACGCCTGCTCATCGCAGTCCGACATCCAATTGCCATGGCAATGCTTGAGCCGATTCGGCATCGTCGGAACCGTGTATATTGCTTCATGTTTAGCCTGACACTGGTCCAGCTGGGCGCCGTTGGAGCTGTCATTGCTCAACAGAAGCCGTTGTCTGGCGGGCCTTCGCCAGGCCGAGACCCGTTCGATGACAAGTTTGCGGGACTTGTCGACGACACGTTAAACGAATGGCGTGTTCCCGGATTGTCCATTGCCGTCATTGACAACGACCAAGTGTTTGCAGAGGTAATGCGGCTTCCAAGTTACAACTTGAATGAAATTTATCGGAACCCTCTTTGCTGATGCACAATCAGGGCTACGGGATTGCGACTTTCCCGAATACCCCCGCCACGCCTGAGACGATATGGTATGGTGCTTCCACTACAAAGGCTTTCGTCGCTGCCGCCATTGCGGCAGTGATCGACTCCGGCAACTACCCGCAGTTATCTCTTGGGTGGTCGACTCCCGTCTCATCCATCATCAGGGATGATTTTGTCTTGCAGAATGAGTGGGCAACAGCGCGTGTTAGCCTCGAAGACGCCGTGAGCCATCGAACCAGACTCGGCGGTCAGGACTTTTCGAGCTTGAGGGTGGACAACGGTATCCAAGTCACACCAAGGGATGTCGTCCGTCGTTTACGCCATCTGCCTCTCTTTGCGGAGCCGCGTACGACGTATGAGTACTGCAATGCCATGTATGTGACATTGGGCTATGTCCTGGAGACATTGATGGGCCGCTCTCTTGCCGAGGTTCTCGGAAACTTGATCTGGGAGCCGCTGGGGATGGCATCTACCTATTTCGATCTTGGGGATGCCATCAGCGCACCGGAGCACCTGGCATCGGGATATAGGTGGGATCCAAATCGTGACAACTACACAGAGGTGCCGCACATGGTGGTCACGGAACATGGCGGTGCTGGGGCCATCTTTTCCAACGTGCTTGATTATGCCAAATGGGTCAAGTGCCTGCTACACGAGTCAGCTCCGTTGTCAAAGGCCGTCCACAAGGACATCAAGACGCCCAGGTTCATCTCAAGCCCGCTGCCGAATGACGGGTTTGACTCTGTCCTGTATGGACTGGGATGGGAGCGCACCTCAATCTACGGACATGTGGTATACCAACACAGTGGTGGAATGCATGCGTATGGGGCCTATGTTTACTGGCTGCCGGAAATCAAGTATGGCATTGTGTCGTTTGCCAATACAGCCGTCACGTCAAATGTCGCCGAAATGGTTCTCTCGACGAGATTGATCGCGGATAGGCTGGGCATTCCGGAAGAGAAGCGTTTCGACTATGCGGACAGGTAAGTCGATGCAAGGGTCAGGATTAGTATAAAAAGAAACTGACTGGTAGTTCGTTGATCGCCCGTAGCGCGAGACGCCAATTAGACGGAGCGGCTGAATGGTTAGAGCATGCTCTCGACAACCTCTACCCGAATAGACCAAAGACACGCCTAGCCTCAACTCTGAACACAAGCCAACTCGCCGGCACATATTACAACCCTGGGTTTCGGCGAATTAGGCTTCGAGACGAGACAAACCCTCGGAATCCAGGAGAGAATGTGCTGAGATCGGGTAGAGAGGAGGCTTCATGGCGTCAAAATCTTACATTTCACCATGTATCGGGCGATAACTGGATTATCTATGCCGATATGTATTCCATCTTCCGAAATACTGCCTTAAGGAGCCAGTTCAAGATTGGGGTAGATGGAAAGGCTGCGGCTCTGGAAATTGAGTTTCGCAATCGCGGAGCGGCAGTTGCTGAGGCGGTGGTCCTGTTTGACAAAATGGAGGATTGATGGAAAGTTATTGACATCATACATCGTCCGATCGGGTAAAACGTCGTAACGTTATTCTAATCTGCAATGTTAACAACAGCCAACTGTCTGAGAGAATGACGAAAGTAGCAGAGCCCAACAATGAGGTTGGGCATGAGTGGACGGTGATCGATGTGTGGCGACATGGGGGACGTCTGCACAGCGTCCCAAAGGCTTCACTTGGGCAGTTACTGTAGCGCTGCCGGGCCAGCAGCAAACTAGGTCGTCTGGGATTACACGGTCCAACAGTCATGAATTAACACCGTATTTGCAGAAGAACGGCAAAAAATCACGTGTTGATCGTTACACAACTAGTGTTCTGCCGCAGCTCTCCCCAGCTTTCCCCCGCTTTTGAGAGCCAATCAGGGACCACCCGATGCCCAATCTGCGTGCAGGGGGAAAAGTTCGCCTCATGCCATTGGCATCTCCATCGTTCGATCTGCTCTTGGTGGAAAACGCCTCCGTGCCGTCTCACCCTCTTTGATTTCATCCCTCCCCCATCAACCCTCGCCATCCACTGGCGCCTTCGCGCACTTTTACCCGTCATCATCACAGCCAGTCCGTTTGGTTGCAATTCTTTTTCTCGCGCGCATCTCAATTTCATCCGGCTTACGGCGGTGCTGATCCCATGCACCGACGCTTGCTGAAGCCCATGATCAGCTCCGAAGTCTCCGAGTGAGCTCGAGGGCCGCACACATCAATCAACGACCGTCGATATCCATCAAGATAGCGTCATTACCAATGTGCCTTGTCTTTCCTCGTCCTCGCCCATAACCTGTTACGTCGGCCACAATGGTTCTCACGCACACAACCGCGCACACCTACTCCCATCCGTTTCCGACCGTCACCCTCGCCTATTTCCTCCGCTACTCTTCTCCCAAGCTCAATCCCTTTGCTGCCCATGTTCTGAGCACCGACACCATCTCCAGCTATGTCGATCCCGAGACCCAACGGCTCCACACAACCAGAATTCATCTGAAGAAGAGCCGTATGCCCGGAGCAGTTTACAAGCTGCTGCCGGCTAGTGTCACGGGCGGCGGCAGTGGTGACAAGGCTTCGTATATTCTTGAGACGAGCGTTGTCGATATCAAACAGGGGTGGATGCAGACCGAGAGCCGCAACCTTAATTTTACCGGCGTTCTCTCCGTTATTGAGCAGCAAAACTTCAAACTCCCGACCGAGAGGGTATCAAGCGAAACTGATGTGACAACATCTGTAATTTTCCGGTCGAGACTGGGCGAGAGACTCCGTGGAAAGTTTGGCCAAGCTCAACAGGAAGGCGGACTGCTCTCTGGCTTCATCGGCGGCTGGGGTGCCAAAGGCGTCCAGCGTAGCATCGAGAGCCTTGCTTCCACCAAGACTCTTGACCAGCTTGGCAAGAGCCGCGACGGCATGCGACTTGTCCTCGAACGAATTCGCAACAATGGCGTCATGGGAGTCTTGGAAAGCCTCCGACGAGAACGCCAACGACAAGCATTGGGCGGTTGATCGACCTCTAATTGCAATACTGTACATGAAATACTGGACCGTGGCAAGTGACCCAGCCACGACAAGCCATGAAGCCTTACAGCCTTATTTTGACGACGGATACTGTATCCTTATTGTATAAAATCTCATCTCCCTTTAGCCAGGCGCTTGTGTCTTTTTCTTTGGGTTCGGGGGTGGGGGACGGGACTAGTGAGTGGTTGAAAATGCAAGGAAGCTCTGTAGTGGGTGCTAGAGTACCGAGGTGCCGTATGTAGTTAAGTAACAAACTGCAAGGAGCTTAAACAAGAAGAAAAGCTCAAAATCATCATCTTTCACAACAGCAGTCTGCCTATGTTGATGTGTGCGAACTGTGTCCCGGTCTTCCATTTGCGAATTTTGTTCTAATAAAAAAACCAGAAAAATATAAATAAATCAAAACTGATAAAAGCAAGGAATAGAGATACCAGAAGAAACAAAAGTGAGAGGATCAAGCTACACATTGCAGGCCCCATCCATCCCGCCCTTGGACAGGCCCTGGTGGGCTTGGGCATCGTTCGTGGTCACTGGAGGGCACGAAACTTGCCCGCACAGCTGAACTTTGAGTTGATGGTCAGGCACACGTGGGGCCGTGCCGGGCTTGATCTCCAACGTAAGCCATTTTCACTACACCCTTTGATACCCTCCAAGATTGACTTTTTTTTTTATTAAATTTCCCCTTGGAGAGACATCACGCAAACTTGTAATTCCCTTCTGCTCCTCCTTTCCTGCGTGAACAGCCTCAAAGCAGTGGCGGTCAGCCAGAAATGCCCGAGCCTGTGTCGGTGCTGTTCGTCTGCCTGGGCAACATCTGCCGGTCACCCATGGCAGAGGGCATCTTCCAAAGCCTAGCAAAGCAGCCGCAGTACAAAGGCAAGATTGGGCGCATCGACTCCTGCGGCACGGGTAGGTGCCCGCTTGGCGAGGCGGCGCCGGCGACAGCGTGCGGATTTAGGGCTAACAAATCGTCCAAGCTGCGTACCACGCGGGCGAAGACCCGGATTCGCGAACCATGTCGACGCTCGAGGCCAACGGCATCACCGACTACGAGCACGCCGCTCGCCGGGTAAGTTGTGTTGTCGTCGCCTTATCCGGCTGCGGGGGCTGCGGCTGACGTCGGCGTGTTGTTGGCTGCAGTTCAAAACGACGGATTTCGAAGTCTTTGACTACATCTTTGCCATGGACCGATCCAACTTGTCTGATCTTCTGCGCCTGCACAGGGGCAACTCGGACACAAAGGCCAAGGTGATGCTCTTTGGGGAGTTTAGCGGCACGCACGAGGCAGAGGTCGTCAGCGACCCTTACTACGGCGGGCCGGACGGGTTCGAAAAGGCCTTTGAGCAATGTAGCAGGTTCTCCAGGAACTTTATCGAGAGAGTCATTGGTGGTTAGGAAGACGCCGTCGTCGGACGCCGAGTTGTGCTGTGATAGCCTGGGGGTTTATGTTCTGGGCGGACCGGCGGCCTGAGGGGAAGACTGGGCAGAGGAGATTGTGCTTGATCGAGCGAGTGAGCGAAGAATGTCATTGTATGGCGCTCAAGTATACCTGCCGCACGGAGAAGAGTCAAGATCCAAGACAATGGTAGACGGGGCACGACGCGTCAAATCCACAGAACGGATACTACATGTGTACGGAGCATGATCGGGGCACTTATTGTCGGCGTCGTGCTAGAAAATTACGGCCTCCTGGGACTTGACCCCTTCCAAGTGGAATTCGTGGCATTGCATGGCCAGTATGGCCGGTACCACTGGTGAATTTGGTGAATCGCTGGTTCCAATATCGGCCGTGGCTTTGGCTTCCGAGTGCCAAAGTTCCCGCGGGCGACATGAGCATTCGACGTGTGCAGCGGGGAGGCGCGCTGAAAACCTCGGAATACAGGGCCACGGTGCGATGCGAGCGTGACACAAAGCTCATCCTTTGCGGTGGCGGACCATTGAGTCCATGGAACGAATAGCCATGCAGGTCCGAGATGATGGAAGTGACGGGAGGAGATGAGGCCAGGGTGCAGGATTTGAAGAACCAAAGGACATGCATTACAATCCATACATCAAGCACACGTAGACGGGAAAAAAAATATTTAATTTTTGTTTTGCTATCTTCTTTTTTTCCTTTCGTTTTTTTTTTTTTTTTTCGAGTATTCAACATGTCGACTTATCTGGCCCCTGCCCGCCCCTGGTCGAGTGCTGGTGGTTTCCACTGGACTTGCTCAACGCCTGGACGGACCAGTTGAGCCTCCATCTGCCATACAAAGCCTGTCCCCGCCCAAGCTTGCCATCACCTTCCCCTCTTTCATTCTTCTTTTATGACCGTCCCTGCAGGCCGCCTTTGCAGCTGTTCTCGTCCATCAATCGTATTGATCTGCCTTGAACTCTGCGCGGTTCAAGAGACGGTGTGGTCGACTCTCCCGCAGAGCAAGATTCGAGACCAGGGCTCGTCAAGGGCTCTCCGAGGTTCCCCCCCATCCTCTTCCCCTCCCCCCCGCTTCGAGCCATCGAGCCATCGACAACGGCGACACGACGCGCGGCTGTGCGCGTCCACGAAGCCATCATGACCGATCTTCAGGGACGCAAGGTCTTCAAGGTGTTCAACCAAGACTTCATTGTCGACGAGAGATATACCGTGACGAAGGAGCTGGGGCAGGGGGCCTATGGTATTGTCTGGTAAGCTTGGGCATTTGATTTCCAGCCCCCCCCCGTCTTGACTGTCGACGGCCCGAGCAACGACGGCGAGCGACTTGGACATTCATTTCCCTTCTCCGCAGTGCCGCCGTGAACAATCAGACCAGCGAGGGCGTTGCCATCAAAAAAGTCACCAATGTGTTCAGCAAGAAGATTCTTGCCAAACGGGCATTGCGAGAGATTAAGCTGCTGCAACACTTCCGCGGACACCGCAATGTAAGGCACCTCGCACCGTGGCACCAAGCATGCCGTCCAGGTGCGTCCACATCGCGTTGCCAGGTACCTGAGCTGACATGAGCAACAGATTACCTGCCTTTATGATATGGACATTCCTCGCCCCGAAACCTTCAACGAGACGTATCTGTACGAAGGTCGGTGCACGCCCCCCCGGCCAACAAGCCAAAACTGTCTCGCTGCTGACTCTTGCAAAGAATTGATGGAGTGCGACCTGGCTGCCATTATCAGATCTGGCCAGCCATTAACGGACGCCCATTTTCAATCCTTTATCTACCAAATTCTTTGTGGCCTCAAATACATCCACTCAGCCAATGTGCTCCACCGTGACTTGAAGCCGGGCAACCTGCTGGTCAACGCCGACTGCGAGCTCAAGATTTGTGACTTTGGCCTCGCTCGCGGCTTCTCGGTCGACCCAGAGGAGAATGCCGGATACATGACGGAATACGTTGCTACCAGATGGTACCGAGCCCCAGAGATCATGTTGAGCTTCCAGAGCTATACCAAGGCCAGTATGTTGTTCTTCTTTGCTCCTCCCAGTCCGACTCATCCGTGTCTGCTAACCTCTGCAGTTGATGTCTGGTCTGTTGGCTGTATTCTCGCCGAGCTCCTCGGCGGCCGACCTTTCTTCAAGGGCCGAGACTACGTCGATCAGCTGAACCAGATTCTTCACATTCTGGGAACCCCCAACGAGGAGACGCTGGCGCGTATCGGCTCTCCCCGCGCGCAGGAATACGTCCGAAACCTTCCTTTTATGCCCAAAAAGCCATTCCCCAGTCTCTTCCCACAGGCCAACCCTGACGCTCTCCATCTCCTCGACAAGATGCTCACCTTCGACCCATCTTCCCGCGTCAGCGTCGAGCAGGCTCTTGAACACCCATATCTTCACATCTGGCACGACGCCTCAGACGAACCCGACTGCCCTACCACATTCAACTTTGATTTTGAAGTCATTGACGACGTTGGCGAGATGCGCCGCGTGATTTTGGACGAAGTCGTGCGATTCCGACAAATGGTCCGAACTGTACCCGGCTCAAACTCGATGGCCGGCCAGGGTCAACAATCAACACCAGCACAGGTCCCTATGCCCCAGGCTGGCGGCCAGTGGACAGCCGAAGACCCGAGACCACAGGAGTATGTTGCTCATGGAAACGGACTCGAACAGGATCTCCAAGCGGGGCTGGATGCGTCCAGGAGGTGAATTGCATACTAGCGTCTGATGAGGGCACGGGAAGGACGGAGAAGCGAATCAGTAGTTTTTCTTATATTACCGAGACAAGACGAAGCCCATGGAAGGGTTGCCGCTTAGCCTGCATCGATTTCCGCCTGCGGGCAGCGCTTTTCTCACTGTGTAATGATACTAAAGATGACCAAGACGGCCAACCAGTCTGTGATGACGCAAATGTGACGCTGGGTGCTCTTGGTCACTCGACACGGATAAATCTGAGAGAAGCCATGCACAGAGACGGGTCCGTAAGGCTACCTTTGTTGTCCTTGTCACCCTCTTTTTATTTCTAAACAGGGAGAACCACCTTGGAGTCGACAGCGCTCTAGAGTCGACAGTGGCCCTCAGTACAGATTTTGTTCTGATGACGACTGTCCCGAACAGGTCGTATTGCTTGGCAACAAGGCTGCAAGATGATTGCGTTGTCTGACGAGCAAAGCCGGGTACGCTTCTTGCAGGAAAAACAATCTTTGGGACTCTTTTGATTGGGCTTGCCGTGTCCACGTGCCAACGTGCGTCAGTGAGCGAGTACCGCGGGCGGGCACCCGGCCCTGTTGGCGGTGCGTCGCCGGCATTCGTTGATGAGATTGTCTTCTTGGTGGGGACGGGCTATGGAGCTCCCGGTGACGGGTGAGGTGAAATGGCGTCATTCGGGCTCGGGCTTCGGGGAAAGACTGAATCTCTCCCTGAACTATCTGCATGTTTCCCGGGTCGAACCCGTCAAGTCCATCTTTGGCGCCTGCACGCTGGAGCATGTGTCAAACAGTACAGGCGAAGGAGTGTGCACCACGTGTGGCTGGTGATGCTTTGTTCGCCTGATGATGCTGCGTATTCTGGCCTTGGCTGTTGTTTTATCTTGTTGTTTTATCATTGTACCATCCTTTTTCCCCACCACAACCACAGATGTCGTGTCGCCAGGACGAACCTAGTGATTCCCTGCGAGGGTCGGGGCTTGTCGAGACGGATGGAGCCTGTGTTGATTGCTGAGGAAACGGCGTGCTGAACCGTGGTCTGGACCAACTGACCAGGAATATGTGGCATCCGTGGTAGAATCGGCGCCGTCGGGCACCAAGGCTTGTCTTGTCTGGGTTGCTGATGCGGGGAAGCTGGGGCTTCTTTGTCCGTCGGGTACGGAGGAGGACGGGAGCCTGGTTTCGAGAGGTGGGGTGCATGTTGATTATCCGCGTGGTTCTACGAGTTAACATGTTTCCGGCAAGGTACATACATGATGGCAAGTTCCATTGCGGGACAGGAAGTGGAAAGAAACATAAGTAAATAATAAAGAATAAGAAATCGGAAATCAGGACGTGAAGTCAAGCAGCTTTCGAACCCAGTAACCGAGCCCCCGGTCGCACCTGTTAAGGGGAAAAGTGGAGTGAGTCATATGACCTAGGGAAATGAGGGGCATAATTAACTTACAGGGTGGACTTAACCATAGAAACCTAGAGAGAACAAGCATCAATACACATAATGCCCATCAATTAGCATTACACACCCTTTAAAGAATTAACGGGGCGCCCCGTGCGGCTGCAGCCTCTGCTCAATGTAGACAAGCGCAGAGGAGACGCGGTCCCAGGTTTCGCCAGACCGGCAGGCGAGTAGCACGTCTCGGTTCCGCGAAGCATCACGGCCTTGCGGCACAGCGCCCAGTCATACGGGATGGCTGCGGCCTTGACCCGGGGCTCGGCCGCCCAGGACGGCGCGGCAACGACCGGCCCGGACTCGTTGCCGTCCGGGATGGGAACGGTCTGCGGCTTCACGTCGCACATGTTCTCCACGTGGCCGCCCGTGTTGACCTTTTCCCGCACCTGCCTGCGGTGGTCGATGAGCTTGTTCCGCAGCTCGTTGAGCCTCAGGATGCCGTCTTGAAGCGCCTGGCGGTGCTGCGAGAGCGTTTCCCGCACGTCCCGCTCGGCCGGCGGCTGGACGGCCGCCAGTTCACACGCTTCCAGGAGCTGGCTGAGGGCGGAGCCCGACGCGAATATCTCCCACGGCGGCCGGGAGTCGCCGCGGAAGAAGACGCCCGATTTGCCGCAGTCGGGGGACTTGATTCGGGACGCTTCCCTTGCGGATATGACGGGGTGGCTTTCTGCGACGGGCGGCTTTGCCGGCTTCGAGGCCGACTGCTTTGGCCGGTGCTTGGGCCTGGAACGACGCCCGATCCCGAGGAGTCCTCTGCGTGGGAGGGAGCCGCGCGGCACGGGGTCGACGAGGGGAGTCGCGCGGCCGAGGGCAGAGCCGTCCTGGAACTGGACGACTTGGAGCCCAGGCGCATGCGGGCTCGAGAGGCGAGCCGCCGCCGTGGCACGAAGCGCCAACAGGACCACAAGCCCGTCACGCAGTTTCATGGCTTTGGGTCAGCGATGCTCGGAGCGCCGGCGCCGTGTCGCTGAAGCGGTGTGAGGGTCGGTTGCCCGGGCGGGAGACGGGAGACGGGAGACGGGAGAGAGGAGAGAGGAGAGAGGGGAGATGAGAGCGAGGTGCAAGGGGGCCTAAAAGCCCGCAGGCGTTGAATGCGGAACGTGAGAGAAAGTCCTCCGACGCCGGCTACTCTCGTCCTCCTACACTCGCTTGCCTCGACGTTGAACGGACCGGACGGGAGGAACACGCCGCACGCTGCGCACCCACGTCGAGGGCCCGCTGTGCTACGGATCTCGGTCCGCATTGTGCCGCAACGTGGAATGTCTATATCGGCTCATTCTCATTTTCAGTTGCACTGCTCGTCGGTAGCCAGCCCTTCTGGTTTGAGCGGGGGGAAGCGTGAAACTGGCTTAGACGTCAAGCGAAAGATGACCCCGTCCCTATGCCGACACGGCTCCGCTGGACGCAGCAGCGTTGCCGTCCATACGGCCCGCCGTCTCCCCGCACTCGGGGATGTAGACGATGCGGGGAGCCGGGCCATCCTTGATCCATACATAGCACGGTGGCACAACCCCAGCCTCACGCGGAGAGGGCATAATCTGCTGCTCTGGCGTCGCGGCGTTGTTGCCACCGTCGACACACGATCCACGACAGGTGTTTTCGCTCTGGCAGCTCTCTGCCCACCATGCGGCGTCAAGAACAACCAGGCCCAGGTCCCCTTGAACCCGGCGTCACTTACACAGACGTGCCGCCAGGTATCCCGTCAGGCAGAGCGCATCGTGTCTGCCGTCACGGAAAAGGCACTTCCCCGCCGGATACGGAGTAGACGGCGCCGACCGCGCGTTGGACACTTGACCCAGCTATCAGCCAGACCGTTCCGTGTCCCCTGCTCACCCCAGCCAGCCAGTCACCGAGCCACTCGTCCGTGGAAGCGAGGCTTCACCACCCCCAAACCATCGTGGCCCACCAAACCGGCCGAGGTGCACGCCCGAACCGGCACGTCGGCAAGCCCAGAAGCCTTCCTTCGGAAGCGACATCCCGCACAGCGTCGCAGAGCCCTATTGGAACCGGGTCGTCTCTGCTGCTGCTACGCTCCTCCACTCGTCCTCGTCGAGCGGCCTCGTTGAGCCACGGCCTCGAACGGCGACATCATCGCGCCGCGTCGCTCGTCTCGGACACGACGGCCTGGCTGGCGTGGGACGCAGAGCCCGTTCCGAAATCGAAATCCAGTTTCCAGCCGCCATCCCCCCCCCCCCGGACAACAGGCAGGTATAGAGATTTGGGGGGCAAGGAGGAGTCCAGACGCGGAGAAGGTCACCCAGAACCCGGAGCGGCCACGATGTCGCCGCCCCCATTCCCAGTCCCCATTCCCAGCACGTCTCCAAAGTACGCTCAAGTCGTGGCCTCGTTTCGCCTGTTGATGACCGCCGCCGTTTGACCTGATGGCTCTTGGTCGCCGCAAAGGCGCTGCTTAGGCTAGGGCCATGAAGAAGGTCGGTCCTAAACGGAAGGAGTGTTTGGCCGAGCAACGCGTAACGTCAGGTCATGTAGATTCTTCCATGCCTGCCGACTGCGACACGTTGACCGTTGACCCTGCCGGCCGGGACGGTGGCACGATGCAAGCTGAATCGCGGACCAGGCGGAGAGGCAAGACTTTTCACGCCCCAAACCCCCCGGATGCTCGGGCACCAGCGCAGATGGATGGACTGGCAAGCACAGAGGAGGCGCCCCCCCTGGGCCCTGGCTGTGCAGCAGTCCGTCGCATTCCGTTGACATATGGCCAATGTCATTTATAAACGAGTGTCTGGACAATTTGACTTCCGGGAGTCACAGCAACCAAGACTACGGCCGTCGGGCGAGAAGGTCCCTTGCAATGCTTTTTTTTTATTGAGTTTGCACATCCATCTTGACCGCCCTCTAGTTGGTGTGCAGGTGCTTCCGAGTCTATGTACGGCGCGTCGTTGAACTGCAACAGCCCGAACAACAACGTTGAGACAAAAAGAGAAAGCAATGACAATGCGTCAAGTAGGTGTTGCGAGGGCCCCCGTTGATCAACGTCTATGCAAAGAACCAGTACTGGGCAGCGTACTTGGTGCTGTCCTCACCAGCGGCATTTTGACAGCCGTGGCTGTTTCCTCCGGCCGTCAAGACGCGGTAGACGAGCTTGACATCGCCGACAGTGCCCTCTATGGCGCCGAGCTGGAGCCATGCCACCGCGCCGGTGCCGTCTGGTCCCCTGTCCGCAGTGGCGGGAGCATCCACGCTCGCAAGCTTCTCAGCAAGCAAGTTGACCTCGCCACCGCTCAGTGAGAACACGGGCACGCCGGCGCTGTTGAAAAAGTGGTGCCCCAGGAAGGGCAGTGCGTCATCCGGGCACTCGAGGGAGAGAGGGCCGTCGTTGGGGAAGGGGTCGGTTCGAGATGCCCCGGGCGAATCAGGCTTGACACGTCCCCCTAAGGAGGTGTCAAAGTTCAAAGGAACATTTTGTGATCTCAGAGCGCGAGACGTGAGGCTGTCCCAATCTTCTTGAGACAGGGAGGCATTGCCTTGCCCGGGGAACAGGTTGGTGATGTCGTAGAGCATCGCGAGAGCGCCAGTAGCCACCGCGCTGGCGCCAACGCTGGCGCACGTGTAGTTCTGAACGCCGATGCCCAGGGCGATGTGGAGGAGCCTGGAGCCTCGGGGAGGCTGAGGGAGGTTTTTGCCTGCCAATTAATTGACTGTTAGTAACCGGCGGACTTGGTGGGTGGACAAGAGCATCGTTCTGACTTACCCTCACCAGTTTGGGGCAGATCTGCAGACTTGGAGCTACCGACGCGACTGCAGCTACCGGGCAGTGCTGCTGCCAACGCAGCTGACAGCAGAAGCAGATATGCCTTGTACATGCTGGCTGAGAGGACGGGCTTGCAAGAGGCAGGGAAATCGCGCGAGGGAAGAGAGGAAAGGTGTGGGCCAGGTGCAGGTCCTCTACCGAAATGTCGAATCCGAGAAGACGTGAGGAAGCAGGCCGACTTGATATAGTTTGCTGGGCGACGGAAAAGAGATGGCCGGGCAGGACTGCAGCTTCGTTGGCCAAGGGCTCGACGGATAAACCAACCCGAGCACGGAGTAACGTATGGCAGGAAGGAAGACCATGCAGTCAAGTTACAAGAATAGAATCCAAGGAACCAGTCACATGGCCCCGAATTGTCGGCCCATTGGTCGTGTACCCGCCTGGGCGCTTACAACACTGGTGGCGTGCAGTAGTAGTGTGTAACTTGGAAGACGGGCCAGGATGCAGGACGCAGCTCGAGTGGAGGAGGCGGCCGGGCGAGTAGGAGAGCTCTAGGAGAGCTCTAGGAGATCTCAATTGGCGAATCCTGGACATGTCCAATGTTCGCCGGAGTTGTCGAAGCTTGGTCTGACCAAGAGCTGGGACGCAGCACAGGTTATATCCCCAGGTATCAACCTAGACCTCCTAGCATCATAGACGACGACTCGACCGTGTGTGCTTGCACAAGGTTCAAAGACGCTGGGCATGTCTGTCCAAAGTGCAAGGAAGCTTGGCGCGCAACGAGTTGCGGGTGCCTTCTGCATCGTGTGCACGATCCTGGTGGTATTTGATGCACCAACGCACGTCAAACATTCCTCGCGGGACCCATGGCACTGTGCAACGTATTTCGGCACACGAGCGTCCAACGACACCGAATCCACCACCGTCTGTCGCTTGCCGAGTCGTCCGTCTACTGCCAGGCGGTTGTCATGACCACTTGGTGCGTCTCGTCAAGGTTCCACGTCCAACTTGGTTCCAAGCAAGCCACATGGACCCCATCGGTAAGGCGAGACCATGTTCGAGATGGTTTCAAACAGCATCGGAGACATGCAGATACGTGCAGCGATGCCAGGCGGTAGACGGCTGAGTTGCCCGCTCATGAGCCCGAAAGGACGACACGCCCGAGATGCATCATCACGTCGGCAGGACTCCAGGGCCAGAATCCTTGTCCAGAAACAAGGAGGGACATGCGGGTTGCCGGTAGCCGCGATGGATGTCTGGTCTCGTCAGTGGTCACAGTCCCGAAACGTTCAAGCAAATCGTCTGGCTGGCCGAAGCGGGCCGCGCGCACGGGCCACCCAAGTCAGGAGTTTGTGCCAAGTGGGGCCTCGTCACTTTTGGCGGTTTGGCGCCGACTGCAGCGCATCTGTTTGGACGACGATTGCCAGGAGTCCAGGAACTGCCAGGCCACGCCGAGGGCCCAGGGGAGATGCTTGCAGCTGAGTTCACCAGTCACAAACGGCATCTGGAGGCGATTCTGGTGTCATGGTTTCCGAGCCTTCACGATCCAGAGGCCACTGCTGACGTGTGTTGATAGCTGGAGTCGACGGTACGGAGAAACCCATCATCCACGTACCGAGTACAACGACCGCATCACACCACCGTTCCGTGGCCCCTGCGTGGCCTCTGCTGTCCTCTGTGGACCCCCGCAGCAGAGCACACTGACAGTCTCAACAACAAATTGCCAGCACTGCCTGGGCTCCTCGTCCCCACACCCACATACCGGGACCAGCGGCAGCCGTCAACTCCAAGCCGAGGCGTCGGAGCTCACCCAAATCACCAGCCGGACATCATCACCGCCCGCCCGCCCGCCCGCCCAGCAGCCCAGCAGCCCAGCATGTCCCGCCGCCCTACAAAAGGCGACTACATCGAAACCGTGCCTCCCCCGCTGCCCCCTCCCCTTCCCTGCCGTCAACTAACTCATCCCGCCGGCAGGACACGGGCAACAAGGTCGCCCGCAAGGCCATCCTCGTCGGCACGCAAAACATCATGCTCGGCGGCAAGACGGTCATCCAGCCCGAGGTCATGATCCGCGGTGACCTGGTGCGCACGGCGCCCTCCTCGTCGTCCTCGGCGCCCACGCCCACGCCCACGAGCTCCACCGCCGTCGCCATCGGCCGCTACTGCTTCCTCTCGCGCGGCGCGCTCCTCCGGCCCCCCGGCCGCCTCTACAAGGGCGCCTTCACCTACATGCCCCTCCGGCTCGGCGACCACGTCTTTGTCGGCCACAACACGGTCGTCCAGGCCGCCGCCGTGGGAAGCCACGTCTCCATCGGGAGCGGCTGCACCGTCGGCGAGTTCGCCATCGTCAAGGACTACGTCAGGATTCTCGACGGCGCCGTCGTGCCCCCCTTCATGGTCATCCCTAGCTTCTCCGTCGTGGCGGGGAGGCCCGCGAGGGTCGTGGCCGAGCTGCCGGAGGGGGACTTGGACGACTTTGAGCTGCGCGACATGTACAAGACGGTTGGGAACAATCCGCACCCGGTTGCGTAGCGTACTTGCGTAGCCCGCCGCCGAGGCGTGCGGGATACGTGCCCTGCCCTCTCCTTGTCGTCTTGGGGAGGGAGCCGGAAAGCGTTTCCGGTTGACTGCTTGGAGGGATGCCGCTGGTGGCTGACGAGTCTGCGTGGCAGCTTGCTGGGAGTTGCAGGATGAATAAATGCCTCTATTGTTGGTGTGGTGTTTGTTTGTTTGTTCTTTTCTTCCCGCTGCCTTTTTTTTAAAAACGTCATTGATACCCCGGGAGCGCGCGGCTTTATAGAAACACCGAGTAGAGTGAAACGGGCTCTTTATTGCTATTTTTATTTTTGTTTTCTTTGCATACTTTCAAATAGGGAAGCCAGATTCCACGGGATATCGTCACATGATTCTCAACTTTGCTTTAATCTGGCGTACGTGTCGACGATCCTCTTCGCAACCATTTCACCACTCCAATACGCTCCCGTTGCGGTTCCCAAGGCCACAAACGGCGCCGTGTGCTCGCCCGCAAACCATATCCCTTGGTCGGGCAAACCGTGCCTCATGACTTCTATATCCTCGTCACCCTTCTCTAAGCCGACCTGGAAATTGCAGTAGCTTCCATTCCCTGCGAATTCGTCATTTAACCACTCCGTCGCGAGCAACGCCAGGGGTTTACAGTCCGGTGAGTCGGCCGAGTAGTTTGGCAACAGCGAGTAGTAGGGCTGGAAAAAGTCTACTAGGAAGGCCGTCCTTTGGGACTGGGTCGTTAGTTTGGCGAGTGTGGACGTCATGTATTTCGATTGCTCGCCAAAAGTGTAGAACAGCAGAGTTGGGTGGTTGTGTGGCTCAGGAAGGCTGCCGAGCTCAAAGGCATCTTGATGCCACTGATGCGGGTTGGAGGGGGCGTAGGTTGGCGTGATCCATTCTATGAATCCCCTCATTCTCATGGACACGAGCCAGAATGCCGTGGGAAAGGTGATGTATACCTGGCGCTTGTCAGTTGCGACAGCTGCTAAATATCTAGGTAGTTGAACGATTGGAGTCATCTTGAAGTACCTTTTCGAGGCACCCGTATCCGATGGCGCTTATGGCTTCTGTCAGTCGTGCCGGGAGGCGAGGGTTGAATGCGTCGGGGTGTCTTTTCAGCCAGCCAAGCGGCGCGGTGACGACAACCTCGTCAAACAAGAGATGCCGACCGCTGTCAAGCTCTATTTTAACCTTGTTGCTGCTTTGGTACTGGCGCGTGACTTTAGTCACTTTGGAGTTTAGCATCAAGTCCGCTCCAGTGACGGCGGGGTCCGCGATGTGGTGCAGGATTTTCTTGTACGTGCCGGCGCAGAAAAGGTTTTCTGCTGGACAGTCATCGTCTGGCACGTATTGACAATGTGTCGTGTGCGTGAATGTGAATTACCTCCTTCCAGGCACTCCTCCAACCAAAAGTACTTGAGGCTCTGTCGAGAGACCGGACTGCCAACAAACGTCCCCCACATCTCGACCAGGCGAACAAGGACTCCTCGTTTCTTGGCACACTCTGCGTCGCTTTCGGGGATCATGTCCGAAATCCGCTCATGAACAAAGTCGAGCAGGCTCTTATCCGCGTGAGTCTCTGCGCCGTGCGTGTTGGAATGCTCAAATGCCTGTTGAACGAGGTCCCAGACCATTGCGCTGTATTTCTCGCCATCTTCCTGTGACATCAAGCCGCCAAGGTGGTCGTGTACCCACACATTTGAGTTGAGGCTTCCCGCAGCGGTATTCGTTTGTTTTGCAATATCGAGGATGGGGTTGTCGTCTGTTCCATGGATCCAGTTGGGGCCAAGGTCAACCGCCCGTCCGCCAGGAAGCTCTCCTTGGTGCACTCGGCCACCTATTCGATCCCTTGCTTCTATTATGGTGACACTGATGCCGTTTTGGACGAGTACATCAGCACAGCGGAGGCCAGCCAGACCGGCGCCAATGATAGCGATGCTGGGTTGGGATGTGGATGTATGGCGCCGCTAGGAAGATGATTTGGGTAAGCTATTGACCATGTTCAGACTATCACGTACTACTTTGCGACACAGCGATGATGGGGTTCCCGGCTGGGTGCGAATTGCTGCGAGAACCGAAGCAAAGTCAAAGCCAAACACGGGGGAAAAATAAGTTGGACGCGCAGACTGGTTTGGTACAAGAATACCTTGGGGGCGCGGGGCTCGGAAAGACTCATATTGTCATTGAATCCCACACAGCTGCTTCGGGAGGCCAGGCTGCCGAATAAAGCCGCTCTCAGGTCTTCGTAAATTCTCGATGGATGTCGCAGGGCTGGGCTGGTGCGGCATATAGAGTAAGCATCCATGTCCAGGTTGAAGATTGACGGGGTTTTGTCGTCACGGGAGGGACAGTTGAAGCTCGAAGAAATCTGCGGGATGTCAGACCAAAACGAAGAAGAAGAAAAAAAAAAAGAGCAAAGTTAGAAGGGAGCAAAACAGGGAGAACGAAAGACAGTGATAAAGGGAGGGGAAGAGAAAAAGAAAAGAGATAAGACGGTCATGGCAAGTTGTATCCTCTAGCAGACACTGAGACACAAAAGTGCCATGCCTCCCTCTAGATTCCCTTGTTGCTCCTGCTTTGGGCACAGCCGCATGATGCATCAACTGATCTATCTCCGGGGGATGACAATCATACATGGCATTTGTTGGCCGGCGAAGGCTTACGCATATGCTTAGGCCGAATGGGCATGGCGAGACAAAGGCTCAAAGTTGAGCGCGCTGATGGTGAAGAGCAGCAAAGAACCCGACTGATATCAGATTGGGCAGGCAGCAGAAAGACTGGCTGACGGCCAATCAACGCAGCCGAATTCGTTGCGCATACGAAATACATGACTGCTGGGGAGCAGGTAGGCGTGCGCATGTACGTACCTACGGTAAGTTACCTGTGCTCCAGACTTGCCAAGTTGTCTAGCAGATGAAAGCTGAACCAGCCATTTGAAGATTCGGTGCACGAGTCAAAGACAACAAATAGCTCATGCACACTGATGAGCCGGTCAGGCGGAGGAATCTGGCAGCAAGATTAGACCTGGGCTCGCAGACTCGCCATCATCACGCGGGTGCCTCGGGCCCCACTCTGAACACATGGATATCTCGTCTGGTCTGGCACGGGTCTACTCCGTAGGTCGGGTCTAGGTCAAGTCAGGTCCAGAGTAGCAGCAGCCGACATTGTACCTTGTACCCCAGCCGACGCCACACGCACTTGGACTCTCCTCACTCCAGTGCTTTTAGTACACACACAAGCCGAGTGCATTGATGTCACCACCAGACTCCAGTCTCCAGTGCACCGCCGCCGACTTGGACCAATGCCGACTCGGGAGCTGCCTAGGCGTCCACGGTCCGACCTGGCGTCACCCGGTCGGTCCCTTGGCCTCGCTCCTTCAATCTTGCCCATCTCGCGCGTCTTTGCCCCAACATCAAGACCGTTTATCGACACAAAACCTTGTTCTTCAGCCAGTGAAACAAAGCCCGAGCGAGCCAAAATGCACACGATACACCACCGACCCTGACTTTTCCTCCATCGCATCGACGTCTCCCGCAAACTCACCACTTCAGCCCGGCCGTCCCGCAGAATGAATAGCCTCCTCGCCGCGTCTGCGTCTGCGTCTGCGTCTGGTACGGAGTCTGGTCATCCCGGGACGACCTTGTGCTTCTCTTGGTGTTCAACGAGCCTCCTACAAAGCACGCATTGCGTCCTCGGACTGTTGGCCGGCCGGCCGCGTCTCTGAACTGTGCCCAACCACATTTCGTTTCCCATCTGCCCTCAGTCCTCCACGGGCACCATGGCTACCTTGTTCCAGTCATTTCGAGGCTCAGGCATGCCCAAACGCCTTCTTCGCTATGCCTTGTCCCGACTGGACCTGCTAGATGCCGACGCCCTCGACATGGAAAACCTCGACCTGGCAATAGGGAGGAACACCGTTTTTGAGTTCCGAGATGTTGGCATCAAGCTCAAGGTATGTTTGTTGCCCAAATTCATCATGACCCTCCACCCCTGCCGTTGCGCTCGCTCATGCTCGCTTGCAGAAGCTTCAAAAACTCCTCAGCCTACCGCCGACTTTTGGTCTTCACATGGCTAAAGTGCTTCTCCTCCGCATAACTATACCCATGGACTTCTACACAAGTCCCATTATTGTTCAAGTTGATGGTGTTCGCGTCGGCTTAAAGATTTTTGGGGACACATCCAAGGCAGGTCGGACGTCAGGCACGCCGACTCGGGAAGCCTTCGTGGTTCCGAATACAGCCGATTTGGCGCAATCTTTTCTGGAAACCCAGCCGATTTCCGAAAGAAGACAGCTGGAAGATGCTCTGGCTGCAGAGACCAACGATTTGGGAGCATCCGTCACCATTAGTGAGGATGGGAGCGAAGACGAGTCTCAATTTGGTACAGGGCAGCCGCTTTCACTACCAGGATTTCTGGCAGACTTTTTACAGAGTATCGTCGACCGAACACAGATCGTCATAAAGAATGTCGTGTTCGAGCTCGACCTGGAGGTTCCCGCCGAGTTGAATTCATCTAAACTCGAGCCCATTTCTCTCCAGGTAGCCATCGGACAAGTCGACGTTGAAGGCATCACCACTGACGTTCAAGGGGAGAATCCTGGTGCTCCGCGAATCGTCCACCGGGAGGGTAAGCGCCATGTCTCATTTTCGAGCGTCCGCGCTTCCTTAATATCCGAAGTTGATGCCTTCGCCTCCTTCACTCGAACGCCTTCAACGACCTCTCCATCTTTTGCCTCGTCACCGGCAATGACGAGAAACCCACCATTTCGACAAGCCACTTTCCTATCACAAGGTAGCTTCCATGAACAGCCTATGGCAGCCCTCCAGGAAAGTTTTCGGGAACGCCTGTCGGATGATGATGACAATGAAGATTCGGACAGCCAAGACTACCCTCTTGGTGACAGCGAGGAAGCGCTAGCGATACCATATGACTTCTCAGATATGGAACGTGCCCTAGAAGAGAAACCCGAGGACGCACTCGGCGATCGAAGCCCATCGACGCCCCGCGCATCGAAATATTTTGACTCCAAAGTATCCCCAAGATCTAGTCACTTATTTTGTTCTACCGAGTCTAGCCTGACATCGCCAACACAGGCTCAGGCGGCTACCGAGTTCCAAGGGTCCGGTCTTGGCGCTGAACATGATAATTTGACGCATGCTGAACGGTATCATGAGACTGGCTTGTCTCATCTGGCTCCTTCAGAACTGTGTAGCCAAGCTTCCCCTATGCCAGGAAGTCAACTGCCGTCGGGGTCCGCGTCTGAGACAGACTTGGCAGAGTCGCAGATCTACACACATGAGGAAGCAGAAAGTATGTATCTGAGTGCGTTTTCACAGACCGCGGCTCAGCGAAGTTCGGCCTTCGTAGAGGAGCAAGCTCCCGACGTCTCCCTCGATATGCCCAAGAATATCATAGAGACGGTGGAGATGGAGAAGTCTCGAGTACTAGGACGTTCACAACCAATCAAAGCACAACAGGACGCTGGACCTTTCCAGAAATCAGAGACACGAGAGACAATGGATATACCAACCAAAGACGACGTGGAGCGACCTCCTGTAACGCCCTTTACACAGCACATAGAAGATGCCCCACCAAGAACACCAACTATGCCAGGCGCCTGGGACGATAATATCAACACAGACCATGAGACCATTGTGCATTCTGCGGATAGAGCCGGTGGAAAGGAGCCTGCTGCCAGTGGCGAAAAAGCTGGATCTGATGGCAACAGCACCATGTCATCGCCCGCATTTAGTCAGGCATCACTATTGCGCTCTTTGCGGCAACCGCTCCTCAGCCCTGGGTTTGAATCGTGCGCAGACGATAGTATTGCCACCCCCAGAAGCCCTCCAAAGCTGGTCAAAGAGATTATGCGGCTCAACAGTGCTTCAATCTACCTCCCTACACAGCATCAGCACATTCATGTTCACGTCGACTCCCCCGCATCGCTCAGTCGACTGTCGGAATCGTTGGGGCAATCATCATCTATCTACCCTCAGGCGCCTGGAGCATTTTCAATTCATAGCTCCTCATCGCCTAGACAACCCCAGCCTGCACGGGGAAAAGCAGCAGACAGCAGCGACAGCGGGGTTTTAGAAGCGATTTTGTCTCCAGTCACTATCAACTTTGATGCGTCCATTGCCTTCTTACTGGCTATGGCGGTGGAGAAGCTTCTTCAAGCCATGGAGATTGGGAAGCGGCCCGGTCGACAGGCATCATTACCGACACAGCAGGACTCGAAACCAGCAGCTGTTCCCCGTACGAAAATCCTTGCTGAGGAGATCACAGTCAATTTTCTTAATAGGCTAAATGGCTTGATCAATCCTTCACATCCGCATGTGGATTTTCCCCCACTTAATGTTCATGAGGACGTTCTATTGAATATGACCCTTACGAATCTAAAAATTTCGAGTATTCCTGTGTCAGATGACACGAAAGTTTCCATAATGGCCAATAGGCCCTGCTTGCCTAAGCGAGGTGACACCTTTACAAAGATTGACGTTGGAAAATTCCGCTTCGGGTACGCCAGGGGTGACATTTTGTCGTTCGATGGCGCAAGACAGATGAGCACATCTATCAGAGACTCTTTCCTTTCCACCGGACACGATATCGGAATCGAAATACTGCAATCCGCTGATACCATTCGAACGAGCGTGGAAACACTTCCGCTGGTCGTTCAGATCGATTTGCAGCGACTTGACGAAACCTTTGGTTGGTTCGGTGGACTCAGCAGCTTCCTTAACATGGGCGCTTCGATGACTTCCAGCCCGCCACCAACAACAAAGTCTCTCCAGACTGTTTCGCCAAAGCCACGCGGTGTTCGATTTGACACACCAATTGATCCGACAGATAAGTCAGCCTCAGCGCAGAACAAGACGAACTTGAGAGTCGGAGGAGCATTGATAGAGCTTGTTGGTAAAGACTGCAGCGTGGTTGCGGAGACCAGCGCTTTGAAGGTCGTCAGCAGAGATGCGGGCGTTGGTATTGGTTGTAGTAGAATACGAATTTCGGGCCCCTATCTCAAGTATTCCATGGCAGACCCGTCCATTAGTGCAGAGGTCGGGGGCATGAGGCTGGAGTTTCTCTTGGCACCCAAGGATTCAGACCTTGAAAAACTGCTTGAGCTCATCATTCCCTCCAAAGTCAAGTTTGACCACGGAAACGATGAAGTGATGGTCGACACTCTCCTGCGACAGAGAAGGAAAGGTTCCGTGTTGAGAGCAACTTTGGATACTGTCAACTTGACCGTCAAGAACATCGGCCAGCTTTCTGCGCTCCCAGCGCTTGGCGAGGAGATTTCCAAATTGGCAGCAGTCGCCAAGTACCTACCAGAGGATGACCGGCCTGGCCTGCTCACGCTGACCAGAGTACAGAAACTTTCCTTGAATTGCCGACTTGTCGAACGTATTGGCCACATTAGTTGTGACATTCGAGATCTTGAAGTAGGCCAAATTACCGTCCCATCTCTGATTGCTGTTGCAGTTCACAGCATCGACGTCCGGCGAAATGGAACTGAGGAACTCGTTGCTTCCAGCCTTTTAGAGGGCGCACCGGGTCCGACAACGAACGGTCCAGTTGTCATGCTGCGGATGATTGGGGATGAAATCGAACCGATCATGAAACTCAAACTTCAAGATTTGAGATTTGAATATAGCGTCGCCACTGTAATGGATTTTCTCGAGCTTGGAAGCGATGCTACGCCACAAGATTTCGAGGCTGGCCTTGCAGCGTCGGTTTCAAACTTGGGAGATCAAGCTCATGCCGCTCTTTTGCGCCGACCGGCTTCACCCAGCGCCGAGAAGGCCACAAGTCCCAACAAACCCACGACTCTAGACTTGGCTTTGAGAGATTGTGTTGTCGCGCTGAACCCGTATCGCCTGCCGTCAAAAATGATTGTGGCGCTTACCGATGCGCGTGTGCAAGCCATTTTGCCCAACAATGGCAGGACGAAAGTTTCAATTGGCGTTAACAAGGCTTCCGTTCTCTTAATAGACGACGTCAAACAAATTCAAAACATGGGTGGGCGGGTCGAAATACCAAGAGTTCGATCGGCATCGCCTGTCTCTACACAGGTAGAAGAGCTCTGTGCTTTGGGGTTTGTAGACATATGCTACATATCATCAGCGAATGTTGTCGTTATCCTCATCCCCGATGCAAAGGCCGAGACAAAAATCGAAGTTGAAGTACGGGACGACCTCTTGGTGTTGGAAACATGTGCTGACTCTACGCAAACGCTCATTACTTTGGCCAATGCCTTGAAGCCTCCGACCCCTCCATCGAAAGAAAACAAATACAGAACAAAGGTCCTTCCGGTACAAGACCTTCTAGCCTCCATCTCCGCTGAGGCATTTGGAAGACCAGAAGGTGAATACGACTTTGATCAAGATTTTGCGGGGGCACAGGAGATGGCAGGAAGCGGTTCTGAAGATGGGTTGGAGAGTGACAAACCACTTTCTGTTGACTCGAGATTTTACGCGTCGAACCAAGCAGGCGAGGAATTGTTTGACGCAACAAGGAGCATGGAAACATCGCAAGGTGCCTTGATGGAAGACACGAATGAAGGCGTCCTGCTGACCGGATTCAACCAGTCTCAAAGTGAGTTGTCTCAGAGCACTGACGACGACCTGGTGATACATGAGAATTTCTATGATGGGACCACGCCCGAAGAACATGGGGCGATGGTGTGGAACTCAAACAAGAATTCTTACGACAGAGCACCGACCAGCCTCATTCATGCTAGTCCGGTAAAGGTTTCTGTACGGGACGTGCACGTTATCTGGAACCTGTTCGATGGTTATGATTGGGCCGACACTCGTGATGTCATTGCAAGGGCCGTGGAAGACGTCGAACTCAAGGCTACCGAGCGCCAGTCCCGACGATCTGGTCTTCAGCCTTATGAGGACGGAGCCGACGGTGAGGAGACTATCGGGGATTTTCTGTTCAACTCCATCTACATTGGAATACCCTCCAACCGGGACCCCCAGGACCTAGCGCAGGCCATCAACGAGGGGCTAAATGATAACGCGACAGAAACAGAGTCTGTAGCGACAACCACCGTTACCATGAATACGACTCGAGCGTCACGACGAAGCTATCCCAAGTCCAAGCGCTTGCGACTACATCGCAGTAAGCATCACAAGATCACATTTGAGCTGCAGGGCGTGAGTGTCGACATGGTCGTGTTCCCACCTGGCAGTGTAGAGACGGTCAGCAGTATTGATGTTCGGGTTCAAAATTTTGACATTTTCGACCACGTCCCTACATCGACATGGAAGAAATTCGCGTCCTACGACCAAGATTATGGAGAGCGTGAAATGGGCTCCAGCATGGTCCACATCGAACTGCTCAACGTGAAGCCGATTCCGGAACTGGCTGCTTCGGAGATGGTCCTTCGTGCAACAGTGTTGCCACTACGACTGCATGTGGACCAGGATGCCCTGGACTTTATTACTCGGTTCTTCGAATTCAAGGACGACAAAGTGCCCGTTCATGCGTCGCCAAGCGATGCGCCCTTCCTTCAGCGCGCGGAGGTGATGGACATTCCAGTCAAGCTCGACTTCAAGCCCAAGAGGGTTGACTATGGCGGTCTGCGATCTGGCCATACCACCGAGTTTATGAACTTTATCGTGCTGGAAGAGTCTCGGATGGTTCTCCGTCGCACCATCATTTACGGTGTCGCGGGCTTTGATCGCCTTGGCAAGACGCTGAATGACATTTGGATGCCAGATGTCCGAAACAATCAGCTCCCTGGGGTTGTGGCTGGGCTCGCGCCTGTTCGATCTCTAGTGAATATCGGTAGCGGGTTCAAAGATCTGATTGAGATTCCTTTGCGCGAGTACCAAAAGGATGGCAGGGTCATACGAAGCATCTCCAAAGGGGCGGTTGCATTTGCCAAGACGACTGGCACAGAACTTGTCAAGCTCGGCGCCAAACTTGCTGTGGGAACGCAGTATGCTCTCCAGGGCGCGGAAGACATGCTTACCCAGCGCGGCCAACCAGAGGGCAACTGGGAAGATGACGACCTGGGCCCGGAGGATAGGAAGCAGATATCGTTGTATGCGGACCAACCCACGGGAGTCTTGCAGGGCATCCGGGGTGGGTTCCGGTCACTATCTAGAGATGTCAACCTTGCACGGGATGCCATCATCGCAGTGCCCGGAGAAGTCATGGCAACCCAATCAGCGAGTGGTGCTGCCAAGGTCATGTGGAAGAGAGCGCCGACGGTAATATTCCGACCTGCGGTTGGTGTGACCAAGGCCATTGGACAGACACTTATGGGAGCAACCAATGCCTTGGATCAGGATAACAGGCGGCGGATTAGCGAGGTAGGTCTGCTCTGCTCTGCTGTCTGGTGTAGCGCGGAATGCTAACTCGATGAATTAGAAATACAAGCACTGAGCATTTGTAGCGGAGGGCACGGTTATGTGAGAAATGACATGATTAGCGACTGCTGCCCATTTTCTTTTGTGCATTGTTCGGCGTCGGTCGGGCTTTGAGGATGCTGCTTGGACTGGACCAGGATTTGATGAGGGTTTTTCTTTTCGTCGAGGCAATTGCATGACACAGACTGTGCTTATTTGTTTTGGAGTCCAGCGCGCATGGGAATGCCGACATGGTCAATTGGAAATGATGATTTTATCGCGTTGAGATCAGACTTTGCTTGTGGTATGGCGACTGTTGATGCAGTGTGCTTGGCCCTGCTCGAGGAGGGCAGCATGGGGGTTTCCCACTCCAAGAAGGGCATCTGACCCTTGCCATGACGGGCGATTTTGTACGTCTCCAAGCCAGGAAACGAAGTCGGCTTCAAACCGGCAGCATGCGTGCAGGACGTCGAGTGGAACAAGCCTTGACGAGAAAGCGTCGTCGGGAGGGTTGGTTGTAGATACTCGCGTCACGCAAGCAAGCAAGCAAGCAAGCAAGCAAACGGCATTGCATGTACACATGTGAAGCATTGAAACGGAGCGGCGCCCAGAATCGGTCAGAGAGCCAAACGCTGACTCAAGTTGTACGCCAAGTCGAGCAAAACAGCCAAGGGGTGCTTGCAGATGTCAGTCGCAGTCAACTTGTTGGTGGAGCAACTGCTGTTCGTCGAGGAGGAAATAGCTCCCGTCTTTGATTTACTATTGCTTTGGAGCAAATATCTCCCAGGCCCGTTTATAGTTTACGATGCCATCGCGGGGCCTATGACCTTTATGCGCACGCAGCCGCCGCTCTCGGTGATGTTTGGTGTTGTTGGCCGTACACGGACAGGTGTGGGCGACGTACGGGCAGCACGTGGCTGTCATCGAAATTTGGTCACGGACAGCCAAGGCAATCGTGGGAGATGAATGAGGTCGTCATCAATAACACTGTATTGGCTCCTGATTCTGACAGAGCTAATCCTGTCTAGCTGCTGGAAATCCGAGGCACAGCTGCTGGGTGGCTTTCACAGCCGCCAGACAATAGGCAGCAGAAAAGTTGGAGACAGAAAAAGCAACTTTCCCTATCCAGACATGGTTCCCTTGACCCCAAGAGCTCTGGGACTTCTGAAGATAGTCTCTGCCTCTGCGTAGACGCAGACGTAGCTCCTGGTCGACTGCGGGCATCCAAGGGTGGTCGGCCAGTGCCACCAGCGCCAGGAGAGCGTACGCCGTGACTTCGTGCTTTGATTCCCACGATCCGTTCTTTTCTTGGCTGCAAAAGAGACGATTCACAATGTCGAGGAGCATCGCTGGAATTTGCTCCTCTACCATCAGATCCCCTATCAGGAGCCCATCCAACTCATTTGCCCGACGGCGAGCAAGCAACAGGACAAGGGCCTTGGCGAGAAGCATCGTGAGGTACTGCTCCGACTCGTTCTGTGAGAGTTTTAGCGGCGGACCTGCAATCCTCCACGGGGCAAAATGTCGACATTACCCATTTGTCCTTGAAGAGAGGCCCGTCCCAAGCCTCTGTCAAATACGATGCTACTTTTGCCACTTTCGCCGTATAGCGGTAGACATCATGACGTCGCAGAAGGCAGAGCAGTACGTTGCAGTTGACCGAAAGACTGGGGTTCCTCTCTCCTTCGTACGTGCGGAAATGTGTCGGGACCTCAAATGTCTCAAACAGGGGCTTCAGGCTGACCCTCTCTCCTAGGAGGTAGACTGCCGACAGAGCCATGACAGTATCGTCAGCATCCGGAAGCAAGTTTGGTGCTAAGGCCTTGTCAACAAAACCAAGCCAAGGCGAAGGAGGGTATACCCCAGACAGGTCCTACCGAAGCTAGCAAGGCCGTTGTTTAGACGGAGATTCTCGCTCAAGAAGTCCTTGACAATTCCAACATTGCTCTCACCCAGATCCTGTACAGTAAAGCCAGCTTCCAACAACGTGACGGTGACCTAGATAAAGAGCCCCAGGTCAGAAAGGCGGAGCGCCCCCAGCTTCCAAGGGACCATACCCAGGAGAGCTCGAAAATGGTGGTAGGGAATGCAAATGGCACTCCTCCTTTCTGCCGGGCGTGACTCGGCGTGTGAGTGACAAGACGAAGGTACGCCTCCGCCCTTTCGTCCCAGGACGGCGAGAACATGAGATACGCTGCAGTGGACGATGGTGAGCCCATCATGCTCCCGCCCGGCGACAGGTAATGCTTCATCTCGCCGTAATCAAGTCTCCCGACGAAAGCCTCTAGCGAGTGAATCAGGGTCGTTTGACCGCGCCCACTCAGCCGCGTGTATAGCCCCGACATCTTCTCGTCATGCATTTGCATGAGCAGCTCGCGCCCAGAGAAGTCAATCTGTGTATTGTGCTGCTCAAGTAGTCTCAACAGAGAAGGGATCACCATCTCGAAACCAACGCGGTCGCATTGAGTAATGTCCCAGCGTTCAAACATGAGTCTCAAGGCAGTCTCCGCCCTGAAACACCGTGACTTCAAGTCTATGTTGGGTAACCCGCGGGTTCCATTGCATCTCTTCTTCAAGGCCAGCAATGCTGCCATTGTGTTTAAAATGCCATCTACTGTGCCGGCGTATGATTCCCAACTGCCATCTGGTAGTTGGGCGTCCAAGAGACACTGAAAGCACTCGGGGAATAGGGGAACCGAGCCCCCGTTTACCTGTTTGTCAACCATTGCAACCCAGGCGGTGTCGTATACAGAGACGGACAGTGTACATGTTCCAGCTTTACTCCCGGCCGACTTGGCCATGGAGCTGACCAGACTCCGGGCAGCACCTTCGATGTCTGTTGCCATGGCGGGCTTGGTAGAAGAAACAAGATGTCAGGTGTGGAGCGGGAAGCGATTCTGGTGCAGAGTAGTTGCGGGTTGAATATCATGTTATACCCTGGAACGAGCAGACAAGCGAGCTGTGTTGGAGCAAGCGAGCAGTCACGCGTGCATAGTGATTCTACAGAACAATACAAGGGCCGAGAGTGTACTTATACCGAGAGCATCCCCCAACCTGAGTGTCAGGGGTCAAGTAATCATTGATAGCTATCGAGGCTGTACCGTCATATACTTTAACAAGCTGAAGGCAGAACTGTGGGTACAGTGCCTATGAGAAATTCCCAGCTGGAGGATTTGGATGTGTTGTATAACGAGATTTAGATAACCCTAATAAATCAGCAGACATTTGCGACTAGAGACGCATAAATTTATGCTGTAGCTTGTGGCTGTACGATCAGAGAGTAGTAGGAGCCTTCCCCCGCGTAAGAAATCAAACAACAGGCGTAAAAGGCAATAAAGCAGAATAACCGGTCTTGAGATTATCAACTCAACAAGTCATTCGTTACCTCTGCCGTAAATCAAGTGAGGAGGAATGATGTATTTAACGAACCGCACCCTCACGGATAACCGCACATAGAGGCGTGTGGCGAATCAGAACAGACAATGACAAAGATACTGGGCTAATACCTACACAACTATTATTTTCACAGTCATGCTTTTTATGACAGAGTCCAAAGCGTACTTTAACAATTTCTCTTCAGTGCATGCAGGGCGTGCCGCGGTGAGCTGGCATAGTGCGGAATCCTGGATGCACTGTGTATCCCAGCGCACGATGGCAGCACTTGATAAACCATTCTAAAACTTGAGTACTTCCACTTATATTGGCTATTTTTTGATAGTTTTTCCTTCATTCCTTGCGTGAGGGGAAACCTCTTTACTATTCTTTATTCGTACAGCCACAAGCTATAGTACGGATTCCTGCCGCTTCATCGTGTCTGTGCAAAACTACTTGTGCAAATGTCACTGGTCCGCGTGCCGAGTATGCGTATGCCTTTGAACTTGCCCTTTTAGCGCGCCCCACTCGGACTATTCGGCACCAACAACGCCTCGTTCTAGGAATCCGACGACAAGTTTATTTCTACCTTGACAACAGAGCTGAGTGACCATTGGGATCAGTAGCGTCATGTAAGTTACATCGACAAGTACAGAGTCGCGATTCTACCAACGTGATTGGCCAAGACGCCTGCCACGCTCAAAGGGTACAGTTATCAGCCAAACGGACAACGCGCTTTCCGAGAACTTGCAACTGATACTTGCTTCGCCGAGCGGAATATATATATCTCAATCGTTGGCATGCGTCCACGGTTTATTAGCTGCTTGGTCCTAGGTCACGTGGAGCCCTCGACACCAAGGCAGACATCGACGCCTTCGCCCTGTAGCACCTCCATCTTTCACCGCACACTCATAGTTCGCTCCCTGCTATTGATGCTTGTTTCACGCATTTGCGCTGTTGTACGTTTGTTCTCTTGTCCCTCGCCTTCGGTACTGCGTTGGTCTTTGAGCTGATGACGAGCGGATAGCTGAATACTTGACCTGGGGTACCAGTCACAGACAGATGACTCGCAACAGCGTGCCGGCACAGGTCCTACCTTGGACTTGAGCACTTTCTGAATCTCAGAATGCAGGCCAACGGCGGAGCCCAAAACGAATCGGCCTATTCGACCAGCCCCTCTAACAAGAATGTCGTGGCCGCCGTGGACAGAATAAGATTGGAGCTCTGCGAGGATTCGCTACCGGGGCGAGTGGAAAAATGGGGGCCGGGCAACGGAGAGGAGAAGGCGACACCGTCTTGGACGGGCGCAATCACATCCAAGATTGGCGGCGTGGTCCATTACATGTCCTGTCCTGGACATCTGAACTCTGAGCCATGTGCTGGATACTGGTGTCGCAGAGACCGTGATACTACAACCACTGGCCTTCACTGTGTATATGGGGGTTGGGTGTCCTTCGACGGCGATGCTGTCACCGAAGTGTGTCCACCCGGGACTAGTGATACCACGGCACCTGGAGCAAGGAACTTGCCTCGTCTAAGACGAATGTGGGCAGAGCACTGGCTGGCAAAGACAACACAGGTGGATAAACTTGGTCCTGTTGGAATAATAGACCAAGATGTCTTGGATCGAATTCTCAGCATGATCACGAATAAGACCGCGGACTCGGAGGGATCCATCAACCGGGGCGATGTGCAGACCGAGCCGAAAAAGAAGTCAGGAAAGGGTTCTGGAGGGTGGTCAGGCTTGGCTGAGAATGGCACCGTCCTAAAGCGTGACTCGGGGAACCGAAGAGTGGGCAACCATCTTGATCGATGCGATGCAGAGCCCGGTGGCATGTGGCGGCGGGGTGATGCCGAGATGTGGATGACGGCTGCTGGATGGTCCTGCCTCTTGACCAGAGACGGCAGATGGAGACCGGCATACCACTTGGAAGTACTTCTCTCCAATCTCCCGGTAGGCGTTGACTATGGGCCTACAAGGGCCGGATACCGCGACTGGTTGGCCGAGAGGATGGAGGCGACGTGGTGGTTGTGGCTGAAGACGCCCCTCGACGTTCCTCGATGCTTTGCCGACGGAATACGAAGTGGTGTGGTGGAGATGTTCAGGAGGGAGCAGCGACGACGACAAGACGTGCAACAAGACTACGTCCCGGACGACGCCAGCACTGCCGCGAAGAGATACGACTTGCTTCAGGACAGAATAGGTGAATTCATGGGCTATCATACGGTCGGTGAGCCCATGGCAGAGCCACGAGGTCTGATAGCATCTTGGGCCGTCGCCATCACCAACGACATTATCGACTACGAGCGAGACGTTTTGTGCGGAGAAACGAACAACCTTGTGAGGAGTATCACCAGCGATCAGCAGGTTGTGGACGTATCGGCGTTGATCCTCAAAGCCCTGCTCTGGTCAATCACACGACACGACTACGATCTAGCTGACGCCATAGTCGGCTCTACTGCCTGGTTTCTGGTATGTTGGAGGTACAACGGACCCAAGTTTGCCCGGTACGAGGCAATCAGCATACGGGATAGGCAGCCTGGGCTGCCACCAGAGCTGGAAGACGTTGCAGCAATTGTGCTTCCAGCGGCCGAAACAGGCGGGTCTGAAACGTATGGACAAATATACAAGATCGTCGAGGAAAGAGTTCGGACGCTGTATTCCGGCTGTACTTGCCTCGACCGCCCTGAAGGGCATGACGCATGGGAGCTTCTGGCACAGGCATGCGATGAGGCAGGGAATGACGACGTGGAGGAGCGCTTACATATTGCTGTTGTTGCTTTAAACAACGGCGCCAATAGTGGACGTGTTGGATGCGAATGCGGGCTGGACCTCCTACTCTACGAGGGCTTCGTTCGGTTCTTCGATCCAGAAACCGGTATTGTCTCCCGCCTTCATTACCGATCCGATGCTAGTCTGGCGAATGTGATTACCGAGTGAAATGTTCCGAGCGGTGAGTGATGCTGCTTTGAATGGCTGGCACCCACGTGGTTCTAAACTACGACGGAACAGACACTCTCGAGTTTCCGCGGCCATGATTCAAGTCGCATAGTGCTGGGGCGAAGGTCGATGGTATTGTGTTCTATTGCGTCGTTATTATCACGCTGCGAAATGTCATGGTCAAGTCGCTCGCTCAAGGCAACAGCCATCCATTGCTACACTGCCGCCTGCCGGGCAGTGGTATCGAAACGTACCGGTCAAGTACACGTAAAGGGGTGTCGCGTGTAATTTCTAATAAAGTATAATATAAAGTATAGAGCTTATAGTAACTATACTTATAACTATTAGCTAATTAAGAGACTCTTTATAAATAATATAATAATAAGGCTTATATAATTTATTAATTACTAAGTAAGAAATAATAAAGATTTTTAATATATATATTAATTACTCTAGATAGCTAGAAAGCTATATAACTAGTATATTAACTTTTTATATTAAACTTAGAAAACTCTTTAATAGAAAGGAAAACTCTACTTACTACTATTTTTACTTTCTAAGCTAGCTCTAGCTTTATACTAGCTAAAGTTTATTTATCTTCTATATATATAGTTATTACTAGCTTTACTAGCTATATTTTAAAGAGGTAAATAGTCTTTATAAATTTAGCTTACTTCTAGCTTTATACTAAAGCTATTCTGTCTTTACTTAGTTATTTATTACTCTCTTTATCTTCTAATTATTCTCTCTCTCTAAAGATATAGTTTATCTTAATATAATATATTATTTATTACTTTCTTAAAAGTAAGCTAGCTTAACTTTAAACTATTATATAACTATTAGTGTAAATATTAAGTATTTAGCTATAATAACTTATATATTTAGATTTACCTTACTTTTATTTTATATATAATTTACTTCTTAGCTTTATAGCTAGCTATAGCTAGTATAGCTACTATATTAAACTTAAGCTTTTATTAACTATAAAGCTAGCTAAACTTTTTTTAACTTTTTATTCTTTTTTCTTTCTTTTTTAAGCTTCTTACTTTTAATATATATTAAATCTTATTAATATATACTTTAAGTTAAGCTTAAGCTAAAGTACTTTTAATAGTAAGCTAGTTTTAGTTTCTAGCTTTATTTACTGCTTAGCTAAGCTTAAGTTAGTCTTTATATAAATACTAGCTAACTTCTTATTAGTATTACTTTTATTATTATTATTATTACCTTTATTTTCTTTAAACTTAATTAGAACTTACTATTTATATATATATACTTTATATTAGTTTTATACTAGCTTTAACTTAAGAAAATTACTAACTTTTATTAATAGCTATTATTATATCTACTTCTTAGTTCTTTAATATAAGTAAAGTTATAATAAGTTTAAGCTAGTACTAAGCTACTCTTAGTATAATAGCTAATTATTATAAAGATAATTAGTGCTTTTAAAGGCAAAATAATAACTAAGTCTTAGTTTTAAAAAGTTACTAGTAAGTTAGTATATATTCTTTATTTTATCTTTATTTTAGCTTTAACTTTATATATAGCTTAGTTTTATTTATAAAATTATATATATTTTTTATATTATTTAAATCTTTACTACTATTATTACTACTAGCTTAAAGCTAAATAAGCTTTAAGCTTATTTTTACTAAAAAATTATTAAGTTAAAAACTATATTATATTTTATTATATTTATAATAATTATTATATTTCTATAAGTTATTTTACTATTATATCTTCTTAAGCTTTAACTTAGCTATAATATAATATAATATTATGTTAGCAGCAAAAACTGCCTACTATAAAAAACACATACAAAAACAAGAGAAATAACTACAGTATATAAATTGCTTATAAGGAACGTTTGCATATATTTTGTATGCAAGGATTTAATATACTTTATGCCTATATTTCTTTATATATATAAGTAAGGTTAAAAGAGAAATACTGTTAAGGACTAGCCCTATAGGCTACTGCGTGTAAGCATTACTAGTATTAACTATAAACTTAAGGAGAGAAAAGAGGGAAAGAAGAAGCTCTCTGTTCTCTCTTTTCCTTCTATTATATATATATAGGTTTAATATATATTTAAAGCGTACTTAATAAGGCACTAATATAGTGCCTTATACCTACTTAAGCCTATAGCTTAAGTTTATTATATACTCTCCTTCTAGTAGGTTTATCTATATTACTGCTGTATAGTAGAGATAGATATATAGTATAAATCCCTCTAGCAACTATATATCTCTACTTTATATTTTTTGCATATAGTATATACTTAATATACCTCTGCTTTACAAATAGTTTAGTAACTTTATACTGCTTATTCTTCTTGTTTTCCTTTTAATAACTATTACTAATACTCTTTTTATACTACTAAAAATTTTTGTTTCTAAAGATTACTACTACTATATCTACCTTCTTTCTCTATATTATTTCTATATTGCCTCTGCTATTCTAAGTATAATATAGTATATTCTGCATACTTAATTTAGTTTTAGAGAGTCTGCTGCTAGCGCGCTCTCTCTTCTGCCTCTACTGCCTCTACTACTATACTGTAATGCTTGCTATATAGGCAAGTATGCTATAGAAGGCAACTTTAATAATAATAACCTCTTTAATAGAGAGGAAGTTCTAAGAATATATATACTATATTAGCGCAAGCTTATTAATACTAGCTCTACTAGTTGCATCTCTAGCCTTACTATAGCCTATAAGTAGTGCTATAAAACCTATAAGAGGTACATTTAAAAGGCGCACCTTTATGCTTTAAACTCTAAGCTATACTACTAATAGAAGAAAGTGCAGTAAATTATAAATACTAGTAGATATATTATATCTACTATATACAAAAAGTCTAGTAAGAGCTTTAGTATATATACTAAATTTTCTATATAGTTTAATTCTATAACTAAAAAGTTTAATATATTATTAAAGCAAGCCTATATTGCCTCTAGTTCTATCTGCTCTTTATATATACTAGCTAATTTATTCTCTAGTAATATAAGCGCTAATGCTAATTTACAGGCGCTAGTGCTTACTAGCATATTATGTTAACGCTTTTTTACTGCAGGCATATACTGCTCTCTAACTAGTAAATACTAGTAAATTTTTTCTAGAGCTAGGCTACTATAGCTTAGAATATTAAGCAAATGCTATATAAGCAGTAGGTAGAGTAGGTAGAGTTATACTATAAGTATGCTAACTAGCAGAAACTAACTTATACTCTAGTTAATATACTTTATATAGAGGCAACTTCTTATAGTTAATATATTTACTTTTATATCTCTAAGACTCTAACTTATCTCTATAGTAGAGAAGAGGGTAGTTATAAAGGTAATAGTATTTAGAATATTATTCTCTCTCTGCTCTCTCTCCCTCTTAATAATTAAGTTATTAATTTAACTAGCAATAAGTTGTAATAAAAGTTGCCTAGCAGGCTAGAGTGCTTATTTTAGTAGGCGCTATATTAAGTGTAGGTTAAGTATAGGTTAAGTATATATTAAGCTTTATAGTTATATTATCTCTTTCCTTTTTTTTTTTAATAAAGATTAATTTTTTTTTTGCTAGCTAGCCTTAGTGCTAGTATAACTATAGTCTAATTCTATATATTTTTTTTTAATTAATTAGCTCTATACTTTATACTATTATTTAGGAATTAATTGCTTATAAATTAAGCTTATTATACTTCTATATATCTCCTTACTTAGCTTTAAATTAGTTAAGTACTATAGTATCTTAAAAACTCCTAAGTAGTTTCTATATTAGTTAAATATACTCTTTCTACTTAATATATATATTTTGCTTTTTGCCTCTTCTAAGTACGTTCTTTACTACTAGAATTTCCTCTACTTTATATTTATAGCTTTCTTTGCTTTAAAGAGTTTTATCTGCCTTAATTAATACTAGCAGTAGGTAGAAGTCCTAGAGTACTTAGCTAGATAGTAAGTTAAATACTGCTTACTTAATAAGGTCTATATAGAATA